CCTCCCACCCACCCACACACACAGCACACGAATTCTTCAAGCAAAACTGAGAAAACGAAAGCACATATCATTACTAGAACCAAAAGGACGTAGAGACAGAGAAAGATCAAGGTACACACGGATCATGGTATCATCTGTTTTTTCGAAAGCCGGGCCGGATCCAAGAGCTAGAGAACTCGACGCTTCCTTCCAAGCTCGCTACAGTCACCCGATTCCTAGAACTTGACCTGTCCAGACCTCTCTACCTTGGGCTCCGCTCTACGCGCCCAAAACGTCTAGATCCAACCGATCAACCCTCTGGAACGGGCACCGAGCAGCAGCGAAAAGAGCGCCACCAACAAAGCCAACCGCTTGGCTACAACGCCGCCTTTTCCTGCCTCTTGGAACGAACGGTTACCCCCAAAAAAGGCCCATGCGAGCCGGGTGAGCGAGGTGCAGCAAGCGCGCGTGAGAAATTCCCGCCAGAATTTCGCAGCGGACCGTGAAAAAGGCGAAATGGGCACACCGCGCACCAGGGGACCGCCAAGAAAAGAAATCGCAGCAATCCACCGAGAGCACGGATGCCGAGTGTCGCAATCAGTGAGATGATGTAGCAGAAAAAGGACAGGGGCGAGCGTAAGCCAAACAAAGTCACGTCACGTGATTTACGAGTCCCATCAGTGGTTCCGTAGCCCATACAGTGCAATGCAAAAGGGAGGAAAGGAGGGCGCCGTAACATAATCGCAAGACAAATGCAGAGAGTCGAGCATACGGCGCCGAGGGGGAGATTGGAAGAGATAAAAGAGGTGTATCCGCTGCTCAGTGTGCTGTTCTTCCAATTGAGCCTGCCGAGCAAATGGGAAGAGCGGATAGAAGTGGTTGTAGAGCCCGTGCATGGATGGCCGCGAGAGGTCGAAACGCTATGCTGACGAAGCGTTGCATCTGTGCCCTCTCCACTGCACGGCGTCATCCGACAACGACTGAACGAGAAAAGGCAGAGGGAAAAGGGAAAGGGAACCGAGGAACACCGGATGGGCTCAGGACGGGTGGACGGGAAGAACACTTACGGATGAGTAGGTGACGCTCTTGTGCGGGTTGGATGGACGCTTGAACGAGATCGAGTAGGCAGCCAGCGCGCTCATCTTCTTGAGGTTGGCGTCCGTGTAAGGCGGGTAGCGAGAAGACATGACGAGCTCGATCACCTTACCGAGCAGACCGGAGGCGGGTGCGTCCAGGCTGGCACGCTGGTGGCTGAACTGGTCGAACGACGCCCTGCCGTGGTAGTTGCCGTAGCCCGAGGGACCGGTACCGCCGAAGGGGAGGGCGTCCACGGCAAAGTGGAGCAGAGTGTCGCCTTGGACGCACGCACCGGAGCGCGTGTTGTCAAAGAAGAACTCCTTGACCTTCTTGTCGCCTGCAAACAGGTACAGAGCCAGAGGCTGGTCGCGCGAGTTGATAAAGTCCACGGCAGCCTTGACGTCCCGGACGGGGACGATGGGCAGGAGAGGACCAAAGATCTCGCCGGTCATGACTGAGTCGTCCGGCTTGACGTCGGCAATGACGGTGGGAGGCAGGAACTTGGTGGCTTCTTCACCTTCGCCGCCGAGCACGACTTTGCCCTTGGTGCCCGAGAGCATGGCGTTCAAACGCTTCCAGTGACCGGGGTTGACAATGCGGGCGTAGCTTTCCGAGTTGTTGACACCACCCTTAAGCTCCGGGTAGAAGCGCTCGTAGGCCTTCTTGAGCTCCTGGACAAACTTGTCCTGCAGTTCGTGAGGGATAAGCACGTAGTCGGGGGCGATGCAGGTCTGACCACAGTTGAACGACTTGCCCCACAGGATGCGGTGCGCGGCGATGGTGAGATCGGCGCTCTTGTCGACGTAGACGGGCGACTTGCCGCCGAGCTCGAGCGTGGTGGGGCACAGCCACTTTGCGGCCTTTTCGGCGATGATGCGTCCGACGGTGCCGTTGCCGGTGTAGAAGATGTGCTCGAAGCGCTGGTCAAGGGCGGCGGTGGTCTCTGGGATGCCACCGTTGATGACGCGGTAGCACTCGGGGTCGAGGTACTTGTTCCAGAGCTCTGCGATGAGCTTTGCGGTGTGTCCGGCAACCTCGGAGGGCTTGAGGATGACAGTGTTGCCGGCAGCAATGGCGCCTACCACGGGACCGATCTGGACGGTGATGGGGTAGTTCCAGGCGCCGAGGACGAGAACGGTACCTTTGGGCTCGGAACGAACGCTGGCGCCGTGAGCAGCCCAAGCGAGACCAGCCCAAGGCTTGGTGGGCTTGGCCCACTTGTCGAGCTTTGCGACGGCCTCGACGATCTCATTAGTAGTGCCCATGAGCTCGGCAAAGATGCTCTCGAAGCGCGAACGGCCAAGATCCTTTCGAAGCGATTCAACAAAGGCATCCTGGTTGTCCTTGAGCATGTAGGCGAGCTGCTTGAGCTGGTTCTTTCGGTACTCGATGGAACGAGTCTTGCCGGTCAAGAAGGCGGCACGAAGATCGGAGACAATCTTTGGGATGTCATCGACGGCGGTGTATTGGAGGCCAGACTCGGCGGCGGCGGTAGCAGCAGCAGCCATGATTGTAGTCGATTTGTCGTAGAGATATGAAACGTCAAGTCGCAGTACAGGGATTGAAAGTAGCGATGTCGACGAGGACGAGGATGATGGTGAGCAAAACACAAGAGAGGGTGGCGAACAGCGAATGGAACGATACCAGCTGGACGGGTCAATGCACACTGTATACTGTAGTTGCGGCTCAGCCGAGTGACAGGAAGCGGAGAAGGTTGGCCGCACCGACAGCGGTTGCGGCGGCGGCAACAAATTCCGGCAGCCGACACGCTGAAACCGACAGGCATTGACTGACTGACGCAGAGGCCGCACACAGGCTGACGCGCGTTACAAATCGTCAAGCGAGCCAGCGACAAATCCGCATAAAATTGTGCTTTCAGAAGCTAGCGTGTATAGAGTGAAGGTCACCTGAAGATGTGCAGGCTGCAGGCTGAGATTCGTCTTGCAGCTCGTGGCCCCGCATCCGCGATTCGCTCGAGGTACAGTGGGTAGCCAAAGTGGATGCGAATGTGGCTGCTTCGGCTCTGCTCTGTCACCTCTTTCTCGGTCGCTTCCGATGCAGACAATCAGCCGATAGACTGAAAGAGCAGAGTGACACACACAGAGAGACACAACCACACGACCTGTCGAATCGGTCGCAATGAAATACAGCAAGTTTAGTCCAATCTACAAGACGAAAACGCGACCTCAAGCTACACACTGGATGTGCGCAGTGCAGGTTACCACCAGACCAGTCAAGGCTCACAATCCGTTAAGTTAGTGGACCCCGCAATCACCTTTTTTCCTGAACGACCTTGTCTCTCCCTCGTGGATGACACACACCCGTCACCTCACGGCGTATATTTTTCCCCGCTTTTCGTCACTGCACCGTTTGAAGACCTGCAGCAAAGCCGACGGTACACGCCAGTTCCATGTCACCCTTGGGACTGTACAGAAGATGCAGTGTCACGCTGCGAGGCATATCCACCTCGTATGATGTACGCTGATCCTGCATATGGCATTCCTGCGGTCGAGATGGGTCGTGGTGACTGCCAACCGTATCCGACGACGCTGTGAGCGAAGCAGCTCGGGGTTTGCCCGTCCCGAAGCTTTCCCACACCAACCTCGCTCTCAGACCCTTCGCTCTCGGCTAAGCAGCGTCACTTGGACGAGATGGCAATGCACGAGCCGCGGATCCTGCTGGCCGTCTCGAAGCCCGGTTTTTTGGCCTGATTCGCTTGTCAGATCGAACAAATTTTTCTTTTGCGTGTTACGCCCCGCAACTCGACACCGATGAGTTGGCCAAATCACGCCAGTCTCTTGGCACACGATGGCGCCTTCCCCTTTTCCATTTTCGGTTGGTCGTTGGCTGTGGTCATCGTGCACCGAGCGGATAGTCAGGGTCCAAGCTGCATGTTGTGCATCGCCCGGTCACATCACAACACACTGCTGCTTGTCCGCCAAACAAAAAATGAAGAGTGTGCAAGTTGGACCCTGTCAAAGCGTTGCGTGCCTGTCGGCTGGCACTATCGGTGGATGCAGCCCCTAAACATACAATCCTCTCTCTGACTCTGTATCGGCAACTGATGAAATCCTAGATTGGCACTGTTGTCCCGTGGATGCAGTGGGAGCGAGCCAGACTTCATCTCGCATGCGCTGCTTGAGACTGTGAGCTTGCAATAGATAAGTGGGTTCGGATCGAATCCGAAATCGTATGCGCCAGTGTGGGATTGTCCAACGGATGGATGCCGATCCTGTGTGAATGCAAGCCGAATGCAGTGCCAATCCCACGACTCGGTGCTCAGTTGCGCCTTGCTTGTTGAACACATCCGCTCCGCCTTGCTATCCGCTACAGACTGTAGCTTCCGAACATTGCAAAAACTCTGCTATCCTTGCAGAGCACGCATTCGAAACTGTGCAGCCTCGTCTGCTTTGCTTTCGGACGACAGTGACAAGCGACAATTCCGACATGGTATCCAACTCATCAAGCACTGCTACCTCGGGTGGCGATCAGGTTGGAGTCGCTTCGGAACCAGCCCCGCCTTCAACATCCGCATCCACTTCTGTGCCTACCGCTGCTGCTCACAGCACCACTTCGCAAGAGCCTTCGTCGCTCGCCGCCTTCTCGCCCGTTGGCACCAACAGCAACGACGTGACGGCCAACCACGCAAGCGCCTCTGCCATGTCAACAGCAGAAACTGCGACGGGAGCCGCTGACGCACCCGAATCCCATACGCCCTTATCAGTTCAGACTGCAGAGCCTTCCGATCCAGGCACATCCGCATCGCAAGTTCCAACCACCGCCTCGACGTCAACTACGTCCATGCTACCCCGCGCTTCCACGACCGTCTCTGCTTCATCGCCCAGCTCTGGCACTGCCACGCCTACCATCAGGAACGCAGCCCCACGCGCTCCGACCACGACCGCTGTTCCCAACAGGTACTCTCATTCTCAAGCTCCAGCGTCTGGCTCCACCCACGTCTCAGCTCGTCGACCTGTAGCTCGACTCAGTGCTCAAGCTCCTAACTCTCGCGAGCGAGCTGTGCGCAATCAGTCTGCTGCCTCAGCATTAGCTTCACCCTTCCAATCGCACGCCATGCCGTCCATCTTTGGATACTATTCGCACGATGCAAATCCTGTTAGCAACCTCGCCTCCACCGCCTCTCCCAGCTCCAGTCTAGGCGCCCAGCAGTGGTCGCAGTCACTTAGAGAGTCCATCTATCATCAACGATCCGCCTCTCATTCGCCTGTTCCTGTTCGCCCGAATCATTCCGCAGCCTCTACGCCTACTTTCAGCCCCCGAGCCGGTTCGATAAGCTTCTACGCTGCTCATCCACAGCGTCAGAACGCACGTGTATCCTCCCATCTTGGCAACACGTATCGCTCTGCAGAGACGCAACGCAGCACCGTTGCTCATTCCGTCCCAGCCGCCTCTGGCTGGGATTCGAGCCTGCTCGCCTCTTCTCTCCGTGCTGAGCAGCCTATCTTTGAAGAGACCACCACGATCTCCTTCACCTGGTCCATTCGCGATCTCCACTTGCTCCGCGAAGAGGTCGAGCACTCACCTCCGCCGTCAGAGGGCGGTCGTTCAGTATCTGCGGGAGCTGGCAAAAGTGATGTCTGGACTAGTCAACCAGTATTTGGTGACAACAAGTGGAAGCTCGAGCTCGTTCGTACTACTCGCCCTCTCACCGACCAGTCTCAAGAGAATGACTCGACCAATGAACACGATGGCTCGGATGATGGTAACGATGAGGTCACGGCGGCCAATATCCCCAGCGCCGATACAGCTGCTGATCAAGTCAACGATTCGGACTCGGCCGCAAGTCGCCCCAGTATCACCATCCTGTCTGTCTACTTGACTGCCCTGGTATTGGAGTACACGCATGCCAATGTCGAGATCCCTGCTTCCATCATGGTTGGGTTGAGACCCATCCGAGCAGCTGTCGGCCGACGCGGCGCCGAGAGCGGAGGCTATCTGTGGCGACGCTTCTATGACTACACGTTCCAGAAGGAGGCCGACCTCTTCACCTGCCACGACCTTCCGAGCGTATCCGAGATGCTACAGGACCTCAATGTCGCGCGTGACGATGCAGTCGCCCTCACCATTCAGCTTGGCTTGGGGCCCGGTCACACGCGCGCTCGATCTGGTCAGCTCGACGATGCCGCTGCCTCACATGCTCCCATCGAAGTTGACGGTCATCACCTGGTTCCCAGAGCCGTGCTCAGCTCGCTTCATGGCTTACTCGACGATGCTAACACGGGTGATGTGCGCATCCTGGTTCGGGAAAGGGGTGTCTTGCTGCCGGAACTGTCCGACTGTGCCTCAATGTCGGATGATGGGCATCCCGACAACACCATCACAGAAAATATCGGACGCGTCGTCCCATATCCCATCGGTTCCAGCTGCCCTACCGCTCCTGCTTCCGCGCACCAGTCCGAAGCTCCGACATTCACTTCGATCGACGATGACCCGGACCGCATCTTTGTCCGCGATCGTGTGCTGTGGGCACATGCCAGCGTCCTCAAGAGCCGCAGCGACTATTTTCAGACTATGCTTGCCTCCGACTTTAGCGAGGGGATCAGCCGCAACTATGCGGCAGTCGGAGCGAGCGCCGCTTACGGCCGCAACGTGCGCACACTCCAGATCTCGGATGCCGACTTCGTCACAGCCTACTGGTTCCTGCGCTATCTGTACACGGATGACATTCAATTCGCGGACAAGGAAGACGTGCGCAGCGCCATACTCGATGAAGAATGGGCGAAAGGTGCTGACGTTGGCCATCTCACAGCTGGATCGGCGAGCGGGGATGCCGGTCACGCTGGAGCTCTGCCCAGGAATCTGCTCGTCGAGTGGACGCCGATCTCGCAGCTCAAGGACAACGATGATTTCGAGATGGACGGCATGGGCTTTTCGATGAGCGCCGCCCCATCCGCAGGTGGTCCGCGAGGTGTTTCGGGCTCGTTTGTTCTGCAAAAGCCTTCCACCACATCTGGATCTCTGCGACAGAGAACGAGTGCTGCGGGACTGGTCGACGGAGCAAGTGGTAGTGTCAGTGCTCGCCCTCTGTCAGCGCCGAACTCGCCCTCGTCCGTCATCGACGCAAGCGCAGCCAGCAAGCATCACACCACGGACGAAGCCAGTCGCGCATCGGGTCGTGCCACATCCAACGCTCCTGCAGCAACCCTCGACCCGCACGCCCACCCTTGCGCCGACCCGGGTCCCGCCTCGGCGCTGTCGATCTTCAAGCTGGCGCACCGCTACCACATGCAGGAGCTCTCGCGGCTCGCGGCGATGCACATGGTGGCGACGCTGACGCCGCAGTCGGCGTTCCCGATGCTGCTCGCCACGTCCATGTACACGGAGCTGCACACGCGCATCAAGACGTACGTGTACCAGCAGTGGCATCTCGTCTCGCACACGGAGGAGTTTGAGCGCTGCTGCGACGAAGTTAGCGTGGGGATGTGGGGTGCGGATGCGGGGAAGACGATGAGGGCGTTTGTCAGGAGCTTGGTGTCGCCGTTGAGGGCGGGGGGTCAGACGTGATGGTTGTGGGGTATGCCGTTTCATTGGGAACGCTGGCGGGTGCGGTGGGACAAGTGTATTTACAGCGTCGTTCCTACAAAAATTCTGGTGAGAGGCTGGCGTGGAGAGCTGAGTAGCCCCGCGTCTCAATTCGACTTCTTCTGGCCCTCTGACACCAGATGGTAATCCTCTGGCCTCTCTCCACTAGTGCCCTTCTCCCTCAACTGCCTCTCCTTCCTATCGACCTTGCTGTTGACGCTCTGCCAGCTCTTTCCGGCTCCGACGAATCTGCTGAAGAAGCCGGCAACGCCGCGCATGCTTGCCTCGTCCTCGTCGATACCTGCGACGTCTGCTCTTTGACGTTCTGCATCCATGTTTTTCAGCTCTTGGAGCATCATCGCTCTGACTTTTTCGGTGAGGTCGTTTGCGTCTGCTGCGGTGAGGTGTTTGGTAGGGACGGGGGGTAGGACTTTGATCTTGATGGTTCCGCTTTCGAATCTGGATTTCGAGTCGAAGAGACGGTTGTAGTTTTCGCACACGACGGGTACCACCGGAACGCCGGCTTGGATGGCTAGGTGGAAAGCGCCCTTTTTGAAGGGCAGTAGATCAGGGGTGGCGAGGCCGGAACGTGTTCCTTCGGGGAAGATCCAGAGTGAGAGTTTCTTGTCGTTCATAGTCTTGCCTACTTCCGAAAAGGCTTTGATGCTATCCTTGAGGTTCTTACGGTTGATGAATACTGCACCGGAGAGCTTCATGAACTGTCCGAGGAGCGGTGCAAATTGCAGTTCCTTCTTGGCCATGATGGAAGCGGATTTGGGGAAGATTCTACCGAGGTAGAGGATGTCCATTGCAGTCTGGTGGTTGCCGACGACGACGGCGGGTGTAGCGGAAGCGAAGTGCTCCTCGCCTTCGACGACGAAGCGGATGCCGACGAGCGGTGCGGTCAAGCGCCAGAAGGATCGCGCTACGACCTTGTTGATGTTGAGTCGTTGGCCCGGAACGAACGAGAGGAAGATCGAGACAAAGATCCCCCAGACGGAACACGTGGCGAGACCGGCGATGTAGATGAGAGAGTTGAGGTAGAAGCGCACTTTCTGAGAGCGTGGGGAGACGAGGGCGAGGAGGAGCAGGGCGCCCGCCGTGAGGGTGGAGAGCGATTTGGAGAGCACTGCCATGCTGAACGTGAACGGCAGGGTGACGAGGGAAAAGAGTAGTGTACACGGATGGTTGGTGGTCTGACGATGGTTGGACATCAAACAGGTGGGAAGAACGAGGTGCTTGCAGTGACCCAGAGCGAAAAGGGCACGCGATCGGACGAACGATGACTGTATGTGTGGTGTATACTGTAGGAGGATGGTGATGGTGGTGATGGTGGTGATGGTGGTAGTGATGGGGCACATCCGGTTTGATGTCGATGCATTTGCCGAGGTTTTTCTCTGCAATGTGAATCCAAAGCCAAAAGAACGCAAGACGCACAGACGTGGTCGACTCGCACCGTCACGCGCGAACCACCCGCGTATCGCTTGCGTCTCGAGATGGAGTCGAACGTGAGTTTCACCGGAAAGCGCAACCATTCACGGTCTAACATTCGACGATGTTCGATCCTCGAAAAAGTGGGCCGCTTGCTTTTCTCTCGAGTCGCAACATCATATGCTACGACGCAATCCCGACTCCCACCCGTGACCATCACGCTTCATGTTGGCCACAGTAGCCCTGTTCCGTGCTCTCGAGCCGAGCTATCGCACAAGCGCTCGTACGAAACACAAATTTGAACGCAGCTGCCAATTTTGTTGCTTCCTCCTCTCGCACACTTCGTCAGTGATCTTCATCGCTCTTCATTCATTCCCCCCCACACCGTCGACTGTTTCGCTGTTCCCACTCCATCGAACCTATTGAACTGCACTTCTCGCTTACGTTGACATGCATCCTGGAAGCACGATTGTCTGTGTGTCCACCTCCAGCCTCAAGCCACACCGCTTTCCCCCGCCAAAAGGGTGGACCGGCAAACTTCTTCCGTCTTTCTCGCCTTTCCTTTCTGTTCTCAAGGTGTTAGCCGAGCGAAGGCACCGGAGTGGGCTTAACCGCAAAGGGACGGTTTCGCTTCGGTTCATTCGATGGGGAAAAGAAGAAAAAGAGCAGCGGACGGAGAAGGAAAAAAAGAATGCCGATCTGCCGTCGATTAGTGCGCATCGAATTGTGCAGCTTTTGTGTGGGGAGAAGGAGGCGGCGGACCGGCGTACTTCGCTTGTAGATTTCTTTCCCCACACTCACACACACAGAAATGCCAGTTTTTTTTGCCGAGCTTACCCTGTGCTCCTTCTGAAGCAGAAAGGAAGCGTGACCTTCGCTTACCATGTCTGCCAGGCTACCGACACGTTACCATTCCGGCGTTCTGACAGATGCGCTACGGAGACCAACGTGGTGTGGGGATTCCAGAGAGCACCGGCGACCCTCCTTTAACATGTGACTTTAGTTCAGGGCGCGCGTTGGCGAGGTAGGAAACGTGAAGCGTTGGGCGCAAGGTGGGGTGGGGTGCATTGCCGATGGTCGCGTCATTGTGGATTGGGCTTTCCTTGAAGACGGTTCGGAGAACGATGCTTGCGGAAGAGGGTGCGCAGGTCGCCGGTGAAGAGCATGTGCTTTTTTTGTGCACTTTCGGATGATGCTAAGCACAGACCTGCTTGGTAGACCGAGGGCGGAGCTAAGAGAAGCTGCGGTTACAGGAGCGATTCTTCGAGAGAGGTTCCAAAGATGGACCCTGAGATGCAGGGGTGGGTTGGAGGAGCGGCCCACTGCGCACCGGTCAGCGCTATACACGCAATTGCTGTACAGAGGCCGTGTCTACATCCATCGTCCATAAATACCACCCTTCTCTCACTCCAATTACTCCCTTCCGACTCATCACCCTTTTCACCTCAAGGCCTCCTCCACCAAAAGCGTCGAAGAGTGAGACACACTCTCTCTCGCTCAGTCAGTCCTCGCACCATGTTGATCAAACGCGAAATCACCCTGGCGCCGATCGCCTTTATGCACCTCAACTTCTCCTTCCCGGACTGTACCAAGCCACCGCTCTCCTCCAATGCCATCTGCAACCCTTCGCTCGACTACTACACGCGAGCCTCCGCCCTCGTCAACGAATTCAACACCACCGAGCTCGTCAACAACACCATCAACTACGCTCCCGGCGTCCCGCGTCTCGGCGTGCCCAACTACCAGTGGTGGACTGAGGCGCTGCACGGAGTAGCTGGAAGTCCCGGTGTCAATTTTAATGAGGACGAGTCGGCAGAGTATGGTTCTGCGACGAGTTTCCCCCAGATCATCAACTTGGGTGCTACGTTCGACGACGGGCTTTATCAGCAGGTGGCTTCGCACATTGCGAACGAGACGAGGGCGTACAGCAACGCTGGGAAGGCAGGGTTGAACCTGTACAGTCCTCTCAACATCAACGCCTTCCGCGATCCTAGGTGGGGTCGTGGACAGGAGACGGTCGGTGAGGACCCGCTTCACCTCAGTCGGTTCGCCGTCAAAGTCGTACACGGTCTCCAAGGTCCGCAGGCGCAAGACGACAAGAACCCGCGTCTCACCGTCGCCGCTACGTGCAAGCACTATCTCGCATACGACATCGAAGAGTACGATGGGGTGGAGAGGTACCAGTACAACTCGATCGTCTCAAAGCAGGATCTGGCGGACTTCTACCTGCCTCAGTTCCGTGCTTGTGTCAGGGATGGAGGGGCCACGACGTTGATGACTTCGTACAACGCGGTCAACAGCGTACCCCCCTCCGCGTCGAAGTACTACCTCGAAACGTTGGCGAGGAAGACGTGGGGGTTGGACAGGCACAACAACTACGTTACTTCGGACTGCGATGCCGTCGCCAACGTGTACGACGGTCACCACTACGCCGACAACTACGTCCAGGCTGCTGCGGACAGCATCAACGCCGGCACGGATCTCGACTGCGGCGCCACCTACTCGGACAACCTCAACGCCGCTCTCCAGCAGAACCTGACCGATGTCAAGACGATCCGTCGTGCCGTTACGCGGATGTTCGGATCGCTCGTGCGACTGGGTTACTTCGACAAGGCGGAAGGGCAGCCTTTGAGGCAGTTGGGTTGGAAGGATGTTAACGGGAAAGCGGCGCAGGATCTGGCGTACACTTCGGCGGCGCAGAGTTTGACGTTGTTGAAGAATGTCCAGAAAACACTTCCACTGGAAGAGAAGGATACGAGGGGGAAGAAGATCGCGCTGATCGGACCGTATACGAATGCGACGGTTGCGCTGCGTGGCAACTACGCAGGACCCTCGCCCTTCGTCATCACCATGCTTCAAGCCGCTCAAAACACCTTCGCCGACTCGACGATCGTCTCTGCCAACGGAACCAACATCACCGGCGCCTACAACCCCACCCTCGCCTCGGCCGCTCTCGACGCTGCTCGAGACAGCGACACGATCATCTTCGCCGGAGGAATCGACCCCACCGTGGAAGGGGAGGCCAACGACCGGCTCAACATCACCTGGCCTCCCGCGCAGCTGCAGTTGATCGACGAACTGAGCAAGCTCAACAAGAAGCTCGTCGTCATCCAGTTCGGTGGTGGACAGATCGATGGAGCTGCGCTGAAGGCGAACCCGAAGGTAGGGGGGTTGTTGTGGGCGGGGTATCCGGGACAGAGTGGTGCGCAGGCGGTGATGGACGTAGTGGCGGGTAAGATGAGTCCGGCTGGAAGGCTGCCCATCACGCAGTACCCGGGAAGCTACACCGACGGTCTGCCCGAGTCCAAGATGGCCTTGAGACCGGATGCAGCCACCAACTACCCGGGAAGAACGTACAAGTGGTACTCGGGCAACGCGACCTATCCCTTCGGCTACGGATTGCACTATACGACCTTTGCGGCTTCCATCAAGAGTCCTTCCGAGTACACGATCCCCTCTTCGACCAGCAACTACGCGGAACACGAAACGGTAGCAGACATCGAGGTGACGTTGCACAACACGGGAAAGACGACCTCGGACTACGCAGCACTGCTCTTCGCCAAGCACAGCAACGGTCCAGCTCCCTATCCGAAGAGGAGCTTGGCAGGGTACACGAAGGTGAAATCGGTGAAGCCGGGGGAGAAGAGACAGGTGGTGGTCAAGGTGACCCAGGCGGCGTTGGCGAGGGCGGACGCGGGGGGCAATGAGATTCTGTACCCGGGCGAGTATACGTTGGAGTTAGATACCGAGGAAGGCGTGGAGAAGGTGTTGGCGAGCACCAAGTTGAGGTTGATGGGGCAGGAGAAGAATGTGATCCCGTGGGTGAAGGGGGATATGTCGTGAAGAGCGGAGCGGAGAAGGAAGGACTTTGCTCGATGCTGCATCGGAAGAAGAATGTTGTTGGAGGCGAGTTTGTATTGCGATGAGAAGAAGTTGTTTGTATCAGACAATGCCGGAGCAATACATGATTGACAGACAGAATTACACAGCGTGCCTTGTGGAGAATCTGAGTGAGATGCCCAAACCCACATCCAACATCTTGTTCTCCGCGCTTCACGCGGTCGTCGGAGCACTGGCGATGGCCGGCAACCTCAACAACCTCTTGACATCCTCATTCTCTGCCACCTCCTGCTCCTCCCTCCTGACCTTTTCCCTCTGCCTCTCCTTCCACTCGCTCTCCAACGCCTTTTGACTCAACGTCCTGCTCGCAATCACCAACTTCCACCACTTCAAGTAGACCTCCTTGACCTCCTTCTCGCCCATCTTGCCATCGGACGCCTCTCCCATGCGCTGGCACAATTCTCCCTCTGGGATCTTTGCGAACCTTGAACCGTCCATACCGTCCAACACGACCTGCACCTGCTCCTCGCCCAGCGGAGAATACTTTGCGAGCCAAGCAGCGAGTCGTTCGTTGGACCAGAAAAAAACGTTTCTACCTTGGGGATCTGGTTTCAACTCGATCCTCTCGTGTGGAGAGGTGACGAGAGCATCAGCATAGCGCAGCGTGTTCAAGCTGGCCGCCACATCCACCGCGTCTGGACTGGCAGTTGCGATGAGCACCGTATGCGTCGGTTGACGCGAATACAAGTCGAACGCTTCCTTGAGCGCGAGCGTCAACTTGCTGCTTCGAAAGGGAATGTGAGGAACACTCCCATTCGCGGCTGTAGCAGGGGAGGTTCGAGCACGTATGCAGTTCTTGAGCGTCATGAGGCTGGTATTGATCGCAACGGTCTCGGACATACGGGTGGGATCTTTGGAGGATGAGGGGGAGTGGTCGGCTGCACGTTCGCTTCCAGCAAGATCGACCAGCTGAAGCACTCCCGGGGTGGAGTTGCGGTCGGTGGTCGAAGTGCAGATGATTCGAATGATCGCGTGCGATCGTGACGATGTAGGGTTCTTTTCGGTACCCCGCGTGATGCGTTGCGACCAAGCAGCGGTGATCTCCTCCAACATCTCAATTGCGCTGGAAACGGTCTTGGTAGTGGTCTTGCTGAAGGTGGAGGAACCAGCGATGTTTTCCGCGATCAAAACTCGTGCGTTCGAAAGATCGAACAGATCGTTGACCTTGTTCTTTCCGTAGATCTCAATAGCCTGAATCGAGATCGAGCATTGACCGTCGTTGGAAGAGAATAAGGTGGAGATGGCGAGACGGGAGCATTCGGACAGCGTGTAGGTTTTGCCAGACCCGGTTTGACCGTAGGCGAGGACGGTGGAGTATCCGCCGCGCAGGACGAAGGGTATGAGGGGTTCGATGTGGTAGGTGTAGAGGGTGGAGGTGGCGGAGTCGGGGAGGTAGCAGTGGTCGGAGGTGAAGGTGTGAGGTGTGTGGGTAGGGGTCGAGGAGGAGAGGGCGGTGGAGGAGCGCGGTTCGAGGACGGTGGTGGTGGTGTGAGGTGGGGAGGAGGTGATGAGTGGAGGAGGGGTGGGGGAGAGGAAGGATGGTCGGATGCGGAAGAGGACGGTAAAGTCGCGTTCCATGGTGTAGGATGGTGATGATGATGAAGAGGACGAAAGCAAACTGGTAGTACAAGGTGTTGGAGTGTTGGTCTTTCCTCTTTGGACTCGCGCGTGTCTCCGCGGCCTGCGTTTTCTGGCAGTTCTTGGCATTTTGGAACGCATTTCCAGAGTTGGTCGAATTTCTCCTTTGCTCCCCCACACCCATCCTCACACGATGAGAAATGTTACGTCGTTCAGCCACCGCGCACCGCCGTTATCGCAATCCGGACAAGACCGACGAATCAGACTCTCCAAACGGCGGTTGACAGCGCGCCGGTTGAAATTACAGTGCAAGACTTGTCTGCTCGCCTGTCCAAAATGGCAAGTTCAAGAAGAGCAACTCGCTTAGCCGCTGTGGCTTCTGGTGCGTCGGATCGACAAGGTCCGAAGCCTCTTTCCTCTCGCGGATCTGCAGAGAGGGAGCAAGTCACGAGATATGGTCAATCTCCGAGCAGCCGCTCGACGTTCAGACCGATAAGCCGACGTTGGCGCGATGCAGGTACACCGGCTGGGTGGGGTTCGTTTGGAGGACCCTTTCGGTGTGGGCAGAAAAGTGAGAAGATCGCTCCATGATACGTTCGCGATGGGGTGGTGAACGACAGCATATATACTTCATATCTTCAAGTTTTTCTTCGTCGTTGCTTCACACTTCTCCTCCCATCCAGACACGACGATATGTTAGGTGGCACGTTCCAGAAAAGCTCCGCGGCACTGCTGCTCCTCGGCCAGCTAGCAACACTCTCTTTCGGCTCTACCATCCCTGCCATCTCCCCTCGCAGCAGCAAGAGCGACGGCTTCATCCTCGAGCATCACCTCGGCAACCTCTCCCCTTACTTTGACGCTCCCATCCCATCCCACCTCTCGCTCGGCGTCCCCTCCGGCTGCCACGTCTCTCAAGTCTCGCTCATCCACCGTCACGGCTCGCGCGGACCCATCTCGCAGGAAATCGGTACCATCCGAAACCTCTCGTACTACCTCAACAACCACACCTCTCTCCTCACCTCGCCTCACTCCGCACCACCGCGCAAGCTCGCCTTCTTGGCTCAGAACGGTGGTGGCTGGAGTTCGGATAACTTGCATCAGGACGACCTCACTGCTGTCGGTCGTCGGGAGCTCTTCGACCATGGCGTGCAGATGAAGCTCGACTATCCCCATCACAACACCACGCTGTTCTTGGCAGGACAGCAGGATAGGGTGGTTGAATCGGCTCAATGGTTCGCAGCTGGATACCTCGGCAAGAACTACAACTCGACGGGTACGCTCGATGTTATCTCGGAAAGCCTCGGTGTCAAGTCCTACATCACACCGACGGAGACGTGCAAGAACTGGACGTATTCCTCCGGTGGAAAACCCGTCGAGCAATGGGGCAAAGTCTACCTTCCACCCATCGCGAAACAACTCAATGCCGAGGTAGCAAAAGTTTGGCCGGGGTTGAGCTTCACGGAGGACAACGTTCACGGTATGCTGTGGGCGTGTGCGTACGAGTTGGCGAGCAAGGGAAAGGTGGCACAATCGAACTGGTGCGGGGTGTTTGAGAAGGATCAGATCGAGCAGTTCGAGTACGAATTGGATCTGCTGATGCGCGGTGCATTCGGGTATGGGCTACCTAACGGGTCTGGTCAGGTGATGGGGAGTTTGTTCGTTTCGAATTTGACGCAACGTCTTACCCAACCGGAGATGTTCAAGGAACCAAATGGGGAGCAGAGGACGTTGTTCTTTGACTTTGCACACGATACGACGATCGATCTCATCCTCACCACCCTAGGTCTAGCCGCGGATAAGACGTACCCGGTCGAGGGACCAGTCAACCCACAGAGGAACTGGAGGACGAGCTATCAGGTTCCGTTCGCCGCTCAGATGGAGTGGAGGAAGCTCAGCTGTGACGCGGGTAGGAAGGAGATGATTCAGCTGCATTTGAACAAGGCTCCGGTTGATTTGGGCAAGCTGTGCAGGACGGATGGGTTTGGCGGGTGCGTGTTGGACGAATTCTTGGAGGCGGAGCAGGTGAAGAAGGCGAACGAGGTGCAGGTGGGGGATGACGTCTGGACTGCTGCTTGTGGCAAGTGAGCGTCATCCTGGTAGCTCGTCAAGCACTGTCTCTGGTCGTGGAAGATATTGTATCGCGCCTTGCGTACTGGGATGGATTGCAGTGTGTGAGCATGTGTTGAGACTCACGAGCTATGAGAGACGACGAGCATGGTGAATATTTCGGTTCGGCAGTTTCTCAAACCTAACATTTATATTTGATAATTGCGAAATGTGGAGAAATCGTCGCGGCTTCTTACGCAAACACTGAAAGCTGCAGCTTCTCGCCCGCTCTCTCTGTCTCCGGACTTGGTCCGAGCTCACCCTCTCGCACCGCTATCACCACCATCATCGTTGTCGCTTCGTACCCTTTCAGGATCACCCGTCGACCGCCGTTCATGTTGGCACGTCCAGCAGCCCGGTTCATCCTCCAACGCTCAACCACTCTCACCACCTCGCGCACAACCTCTTTCGCCCTCACCACTTCCACGCGTCTAGCTCTTTCTCGACCGCGCCCCTTGACCATGTCATCCTCCTCCTCTGCCGCTGCCCCGGCACCCGTCATGCCCACCTTCACCAAGACCCCTCTCCCCGACTTCTCCACCTCCAACCCGCTCGGCTCTCCGAACAAGTACATCTCCACCGCCGCCTGTCTCATCATCGGCGACGAGGTGCTCAACGGCAAAACCAAGGACTCGAACAGCAACTATTTCGCCAAATTCTGCTTCGACCTCGGCATTGATCTCAAACGGATCGAAGTGATTCCGGATGATGAAGAGGTGATTGTGGAAGCGGCTAGACGTCTTACGCGGGATCACGATTTTGTGATTTCTTCGGGGGGGATCGGTCCTACACCGGATGACATCACCTATTCTTCCATGGCAAAAGCGTTTTCGCAAGACGGGAAGTTGGTTTACGACGAAGAGGTGATTCGACGTATGGCGGAGAACCTCAAAGCTCGTCAAGTCAACACCTCGGGCATTACAGAGGATATGATCACGGCGAGAAAACGTATGGCTCTGTTCCCAGCAGAAAAGGCAGAGGTGATCTTCCCAACGGAAAACCTCTGGGTTCCAGTCGTTAGGATGGATGGCAAGCTGTGCATCCTCCCCGGCGTTCCAAGACTCTTCGAAGCCCTCATCGACGGCCTAGAACCCTACCTACCCCTAGACCCTAACCGTCCCCGTCCCTACAGAGTCCTGATCCATACAAGGTTGCCCGAAAGCAACATCTCCCCCTTCCTGGTAGAGCTAACCGAAAAGTGCAAGAAGTGGGAGATCAAGGTCGGAAGTTACCCCAAATGGAACAACGGTGTCGATGTAAGTTTGATCGGAAACGACTGGGATAAGCTCAAAGAGTTGATCCCGGAGGTCGAGGAGAGGGTGGAGGGGAAGCTGATCGAGAGTGGACAGCTGGGCAAGAGCCGTGAGCAACAACAGCAGCACAAGATGTGATGGAAATCAAGGAGGAGCAGGAGACACACACGCGGAAGGCTCACACACGGGAGAGATGATACAAGACGATGGTTCACAATGTCTTATGTGGGAATTGCTGGATGGAATAACTTATCAAGACATCAAGCGGGAGTACGATTACAGAGATGCGGGTGACAAAAGAGAAGATGCTGAGAAGAGGGAAATGCAAGATGCGAATGCCAAGTCATGAATGCTGCTTAGTCGTCGACGATATGTCGACCTGTGTGTGTTGTGTGATGTAGGTCAGGTGCAAAAAGGTGTCCCGCGAGGGTGGTTGAGCCTAATCGAGCGGATCCTCTTCGATCTTTGCGTGCCCGAATTCGTCCAAGTCGTCGTCTTCGTCCGACATGTCCTCGTCCTCCATGCCGTTCGCGTTAGCGTTCCCCTCGTGATTGGGCAACACCACCAGCCCGTTCCTATGCGGATCGAACTGCACGCTGATCTGCGGATCCTCCTTGATGTTGACCCTGCCGGACAGGATGAGGATCGACAGCGGCGAGAGCAGCTCCTGCTGGATCGCCCTGTTGAGCGGTCGAGCACCCATCGTAGGCGAGAAGCCGATCGAGACCAAAAAGTCCTTTGCTGCGTCGTCGAGCACCAACCTGGACTTGCCGCCGTTCGCCTGGATCCTCTGCTCGATCTCGCGCAGACGCACATCCACGATCGACTTGACGTTGCGGCGCGACAGCTTGCTGAACACGACGATGCTGTCGATGCGGTTGACAAATTCGGTGGGCATGGCGGCCTTGATGCTGTTCATGACGAGCTGGCGCGTGGCGTCGTTCATGCTCTCGTCCTCGGATTCGTTGATGTACGACGAGCCGAGGTTCGAGGTCATGATGATGATCGTGTTGCGGAACGAGACCTGGCGACCCTGGCTGTCCTGCAGACGGCCCTCGTCGAGCACGCCGAGGAAGAGCTGGATGAACTCGCGCGCCGCCTTCTCGATCTCGTCGAGCAGGACAATGCTGAAGGGCTTGCGGCGAACGGCTTCGGTCAGAACACCGCCTTCCTCGTGGCCGACGTAGCCGGGAGGCGCGCCGATGAGACGCGAGATCGAGTGCTTCTCGGAAAACTCGCTGCAGTCGATGCGAATCATGGCATCGGCCGAGTCGAACATGCACTTGGCCAAGGTACGGCTGAGCAGCGTCTTTCCCGAGCCCGAAGAGCCGGCGAAGAGGAACGAGGCGATCGGACGGTTCGCATCCGCGAGACCGGAGCGAGAGAGTCGAATGGCTTGGGCAACGCTCTTGACCGCCTCATCCTGGCCGATGACCTCCTTAGCCAAGGTACGCTCGAGGCGGAGCAGCTTGTTCTTCTCGGACTCGAGCATGCGCGAGACGGGTATGCCCGTCCATCGCGAGACGATGGCGGCGATCGAATCAGAGGTGACCGCGTTGTTGTCCGAGTTGAGACCTTCCTCTTCGCGTTTGCGTTCGGCCGCCTGGAGCTGCTGCAGCTTGGTCTCCAGATCGGGCAGCGCGTAGAACTTGAGATCCGAAGCGGTGGCGAGATCGTAGCGACGCTCGGCCTCGGCGATCTTGGCTCGCACCTCCTCCATCTTGCGACGGACCGAGTTGATCTCCTCGCCCTTTGCCTTCTGCGCTTCGAAGGCCGCCTTGATGGGTGCGAGTTCGTCATCGATGGCCTGGATCTGCTTCTTGGTCTCCTCGAGCGACTGCTTGGACTGGGCGTCCTTCTCTCGGGAGAGTGCGTGCACGGCAATCTCGAGCTGCAGACGCTTGCGCTCGAGCTTGTCGACCTCTTCGGGGACAGTCTCACGCGACACCCTGACGTCGGCGCAGGCCTCGTCGACCAGGTCGATGGCCGAGTCGGGCAGACGTCGATCGGTGAGGTAGCGTTTTGCAAGCTGGGCTGCCGATACGATGGCCGAGTCGAGGATGCGTACGCCGTGGTGGACCTCGTACTTGTCGCGGATACCTCGGAGGATGGCGATGCAGTCCTCGACGGTGGGCTCGTTGACGAGGATCGATTGGAATCGACGCTCGAGCGCGGCGTCCTTCTCGATGTATTGCCTGTATTCGTTGGCGGTGGTGCAGCCGATGACGCGGAGCTTGCCGCGGGCCAGCATAGGCTTGAGCAGGTTGGCAGCATCCATGCCACCTCCGGAACTGCCTTGGCCTGCCATGAGCAGGTGCATCTCGTCGATGAAGAGGATGCAGGGTGTACCGTCAGCGGTCATCTTTTCAATATCGGAGAGCACCGCCTTGACACGCTCCTCGTACTCGCCGCGGTACTTGGCGCCGGCCATGAGGCCACCGACGTCGAGGCTGAGGATCTTGCCAAGAAGGTTGGGCGGCACATCGCGGTCGACGACACGCTGGGCCAGACCTTCGACGATGGCGGTCTTACCTACACCGGGACTGCCGATGAGCACGGCGTTGTTCTTCGTCCTCCTGGAGAGGACGCGGACGGCTCGTCGGATTTCCTGGTCACGGCCGATGACGGGATCGAGCGAGCCCTCGGCTGCGAGCTGTGTGAGATCGGTGCAGTACTTTGCGAGTGCGTCGTAGCCCGCTTCGGCCGTCTTGCTGTCAATGTGTCGGCCACCGCGTGCCTGTGTGATGGCAGTCTTGATGAGCTGTTCGTTGGCGAGACCGGCTTCTTTGAGCAGCTGTTTGATGGTGTTATCGTGGATGAGGCCGAGAAGGATGTGGTCTTGCGCGATGTAGGCGTCTCGCTGTGTGCTTTTCTGGTTTTCCGCTTCTTTCAAGACCTTGAGCGCAGGGCTGGATAGGCTGATGTCGTCGGGCGGAGGCTCCTGGGAAGGGATTTTGCGTATTGCTGTGCGAAGCTTGTCTTCGAATATCTTGGTGTCGACGCCAGCCTTGGTGCAGATGCTTTTGAAGAGCGATTGGCTCGATTCGTTGGTGGATTGAACGCCTTGTGAGTTGGAAGTGTCGTCGGTCAAGAGCGCCAGCGCAATGTGGACAGGGCTGACCTGGGGATGCGAGTGGTCCTTGGCGAGCTGGAGCGCTGCCGAGACCGATGACTGAGCGCGTTCCGTGAATTCAAACGACATGGTGTGAATGCGAAGGTATCAGGTGGACGTCAAAGCTTGTGAGGGATTGAAGTGATTGTGATATGTGTAGCGTGAGCGAGTGCGGCGTCCGAAGACAATCGACGGAGAGAGGGAAGGGGATCACAGTTACTGCTCCGCTTTTGCAAGGGTATATATGGGCTGTGAGCCGACGAGTGATGAGGAGTGTATGACTGATGTGAAGCAAACCTCGGACTTGAATCCGATAGCAAGATGACAGAGACAGACAGACAGTCAGCCAAGTGCAGGTGATTCACGAGAGGTGAGTGAATCGGAATGCATCTTTCTCGACCTGAAGCCATCGAAAAGTCGCGTGGCCTCCACACTCGTCTGGCGCCTTCCAGCGCTTTCTCGAACACCCACGCTGGAAACGACGAACTCTCCAGCTGCTCGAGCCGCGCTCAGAAGATCGCTATATCCGAAACAGCCGATCGAGTCTATTCAAAATGCCCGATTCGCTCCCCGATCGCTATTGGAGCCCCACAGTCTAGTTCTGGCGGCTCGTGCAGAGAGGGTCCACAGTAGCACGCGTCGGAAGAGTTCACGATCTGCGCCCTTCACAAGACCCTTTGGCGGCCACAAGCAGCCTATGTCGGTCTTCTCTCGCTCATTCATGCTCAGAACGGTCCTCTTGCACTCGATCAATTAATTTCTCGGCGGTGACTCTGTGTGCAACAGCCCTGCACAAATTGAGAGCGAACGCCCACCAGACAATGGTGACGAGAATGCATTCTTCGCAAGCATCGACAAAGATAATGAAGAGTAGACCCAGGGATGCTGGAGGTCAGATGCCCCCGCTTGGCGCATGGGGCTGATGAGCATAGCTCTGGTAGGCTCGAGAGGGTGCCTGCTGCAGCGGCGGGTTGGCCCACGCCGTGGGCGACGTGGGCTGCTCGCCTGGCGAGTGCTGGTGCGTCGACGCGCCTGGCGAAGCGTTGTTCTGCAGACCAAGATACTCCTGCTTCTCGCCCCGCGTGTTTGCCGACTTCTCTCGCCACTCTCGCAGGTCGCGAGGGAGTAGCGCCAGGCCTGCCAGGTAGGCGACGAAAAGCAGCGCGGCCCAGATCCAGAGAATCCACGACGCCCATCGAGGCACACCCCAATCCCACAGATGAAGCCCTGCTGTGGCGTTCCAGATGGCAGCGACCGTGACGCCGAGCCCGATGACGACGTGCACAATCCTCGAAACGTTGAAGCGCTTGGTCTTGTGACCCACAGCGCCCAGCAGCATCTGCACAAACATGATGATGAAGATGGCGAGTCCAGCCTTGGCGTGCGTGCTGTCAAAGTGAGTGCCAGACCCTACTTCGACGATGATGAGGACCATGCCGATGAGCACGAACACGAACGCGGCAATCTGAATTCCGCGATGTGCCGGGAACCAGGTGAAGAAGGTGCGGCCGTAACGACCGATGAGGATGGCAGCGGGAACCAAAATGAACCAAGCGACGATCATCATGACCATGTGTGCGATGATGAGACGGTTGTTCCTGTTCAGCACGCGATGAGACCGGTTCTGGTCTTCAGTGTTGCCTCCGTTCGTCGCTGGAGTGACGGGTGTGTTGGTCCCCGTGTTGGACCCGGTCGAAGAGGAGGAACTCGACGTGTACGGCTTTGTCAGATCCAAGGTCATCGAGCCGTATGCTGTGTGACGCCTGATCGATGCGCTGGTGCTCGAGTCCGGGTTATTCTGCTTGTTGACGGCCCAGATGAAGGGCGTCGATGCCGAAGGGGCTGTTTCGGAGCCAGACATGGGGAACGACCACGCCCAGACGGTGCCGGAGCTGTTGGAGAAGGAGTGTGCCGGTTCCATGGTCGCAGCCAACGCTGTGATGCTGGTGCTAGGATTGCTGTGTCCGGAGGCGGTGCGTTGCGACATGACAACTTTGCCCGTGGTATCCACCCACCCAATCTGATAGCACCCGAGGAAGCAAGCATTGCAGATAAGGTCCAACGAACAAGAAAAGAATGTCAGCAACTCTCCTCGTATGCCGCCTAGGCGCCTAGACCGTCTTGTGCAGTATCGGCGTGCGGAGACTTACCATCATGTTGGAGCCGTCCATCCTGCTTCCAGTGCCGACAGCGTACCAACCCATCGGTGCACCACCGCCGTTGGCAGACATGGTCATGTTCATCCTCCTTTCAGAAGGGCTGTAGACAGCGCGTAGGCATACGTTCTGTTGTCGTCATGGCATGTGAGAATAGGGCGCGGCAAGTGGTCAGTCACCGACGCGGGCGAAGAAGACGACTAGCAACGCGACCTTGACTTACCGAGTTGCAAGAAGTGTCGGCGAAGAGGGAAGCTTGGTCGGTCGATTGCGCGTTGGCAGAGGCCGAAAGCAAGAGCAGCAGGCATGCCATAATGACGGCAGATAGCTTCGACATGGCGCCAATCATGACTTCGCTGAGGAAGAGCGAGGTCGATTGCGGAGTGTCGGATCGAATGGAGTCGAAGATGAGAAAGATCGGAGAGCCCTCAGGCTAGATGCTAGGGACGACTGCCAATATATACAACTGCAAGCCGACGTTGGGACTGCGAACGGCCGAGCTTGTCAGGATCGACTGCAGAGCTAAGGCTATGCGGCGATTTCAAGGAAAAGGCGGGAAGGTGATGGGGACAATGCGAGCAAGGTGGGTTGGGCGGTGGGTGGATTTTAAGGTTGAGTCGTAGCGTGCGAAAGCACAGGACAGCCGCTTCGATGCAGATGAAGCGGAAAAGGTGGCAGCAGAGGAAAATGACGAGGGTGGACGGAAGGGCCGAAACCGTGGTGGCTAGATGAATGGAAGCGCCGATGATCAAAGTTCAGGGTTGATGAGGTGATCAAGATGGAAGAGCCGAACCCTGCTCGAATAGCGCAAAGGTCGATGTGGGCAGGAACACAGCCGAGGAACAGGCTGGAGACAGTCCAAGAGCTCCCTGCTGTTTATGTCTCTGAGTTACCGTAGCTCTTCACGTAGCTCTGGCGAAAGGATCCGGAGCCATGAAGTCGCAGACCCTGGGTGGGGTTCAAGCACGGAGATGGATGGGTCGATGAGGATCGGCGGTCAAGAAGCTCTGGCGGTGCTTCTCTCGTGTGGAAAGGCTCGTGAATCGCACGTCTGGCGAACCCAGAAAGTCAGGGACGCAGCAAGAGCGGGAAGGAAGAGCCAAAGCCAACGAGCATACTGTAAGGTTCGCTCCGGCTTCGAGCAGTGGTTTGGTCGCCAAAGCATTGGGCAAATGCGATGCATTGCTCATGCAATCATGGCGGGACGTGGGCGGCGGCGGAAGAATCCCGAATAGCAGGATGGAATGCAGCTACAGCGGCGGCTGGACAGAGGGATTGCCTGCATCCACATCGTCGTTCTCGTCTGGCTTGGCGACAAGGGCAGATCCACACGGCACCATCGATGTCAAGCCGATGGGGCCAAGAAGCCAAGATCAGGCCAAGCCAAAGGACTGGCTCGACACGAGGCATGAGAGCGTGATGACAGAAGTGACAGGCAGCACCTTTTTTGCTTGGAATCGCGTGTCTCGGTCAATTAGGCACGGAATGCAGCACAGGGTAAGTCGCTGCAGAGCGGTTTCATGGGGGATGGAGGCTCGACGTCCGAGGCAGAACCCTGCATGACCATTTGTCGAGGAGGCAGTGCTGGCAGGTGCAGCTGGACAGCGCGGAGTATGTAGTTGCAGCAGAGGAAAGTGGCCGAAACAGAGGATGCGAAGACAGACAGCCAGAGCGCGTGCGTCAAGATCGCCGGGGCGTGTCGCTGACCAAAAGGGAAACAATCCTCCGTCCTCGTGGGCATGAAACGAGCAAGCCATGTTGGCAGCTGGCACTAGATCTGCATCCGAGAACCCAGGCGATCAGAGCGTGGAATTGATTTCTGTTAAGTGCTTGGGCGGCACTTTTCCCTTATTAATAAATAGCCACGCTCCGATTTGAAATTCTATCCTTTGGAAGTCGTGACGTTTGGCCCTAGGATGTCGCGTGTGATCTGTCAAGAGAGGCTTTGTCGCTCTACTTGGTATGCACTGGCTGAAAGTCATGGATGCGCTGTATTCTGGATAGAGAGCTGCTTCGCAATTTGGCTCGGGTGAGTGACGAGAAGGCAGTGCATCGGAAGGGCCGAGCTGAGGGCTGTGCATTTCACTTTATCAATCTCCCTCGGAGCGGGGATGCTAGATGAAGCGAAGAGGTGGTGGTACTGTACTTGCACGGCAACAATGCATACGGTATGCAGACTGTCGCCAAACGCAGCGTCGACCGTCGGGCCACCACAAGAGCAAATTATCTCGGCTCTAAGTTAAGCAACATTTGCCTCGAGCTCTGCATATTTGAGTGGCAGGGATCCGCAATGGCTCTTGCAACTCGTTGCGGAATTGGCTCGAAGCGAAACCCTGTGAGATGCGAGGTGTCGGCGGCTCGAATGTACATGAGCCCCTTTTGTTGAAAGCGTAGCAGCAGCAGCGCGAAAATGACGCTACTCTCCTGACCAAGAAGCGAGAGGAACGCTCGCGCCGATTGCGCACGCGGCAGCGACACTAAGCTTAGTCTCGTACCATTGTAGAGGATTCACGCTAGACCAGCACATGAGCGCAGGTGCTTGGTCCCCGCTGACAGGCGACTGTACCGCTAAAGCACTAGAGTCGCGACCACGCGCTCATTGACATCCACGATCTCGGTTTCAGGCAAAGCTAGCGGACAAGCGTCATAGGAGAAGGTGAAGTCACCGGCGGTCGCGGTCAACGTAATGACGTGGCGCGTGATGCGATGGCATGTTCGGAGCGAAGATGGCCACGCGCGAATTCCTCCCTACCGACCGACGGCCCAAAAGGGCAGGAAAATCATATGTCGACGTCTACACCAGCAAACACGGCATCAGCTTCCTTCAAGCGAGCGACCACCGTGACGTCTACAACTCTTCGTCCCAGATCCCGATCGCCATGGTCTGTCCTGACAGGTACAAGCTTTCTGTCGCTTGCGTGCACCGGTCGAGAGCTGAGCCATGTCAGCAAGCTTTCTCTGAACCTTCGTCCACGGCTCACAGGCAGCGCTTGAGCGGTAAGGACCATCCAGGTTGAAGTACGTTCGGGCCGAAGCATTCGCTACAGAGCTGCTGCAAGGCGTCTACGACGCATCTCGCATAAAGAACGGATTTTCTGGAAGCTCTCTGGAGCGTCGCGATCCAAGCTGACCGGGTGCTGTGTGTGCATGGCGGCTCCAATCAACGCTCTTCGGTCTGTTGGCAAGGTGCAAAGCTGCGTGATACATGCGCATCCAAGACCTGTGGTGGCGCTTTCTTTTCATCGAGCGTGCCGCCGGATCAGATCCACACACGTACCCGCGAGACGTGCAGAACGTTGCATTTGTTGGCGGTCGAGGCTCGATTCATTTTATTTAATTGCAACAAAGCTTTCAACACACAGTGTCGGTCCAACACCCCAAATGCGATTTCACTCGTGATCCCGGATCGCCATCGGGAGAATGCTAGAATAAGCGACCCGATCCGATCAACCCTCGACCCTCGAGGACAAGTTCGAAACAGCAAAACAGCAAACACGGCGAACCGTGTTGCGCTGTGGGTGGGTCGAGGGCACACGTTCACCCTGATCCCACCTTCATACAAACAGCGTGGAGCATCAGCAGAGCGCCTTTCGCTGCATCTATCACACCGCCTCGCCCTCGAAAGCGATTGGCTCGCTTCGCCGCTTCGCGCTTGGCCGAACTATCGCCAACATGTCGGTCCGTTCCTGCTCACGAAAGATACTTGCTCGCTGCTGATTTGCGTACCTACCCTCTGTCAGCTGTCAAAGTCTGCGCCCGCCGCTCCCTCAATCTGCTTGTTCGCAGCAACGTCCCTCGCTTCTTTAGACCGAGCTGAGCTTAGCATCCCTGCGTGCATGTTGTTCCCTTTGTCCTCTTCATGCTTTCACCCTCAACCCTGCGCCCTCCGTCTCGGTGCTCGTCTCGATGGGTGCAGTCTTGCTCGCTGTTTTCTCCGTTCCGTATCTTTTCAGCTCAACAGCTGTTCACATTCTGCCCCGCCGGTGTCGGCGTGTCGGCGGTCCGCTGTGGCGACGCCTTCATCCCTTTGCCCATCCTTGGGCCAGAGCATCTGGGCGTGTCTCTAGCCCAACCCCCTAACCCTCGTCTGCTCTGTCGAGTGTCATATGTGCCAATCAATCTCTCCGATGGCAGATCCATCCGCGTCGAACGCTGAAACAGCCAACGTTGTGGCGCGGCTTCTTTCAACGTTCCTGATCCTGCCCGCTGATCCTTGCCCAACGTCCGCCGTCCACCCGCACCACCTGCGTTGCCACGCTCAGGATGCTTGCCCTGGCGCCCTCGTGCTTGCCACCTGCTGAGCCTTACACGCGCCCCCTGTATAACGTTTTGTGCTGTCCCACTCCGTCCCACCAGAACGACGCTACGGCAACCTAGCCACGGTCTTCGCGGTCTTCGCGTAGCGTTTTCGCTCCTCATGTCGTGCATGCCTACCACCTCTCAAACGTGGTATCCGGCAGCAAAATCCCCTCAACCCTCCTCGTTCATACCAGACCAGGCTCTGTCTCCTTGCGCTCGTCCCTGTCTCTTGCTATCTTGCCCTGAAACGTGCCTGCAATTCTTGAGCTCTTTTCGAATGCAAGTGTCAAGTGGGTCCTGAGACTCTGTGCCGTCAGTGCCACACTTGGTCTACCTCGTACCGACGTTCAGGCCCTCCCCTAGACCCACCAGCCTCTTTGATTGGAATCTTATAAGGATCAACAAGTCGGCGGCGACGTCGCTTCTTCCCCTTCACCTTGCGTCCCTTTCTCCCGCCGTCCTTCGCGCGCGTCCCTCCCTAGATACCCTTTCCAGCCACGCCACCATGTCCGATTCCAAGTCAGTTTCCGACTACGACGTCGAGAAGGATCAGATCCGCCAATCTCCTTCCGAACAGAGCCATGTTGACGCCGTTGGATCCTCGGCGGCGCCTCGCGTTAGCATCAAGGTCCCTCGCACTCAGACCACCCGCTCACATATTCCCATCGGCTTCCGCACACTGAGCATCCAGGTCTACGAGTCTCAGGGCGTCGAAGGTGCAAAGAGCAAGGAGCATCTCTCCGACACAGACTTCTTCGGTTCGCTCGATTTCCACACCGTCGAGCCCGACGCGCTTGCACAGAGGTTCAACGTCCATCCCGATACCGGTCTCGATGCTGCTGCCGCCACGCGTCGCCTCGAGCGCAACGGCAAGAATGTCCTCACACAAAAGAAGAACAAGTACTGGCTCAAGCTCTTCAACTACACTTTCGGAGGCTTTTGCTCGATCCTTTGGATCGGTGTCATCATCTTCTTCATCTCCTGGAGGCCACTCGGCAATCCTCCTCAGGCTTACAATCTCGCTCTTGCGATCGTCGTCTTGATCGTCATCTTCTTCCAGGCAATCTTCAACGCTTTCCAAGATTGGTCCACACAGAAGGTCATGAACTCTATTCTTCACCTCTTGCCCGAGAATGCCGTCGTCATCCGTGACGGTGAACACAGGTCCATCTCTGCGGCCGAGCTTGTCGTTGGCGATGTCTGCGTCCTTTCCACCGGCAACAAGGTGCCTGCCGACATGCGTATCATCAAAGCTTCCGCCGACCTCAAGTTCGACCGATCAGTACTCACTGGTGAATCCGAGGAGATTCCCGGTACCGTCGAGCCCACAGAGACCAACTTTCTCGAAACAAAGAACATCGCTCTTCTCGGCACCCACGTCTGCAACGGCAACGCTACTGGTATCGTTGTCCTCACTGGTCAGCGTACAGTCATGGGCCGCATCAACAAGCTCACCAACGATGACAAGGAGAAGCCTACCCAGCTTCAAAAGGAGATTTCGCGTTTCGTCTACATCATCATCGGCCTGACCGTCACGCTCGTCCTCATCATGCTCATCACTTGGCTCGCGTGGCTTCGAAAGGATCACCCTGGCTTCCTCAACACTGTCGGCATCCTGACCAACCTCATGAGTCTCGTCGTCGCCTTTATTCCCGAAGGTATGCCTATCGCCGTCGCTCTCACCCTCTCGTTGATCGCGCGTCGCATGCGTGACGTTCGCGTGCTGCCCAAGTCCCTCTCGACGGTCGAGACGCTCGGATGCGTCAACGTCATCTGCTCGGACAAGACTGGTACCCTCACGGAGAACAAAATGTCGGTCAACTCGATCGGCTTCGTCGACAGGGAGTGCACAAGGAATGACATCTCCAGCCTAGACCAGGTTTCGGCCTTTGACGAGCTCAAGAAAGGCATGGCTCTCTGCAACGATGCTTTCTTCGACCCGTCAAGCGACGCAGTCCTGCCGTCCGAGCGCAGCGTTCAGGGCAACGCCACCGACGCTGCTGTCCTCCGCCTGTCGGCATCGCTCCCCGGCTCCGACGAGTGCAAGGCTGCTTACCGACGCGTCTACGACATCCCTTTCAACTCGAAGAACAAATACATGCTCACTGTCATGCGATCCAACGACGACAGCGCTGTCGCGAACGCCGACGAAATGTTCGTCAAGGGCGCACCAGACGTTCTCATGCCCCGCATCTCGCACTTTTTCTCGGCTGAGGATGGTCAGACAAAGGTCTTCGACGATCTTGCTCGCTCTCAGCTCGTGAGCAAGCAGGAAGCCTGGTCTCGCCGCGGTGAGCGCGTCATCCTGCTTGCCAAGCGCTCGTTCAGTGCAGCTTCCAAGCCGGGCACTGGGGAGTACGAAGACGAGGTCGCTGCCGCTAGTCAGGGCGAGCTTGTCGTCATCGGCTTGCTCGGCATCATGGATCCTCCCCGCTCTGACATTCCTCACACGGTCGCCGAGTGCAGAAGGTCTGGTTCCCGCTTTTTCATGGTGACAGGCGACTTCTCCCTCACAGCGGCTGCCATCGGCAAGATGGTGGGCATCTTTACTCATAACGGCGAGCCTGATCGCATCGCTGACTTTGATGTCAAGGATCGGTATGTCAGCGATGCTCCTGTTCTCAGCGAGAAGGCCCTCAAGAAGCAGAATGGACCGAAGGACATCATTGAGGCCAGCCTGCTCGTTGAGGGCAAAGAGATCCCGCACACTACGCAGCAGCAGTGGGACGTCATCTGCCGCTACGAAGAGATCGTCTTTGCGCGTACCACGCCCGAGCAGAAGCTCAAGATTGTCAACGAGCTCCGAGACCGGGGCTGCGTCGTCGCCGTGACCGGTGACGGCGTGAACGACGCTCCTGCCCTCAAGGCTGCCGATGTCGGTATCGCCATGGTTTCCGGTTCAGATGTTGCCATGGAGGCTGCCGATCTGGTACTCATGGGCGACTTCAGCTCCATCATCCAGGCCATCAAGCTCGGTCGCCTCGTCTTCCAGAACTTGCAAAAGGTCATCTCGTACCTCCTTCCGGCAGGCAGTTGGTCCGAGGACTGGCCCGTCATCCTCAACGTCTTCTTCGGTGTTCCGCTTCCGCTCAGCTCGTTCCTTATGATCATCATCTGCTGCTTTACCGACTTGGTCTGCTGTCTCACACTCATCTTCGAGAAGGAGGAGTTTGATCTGCTGTCCCTGGAGCCAAGAAATCCCAGGTCCGACCACTTGGTCAACAAGGCCATCTACGGTCAGAGCTATCTTTTCATCGGTATGATGGAGACGCTCACCGCGCACGCGATGTTCTTCCTCTACATCTGGAAGTACGCAAAAATCCCCGTCAAGGACATGTTCTTTGCCTTTGAAAAGTTCGGAGACGGCTTCCACGGCTACACTTCGGATGAACTCAACCACTTCCTCGCGGTCGGACAGTGCGTCTACTTTGTCACGCTCGTCATCCTCCAGTGGGGCAACCTGCTCTCGGTCCGCAATAAGCGTCTCTCCATCTTCCAGGCCGATCCCATCCGAAAGCAACGTCGCAACCCTTACCTCATTCTGGGTCCGCTCGCTGCGCTCGTCATCGCCATCTTTGTCACCGAGGTCAAGGGTATCCAGAATCTGTTTGGCACCGCCTCGATCCCCATCGAGTTCTGGTTCATCCCGATTCCCCTGGCTATCGGCATTCTGGTCATGGATGAGCTGCGCAAGCTGCTCGTACGCACGTTCCCCAACAGCATCATCGCCAAGGTCGCCTGGTGAGCGAAGTGTTTGGGTGCTGCACGCCTATATTTTGTAACGATGCCTCTAATCGACACGTCTTTAACGAGATCACATGTGGCTTTCGTTCGTATTGGAATGCACTCGTACTGCAGCGTGTTGTGTTCCGATGTTGAAAGAGTGATTGAGATGAGAGTCGCTCGTACTGACGACTTCGAAGGGTCGCAAATCTTCAAGAAGCGCCGAAGATGCGCGAGCAAGAGCGCCATTCCCCTCTCTCAGTCGAGGGGCAGCAGGATGGATTATCTGCCGGGCCTTGGGGGCGTGCCAGACGGACGAGTCGAGCCCAGGAAAAGGAATCCGAATTTTTGCGTATGCAGGATGACATTCCAGAACAAGAGTGAGGCTCTCGAACATCAGCGACAAGATGACGCTTCACGAGAGAGCCGCAATGTAATAATCTACAGGGAGAACGACATATAGACAAGGAGACGAAAGAAAAGTGCAAATGATGCGCAAAGAAAAAGAGCGTGCAAATACATGATCATAATGACGACGATGGTGCTGTGGCGAGGCTTGACAAACCTCGGGGATTGAGGGGCTCAGATCGATACGATTTGAGACGGTAGAAGACGTGATCTCTAAGGAGCGATTCCCAATAAAGTGAAGCGGAAGTGAAAAGGAGCGAAATGCAAAACGATGACGAAAGAAGATGGTCCATGGAAAAAAGCAGAGAGGAATCTCCAGAAAGAGATAGAGTCGAGCGGAATTATGACATGTCAAAGCGCGTGACCCTGGCTGTGGTTATGGCTGTGACTTTGCTGGCTATGTCCCTGTTGGCTCCTCCCAGTCTGGCTCTGCCCGTACTGACTTTGCGCCTTTGGGTAGGATTGATATGGGCTTTGCAGGTACACTGGATGCTGCTGCCCCCAACTCTGCTGCATTTGTGGGGGCGTCGAGGGATTCAGTTGTGAGTTGCGGTACGGGTTCCGTGATGGCGCATAGTCGTACTCGGTTGCGAACGCCGGTTGAACAGAGGAATACTGCTGGGACGGGGTGGGCTGCACCTGTTGGGCGTGGCTGATCGATGTCATTGGGCTGTCCCAGCCTCGCATGGCTGGCGAGTGCTGATAGACAGGGTAGGACGTGAAACTTTCGTCGGCAGCGTCCCTGCCCCCGAGCAAGGGACGATCGTCGTGACGAGGAGGTGCCTTGAGGATGGCGGCATTGCGTGCCTTACGTGCATTGCTCTTCTTGCACGAGCGCACGCAGCACCAGATCAAAAGACCGAGCACAATGAGGAGGAAGGCACCGCCGCCGGCAGCGATGGCGATGATGGCAGTCATGCTGAGTGGCATGCTGGACTTGAAGCCGGTGGTGGACTTGAAGGTGGGGGCGGCCTTGGCACCCGTGCCGCTGGAGTCGGATCCGCCGCTAGAGGACCCGGTACTCGAGGTGGCGAGGTTCTGGCAGTTCTGGGTGTTGACTGCCTCGTGACCGAGTTGGACGGTGCTGGCTACGACGACTTGGCTGTCGCGAACGGGGACGCTGAGGGTTCCGTCCGCACCGACAGTCATGGTCCACTGGGTGGCGTTGACGGTGCGAGGCTGTCCGGTGCCACTCTGCTCGTAGCTGATACCATTCCACTGGACATTATTGGTGGAGTCGACGCCAGCTGCGGTAAGGGTGGAAAGATAGACGGTCTGACCGGCTAGGGAAGGCAAGCTGAGCACAAAGTTTTGGTACGACGGGCTGCCGCTGCCAGAGTAGAAGAGCTGCGTGTTGATCATGACGACCGAAGTCAAGGTGCTGCCACGATAAACGCCGTAAGCACCGAGACGGTTGTTGTAGTTGGACGGCTGGTTATTGATGGAGATGGGGGCGATCTGCGAATTGCAGGTGGGACCGATGATCTGTGCCCAGGCAGCCCAGGCGTAGTAGGTGGGACGAACGTGAGGGCTCATACCGTTCATGTAGTTGGTCTGCCATGGCGCGGCCTGAGAGTACTGGGTCATGTGCATCTGGACACTGTCAACCTTGATGCTGGCAGCGTAGAAGAAAAAGTTGAAGGTCCAGAGCGCGTTTCCAAAGGTCTCGCTGATGCCCGGAAGACCGTTGGGGCCGACACTGCCCATCTCTCGGAGGTAGTAAGGCTTTCCGGTGACGATGGACTGACCGACTTGACCGGCCCATTCGGTGAATTGGTTGACGGTGTTGGAAAGATCGAGGAGGTAAGAAAGGGTGAGGGTGAAGGGTGAGACGTTGATGTAGTAAAAGTAGTCGTGCTGGTTCCAACCGGCAACGTAGATGCCATTGTCGGCAGCAACACCCTGGGAGTTGCCAACGAGGTTGGCGATGCGGAAGGGCTGACCGTTTTTGGAGGCGGTAGTGGCGGTGGCAGCCACCTCGAAGAAGTCGGAACGCACGTTTCTCTGCTTCAAGGTCTGGTTGTAGATGGCTTCGGCACGAGAGGCCCATTCGTTGCCGAAGTCGGTGGGGGTCCAGCTCGAATTGCGGTAGCCGAGGTCGATGTAGAGATCGGGTTCGTTACCGATTTCGAGACTGTAGAGATCGGAACCGGAGCCGTCTGTGCCGATGTTGTCAAAGGCGGCAGTGGCCTGCTCGACGATGCGCGTGAGTGCGTCAGAGCCTTGATATGCGAGGTTGAGACCGTAGGTGATGGGGGTGCCCTTGGGAAAGTAGTCCATGACCTTGAAGTAGTTGTTGCCGAAGAGGAAGTAATCGGAGGGCCTGGCATTGCCCTGACCTGATGAAGAAGGATTCTGTTGAATGGTGTAGCCGGTGACGGAGGAATCGTACAGCATGGTGTCTCCTGAATTACCACCGACGCGGATGTGTGGGGGTGCGCCGGTGTAATTCGCGAGGTTGGAGAGGAGGTTAAAGGTGAGCTGATTGGGGGAGGTTGTGCCGGTGAAGACAAAGAGATCTGTGGGCTCGATACCAAAGCCGGCATAGGATGGGTTGATGGTGTTGGAGACGGTTGAGCCTGCGCTGGCGACGTTGGAAGCCGGAGTGAGGTTTACGTCGGCCAAGGCTGACGACGCCAGCAGGAGCGCAGAAGCAAGCGAGGCGACGTGCGCCGTCGGTGTAAGGGATCGCATTGGTGGCAAGGACGCGAAGACTCGGCTCGGCGCGTGAAGGAAGTACCGTAGGGGGTGAGTTCAGAACCAGACTCGAGTTGATCCGAGAGTAGTGCCGATGAGGATTGGATCCAGGTACGATGGAGAATGTCTATAGAAGGTGCTATGGTAAGGACCGAAGAGCAGAGACGACAAGCAAGTAACGCGGCGGATGACTGGGCGAGCGAAGAGGAGGTGTGACGACGCCGATGTATGGACGAGTATATGATTGGATGACTGGACGATATGAAGGAACGAGCGAAGGAGCGATCGGACGGATGGGCTTGTCCAAGGTGATGCTGCGGGTAACGGTTACTTTTTGTACAGTCAAGAGTCTAGTAGAGAGAGGCCTGCAAAATAGCAATCAACGGCAAGCTGCAGGGTAACCTAACTGCGCGATGCTGCATCGACTGGGCCCATGGTGCATAGAGAGAAGAGAGTGCCCAACGCAATCCGGGAAAGGAGACATGCGGTCGTCCAAACTCCGGGGCAGGCGGACTCTACCGTGCGTTTTGCCGACATGGAGCCAAATGGCCGAAGTCCCAGACAAGGGAAAGTGGAGTGCAGTCCAGTGCAGCACAGCGCAGCGCGGTGAGATTGCATCGATCAAGTCACTATCCAAATTTCAGGTACCAGCCATTCGTTCTGAGCAGATTTACGGCAAAAGACCCCGAAGGATGCCGTGCTTGTCAGGAGAAGTACATCTGCCGGTATCAGAGATCTAAAGAAGAAAAAAAAAAGGTGAGAGACTAAAAAAACTTACATATTGGAAGCAATCTGGACCGACATCGAGAGTTTGCATCTTGCTACTACTGTGCTACTCTAGAATTTGCCTGTAACATGGTAAGGCGAGCGTGTAGCAGCCGCATCTCCTTGGCGTACAACTCGTTTTTTGCCCCGTCAACCCTCCTGATCGAGCATGCTTGTCAACGACACGCCAAGAGGGATCGTGGTGACAAATTGCGAACCCTGTCAACCACCATGATCATCGCAGAACCGTAGCCGACCTGGAGATCAAACGAAAGTGGAAAGTACACGAGGCAATGCAGAGTCATGGAAAAATTCAATAATGACCTCAAGTCAGCTTGGATCTGAAAAGTGGTACGAAAAGGGGCCAAAGGGAAAGCGAAAGGAAAAAGGGGGAGGAAAGGGACTGGAAAGGTAAGCAAATTGGCTGCCATGTCGTCAGAGGCGGGAAACAAGGTTGGCCGATGGTGCTGCACGGATTCAACCTGTTTCTGGAAAGCTGCGGTGGGTGAGCAGTCAAAGAACGCTGATTCCATATAGATGATTTCTCAACACGCGGAGCGTCGAAGCCGGGAAAAGGGGGAGGCGTGGGCGGAGTTGACGAACAAATAGTCAAGACTCGAAATGTGCCTTGGTGGGTGGGCACCCCACGGGAATCTGTACGCAGCCAGCCGCCTTTGGTTCCGCAGGAAAGCTAGCGCAAATTTTGAGACCGAAAAATTCAACCAATTCTACGACTTGCCCGCTTTCGGCGGCTCCGAAGCTGGCATGCCGGTCTCTTAACAGCCAGAATCACGATAAATTTCACACTCCGTCGAGTGAACCGGCACTGCATCTCCGCGGCGAAATAATGGCGCTGGAACTCCGGCATCTTTCATCGCCTTCCGAAAAGAGAAGTATGCTCGTTCGATCAAACACAGATACACACACATTCGAGACGACAAAGATTCGTGGCCGTCGGCGCTTCCGCCGGCTGTGACTCTGAACGCTCGAAGAATGGTGCATCGTGGATTCAGTAGCTGACTCGACATGCTTTACCCAGCGGCAGGCACTCTACGAGTCGCTTGCGATGTTGCCAACCGAGCCAATCCGCGGGCGCTTTGCCTCAAACGCCGTCCTTTTGACGTCTGCTTTGATCGACAGTGCGTTGGTTGGCAAGCTTGCCATGCAATAGAGGCACGTCCGCCTGCAGCTTGTAGCGTCTGACGTTTCTGAGCCCAGTCGAATGAACCCTCAAGGTCCGCCTCGCGCTCGCCGACATCCCGACATCGACCACTCGTGACCTTTTGTTTGCGTCTCGGCCTGGTCGCATGCTCATGTCAAAGGCACATGTAATGCTGGACCAGCCAGACGATGCGCTCACGTTGTTGTCGGATCGCGCTCTCACGCTGTGCTGGCTTGTCCTGTTGGCAGGCGGGCGACGCGTGTCGTCGGTCCCCGAGCCATTGCAAGTTGCTTGCGGCGCCTCATGGTCGAGCCGCAGGTATGCGCTTCGGTACAGTCTCCGAGCCGCAGACGCTTCCAGCGGAACGACGATCGGAAGTGAAACGACCAGCAACGTGGCGCATGTCGCCGTCCAGCATCGCAGCTGGTATTCGCTCGCCACGTTCGCCGACCTGACAACAAGGGCTTGTTGATTTATTTTCCGGTAACACCCTTCGCGCCCGCTGCTCCCCTCACGTCAAGAGCCGCGCTGGCTCGCGTCCCTGCAGCAGCAGCATTCTACGCATTCCCGACGACAGAAGCACTTCTCTTCAGAAGCAGTCTCGCCCATCAGCAGCAGCGTCAGGTTTTGCCGCTCCTCGTTCGGCTAGGACGAGCCATGTTTTCCGATACGAGTTTCATGGTACGCTTGCTCCCGTTCCTCCGCGTGCAGGAACCGGGCGCGGCGGTTGCACGCTCCCATCGAGCTCTGCCGTGCAAACCCCAGGACTCACATCGTGTTTTGACTGGCCCTCTCAGCGGAAAAACGCCTCGGAAACATGACCAGCAACGTCGTCAGTCACGTATGCTGTGCATCTGTGCTTCCCGTGCCGTTGCGGGACACCAGCGTCCGGCACGCATCTGGAACCTTCTGCGCCGTCATCACCCAAACGAGTTTCACACATTCTGTGTCGAACCGAGATTCCGGATCAGGTACACGACGCCGACCGAACCTCACGTCATGTCAGAATCTGACCGCGCGAGTCCGATTCGACCATTCTCCTGTCAAGCATTGAGAATAGTCTGCTGCACGTCGTGCCGTGCGTATCCGTGCGACTTTCGTTGGGCTGTTACGCCCTGGACTCCCAGACGTCCGCAAGATAACGAATCTGAGCAAATCGCGCCGCGACTATCGTTTTCGTCGAGTTCAGGATTTTTGAAAGCTTTTATCGCACACCATTAAAGATCTCAGAAACACCATTAAAGATATTCTGATAGTAAAGAAAATGAACGCGGTCTCGGGCTGAAATGCAGTAATTTGTCTAGTCAGCAATAATTGTCGTCACCACGGACCAAATCGTGTTTCAATCGATCAGAGCAATGACTGCTCTGCAGCAAATTAGCAATCTGGAAAGCGTGATTCTTTGCATTCCGACGCATTATTCGCAGCTTACTAACACGAATGACTCGTGTCAATGCTGTCGTATCAGCTCTCTTCATTCATCTTTGCGCAGTCGAATTAATATGATTTTGTGAAGGGTCCCGATGACGAGACAAATTGCCTGATTCGTTCAAAAAATCCGATGACACCGTACCGCTACCACAAAGAATGACACGACCATCATTGCTAGGCACGGCTTAGAAACTACCTGTTTAATTCGATGCTCTTCCTTATCTTCCGGACGGCGTGTTTACAAAGAGATGATTACGATAAATCGTTGTCGTTATCTGCTAAAATTTAGATTGCGTAAATATTCAAAGACAATGTCTAGCAAACACAATTTGTTGACAGCTCGTCATTTTACCCTCTCGGCCTCACCTTGCTTGTCCGATGTAACCCACACTCGATTAAATGTACAATGACTCGAGGCGTTCCCAGTCTCTTTAAAATCGATCTTGGGCGGCTGTCAGTGATGAAACCGCATATTCAGGCCCTGATCATACACACGCATATTAGGCCGTCATTTGGCGATTTACGAATAAAATGTGGGCATTTTGTAGGCACTACGAGGCTATCAGAGAGGAGATTTGGTTCTTCACACGGAAAGATAGGTGTGAGAAAAATTCAACGTTCGACAAAATCCTATATCGGAAATGACTGCAGGTGACGGACAATGCGCAAATCCGCGTGTCGCGACGAGCGTCTGAAATTTGATGAATGTTCGACGTCAAAACAACTTCCTTCCGGTCATTTTATCATATAAATGTAATCACACATGCTGTTGACGTTTGGCACCTGATGGCGAACGGAACGGTCGTCATGCGACCTTGATCCTTGCAAAGCTCGGTCGCCAGATATCGTCCTCAAGGTCGTTGGCGATGATAGCGTCGTGACAGTTGTTGAAACGCATCCGCGAAGCAAGCGAGTACAAGCGTCTCAGCTCAGCGGCCAGGAACGGTTTACTCTCAGCAAACCCCAGATGCAAAGGCGTCTTGAAGCAGACAGCCGAGGTCAAGACGACCCAAGACGGCGCTTCGTTCGGCCGGCCTTTCCTCAGAACAGATGTCAGTCTTGACGCCGTGACTGCGTCAGCTCGACACACGTCTCACAAGACAGCAAGACAAAAGATATCAAGGAATGACACTGGAGGGGTCAAATTGACGGCGCTTGCAATCAAGCAAGCATCGATGAACACAATACAACATCCTCAGCAGAGGTACTTGAGCTGGCATACCGATGCAGTCAGGACACTGTTCGCGGACAAACAGTTCCGTGAGGGCCAGGCTTATGCTCAATCAATCTGTGCCCAGAGACAAAGGCGAGGCGAAGCTGTCACGTTGCGATTGCGGTCAAGACGTGCAGCACTCACGAAGCTTCGCCATGCTGGTATTATGGCCAGGAAACTGACGGGTCTACTGTATGCCAAGACTTGAAGCGAAACAGTTGCATCCCGAATGCGACGAGACGTGGACTACACAAGTTGGCTGTACAATCCCCACCAAAGCGGAGTGTGACGAAACATCTCTTCGTACATTGTGTCCTGAGTTGACCATGCTCGTTCAACATCGGATTGTACTGCACGCAACATATAGCGACGCTGATGACGACACCAACGCAGCTCAAGAACAAGGCTTCACTGGTGAGAACATACAAAGATCATTTGAACGCGCTCTGGCTCAGTTCACATCCGTGAGAAGTAATGCACGCAAGAAGGTCACAGATAAAGAGTTGATGCTGAGATTACAATGCTGTTGCAAGCGGCCATCGAGCCAAACAACTGGAGAGAGGTGTGGCGAGGCACGAGACTTGTCTAAAATCAAAAATAATTGACGGTGACAGTTGAGCCCAAGACGAACGGGGAGAAGGAGCGAGGAACAAGCTGGGGTATATGATCGTAGGCGACGAAAAGATGCAGCTCCAGGTAGATTTTCAGGATCATGCTGGTCTAATGGGACCAGGACCGGCAGGCAGGGAGGAAGCACCCGTGATGGCCGCACGACCACAATCGCTGGCAAACATAGCATCATTATCGTGAGCCACTCCGTCGACGACACAGTAACGCGCGCCAAAGACGGGTGGGTTGAGACTGGTGACGCCTTGATCCACGAGAGATTGATAGCCGTAGAAATCCGAGACGTCGGTGGATGTGCCGCCGAGGAGGTTGAGGTAAGCCCACCAGGCGTAGCCACGGTCACGTCGGTTTTGTCCACCCTGTGCTTGGACAGGGCAGCTCTGATCGCCAGTCTGATCGCGCGAGTAGGTGTCAAGGGTGCCTGTCATGATGGTGATGTCCTGAGCGATCCAAGAACGGAAGCCCGAGACGCCGTCCGGGAGACGAGCAGCAACATAGCGAGGCAAAGGGCTTCCGAAGCCGTAACCCCAAGTGTTGTAGTTGGAGCAGCCAGCGGTGGAGTTGGGTCGGACGGTGGTAAAGTAAGGCATGGAAGGCGAATTGGCCAGCACGAAACTGTAGCCGGTCGAAGGACGGAGGAGACCGTATTTGGTCATCATGCTGGCACCACCCGAGTGAGCCACGACGTAGACCTTTTGAAGGTTAGGGAACCTGGAGACATCGCCGAGCAGCGCTACCAGCGAGTCGTACACATCGTAGGAGGAGCACGAAGAGACGCCAGAAGGTGCCACGGCATCAGCACCATTTGCCCAGTCGTTGCTGTTCCAAGCAAGGTTACTGGCGGGCTGATACCACTTGCCCGAGTCGGTGTTGGCGTAGAAGTTGGGCGCAAGGATGATTCCCTGGTCGCCTACGACATTGCGCACGGAGCTGAAGTAATCGTCAAAATTGCGACTGGAGCCGTGCTGAACGATCCAAGCGGTATCGGAGGTGGAGACACCGGAGATGGGGAAGTTCTTGTTGACGAACATGGGAACGGTGGATTGCGAGCTAGCACAGCCTCTGAATTGAACCAATGTAGCGCCAGCGGGAGCGGCAGGCAGTGTGCTCGTGGCTGCGGCGGAAGAAGAGGTGGTGCTCGAGGTGGAAGTGGATCTAGAGCTGGTGCTCGAGGAAGAGGTGGACCTAGAGGTCGAAGCAGAGCTTGTTGTAGAAGTAGACTTGGTGGACGATGTGGAAGTAGACCTGGTGGATGTTGTGGAAGTAGATTTGGAGGATGATGTAGATGTGGATCTTGAAGATGCGACAGACGCGCTGGCGGGAACAGCACGAGTGAAGCCATAGGAGGCGACGACCGTTCCGCCGTAGCTGGATGGGCCTGCACTCCAGGTTGCAGCGGACTTTTCTTGTTTGGCAGTGTAGAGGGCGCAGATGACGTTGCCTTCGGAGCCTCCCTTCATCTCGACAGGATGGAAGAAATGGCAGCGGGAGTCCTTGTTGCAGAGAGCTGCGCAGGCGTTGACTTGAGACTGCGCAACTTTGGTTGCACCGGAGATGGCGGAGCGAGAGATGTACTGACCCGAGGCGGTACCATACGAGACGCGATAGCCGTCGATACCCCAGGAGAAGGTGTATCCGGAGGGGGGCGAGAGGTTGGTAAGGTAGCGACGTTCAAAGTGTGTTTGTGCACCGAGACCATCGTAGCGCGCTTCGAGCTGATCGGAGGCGACAAAGTCGGTGGAATTTGTGAGAAAGGGAAGAGCGGTGGCAAGGGGAGTGACGACGGCGACGAGCAGCGCCGCGGTGAGCGAAGCGGCTGTGATGCGCACCATTGCTAATTGAAGCAGGATAGAAAGCGAGCAGACGTCGAGCGAGATGGTTACGATCGGGAGACAAGAAGGAAGCGCGCGAGGTAAAGCAGGTGGGAGATGTGAGGTCTTTATACTGTCAAGAGCATGACGGCCAAATGGCTTGGAGCAGGTGAGCCGATTCGGAAGCTCAAGACGAGCAAGAGGAAGGCCAGGAGACAAGCCAAAGGATCAGGGGCAGGAACAAGTCGAAACCAGCAATCGGTAGCCGTACTTCATTTACCACGGGTCGAGTGCCGGCTGAAAGGAGTGAGGTTCGAGGTATGAGGCGCACACACGGGACAGGAACGATGCGAACCAAAGGGGGAGGCGGAGGAGGCGCAGACGATGGGCAGCGTTTGGCGTGGCATGGGACCACAGGAGCAGGAGAGGGACGCGCATGTGGCTGGAGGAGAGGGTTCACAGTTTATCCCGGGTTGTTTGTCTTGCGGAGGGCGGTACGGAAATGGGATTGAGAACAAGACCGAGGGAGATCTTGCAGGAAAGGAAGGGATGGGATCTTCGCTCGCTAGCTTGGTGCTTCGCCGAAGACACCAATTAGCACGACAGGACGGGACGGCACTTAGCTTGCATATGCCCGAGGCTAGAGCGTGGCGTGACGAGCCGATTCGAACCAGAGCGGTTCGGCAGTCAGACGGGTGGCACAATGAGACGTGAGCTCGACGCGCCGACACGTTTTTCCTTTCTGTTCTTGTTGGCCCGTCGTCGGTACAAGCAGAATGGCCAGACGACACAGTATCAACCGGCAAATGAGCACGTTTTGTGCTTGCTCTCAGCCCCAAGACGGGTGTCGAACCCGAGCGAGCGGGGCTGAGACAAGAACGGCCGTGTTGAACGGGCGGGGCCGAAGCCTTGCGCGCAGTCTGTTCCTGAAATTGTACGAACTTGCACCGTCGAAGCCACTCGACGCAGACGCGGGAACACGATCAAGCCTAGAATTTTCAACCCCCGCCAGCGCCCACAGCGAAGTTGAATCGTATGGTGCTGCAAACAAACCAGCTGTTCTGGTCGGTGTCTCAGATCGCCCTGCACGTCTGCTCGTGCTGGGATGTGCTCATGTCGTCGCTTGACTGTTTGTGGGCGTTCAAAACGATAGGTACAGCGAGAGGTGTGGGTCAGCCAAGACCGAGGTTGCGCTCGTGTCGACAAGGCTAGAGAGCAGAATCTGCAGAGAGCAAGGGCGAATGAATGCCATGCAAGGAAAAAGGTGCTGCCCACCGGGGGACCCTGAATCCAAGAATGCAAGCTTCCGCTGTCGATTCCAAATTTTGGGCGGAACCAGTGAATGAAATTGTCCCTGCTTCCCCTGGGCGAAACGCTTGGCCTCGAAACGCGCTCACATTGCCAGCTGATACAGCAAGTGCTGAGCTGCATCTGCAATCCAGGGTTTAGACTGCGGTTGCACCGATCGTGAGTAGTGGCAACCAGCTTTGTTTCGAGCACCGCTGCCCGCCACGGTCGAGCGAGAGAGGCTTGATCCATCGTCTCTGTCTCTCAGCCCAAACGCCTTGGCTTGGCACTGGCAAGTGCTGTGGGCAATGATCGACGCAAACCTTGTCGAGCGTCTTAGCGCCAAGGTACACACCAACCATCAGCTGGTGCAAGTGAGTTTAGCCGGGCCTGCCAAGACGACCGCGTGCTGTGTGTTGGCATGTCGACTGCCGCTGCCTCAAAGGCGCATGAGTGCAAGCCGGAACGGAGCGTAGACATGCTTCCCTTGCTCCTTGTACCCGATAGAAGCCTGCTGTCCCACTCAATCGGCCGATCCCCCAAGATGCTTCTTTGACACCTGGATCTGTCAGCGACTGCTTTCGCTGCGATGGATAGAGCTGCACAGACACACGCTTCCAAGCAAGAGCGGCGTGTTGAAAGAATCCAATGCAAAAAAGAGTGCGAGTACAAATGCTGGTTCTGAGGCGGGATCACTTGTTCTGCTGCTGCGCCATCATCTTTGCACTGTTGCAGTCGAAATAAGAGGGGGTTAGACGGTCAGCATAAAACAAGCCTGATAGGACCATGTGCTGTTGCTTCGAATACATACTTTTCTTCTCCGAATCGTGCACCGACGCGCTCCGAGTGCTTGAGGAACTTCTGGATGCAATTGGATACGCAAGTGTCCTGAATGTCGCAGTCGGCATGAAAGGGGAATCGGCACGATCAGCATACTGTACGGGCTGCTGCACGAGCATGGCGGTCGGCAACCTACCTCTTTCGAGCTGAGCGCTTTAGAGGTGAAATCGTTGCAGCAGGACTCGAAGCATCGTTCTACGAGGCCAGTGTAGAGTTTGAGAAAGTCCTTCATCTGCTTCTGCTCGATGATGCGGGACATTGCCTGCTGCTCAGACGACGAGAGGTTCGAGACTGTAGCGAAGGGAAAGAGGCGCAATGCGAGAATGCAAGTGTCGGCAAGGAGCGGTGGAGGCTATACATCGCGAAAAGAAGTGTCTGACTCACGATCCATGATGGCTGATGTGAGCGGTTGAATCGCTGCGCTGAGAGTGATGCTTTGGGCTCGGGTTCAGATTGCTTGCGCACGTTTGCTGTCGAGAAGGATGCTTTGACAGTTGATATCCACGAAAAGTGTTGGTATAAGCGCCGTTCGCAAAAAACCCAAGCAAAGCGTCCATCTCCGAGATTTTGTCTCCGAGTTCCGACGGTTGAGCTTGAGCACAGTGACAGCGACAGACCCGCGGAACTCTTGCTGGTCGTGACTCGCAGTTGAGTCTGAACATGGCTTATGTCAGCAAGAATTTCGCTTCGTGTTTCGGAAGAAGGGATTTTCTACACCTCGATCCACACTATCGTCCCACGCCATCTTCTGACTTTGGACGTTCTGCAGCAAACACTCAGCACCACCAAGCTTCTACAACAGCAGCAGCAAGACCAGCAGCAGCAACGCCATCCACGACGCATATAAGCAGCGCGCTCGTCGACTCGATCCTCAACCCAGTCTCGCATCCCATCATCTGATACTTCCAAGCGACACACTCGCTCTCCCTCCCCCTTTCCACGTTGACCCTCACCTCTGCTCCGACCACCACCTCGTCCGCCGCAACACCCATCATGGCTGTCCGCTGTCAATTCGAAAACTCGTCCGAGATCGGCGTGTTCGCACGACTCACCAATGCCTATTGCCTTGTCGCCATCGGCGGCAGCGCCAACTTCTACTCGACCTTTGAAGCCGAGCTCGCCGACGTCATCCCCGTTGTGCACTGCTCCATCGCAGGCACGCGTCTCGTCGGACGTCTCACCGTCGGAAACAGGAATGGACTGCTTGTTCCCTCGACTACCACCGATCAGGAGCTGCAACATTTGAGAAACTCTCTCCCCGAATCCGTCGCCATCCAACGTGTCGAAGAGCGTCTTTCCGCGCTCGGGAATGTCATCGCTTGCAACGATTACGTCGCATTAGTCCACCCGGATCTCGACAGGGAAACCGAGGAGATCATCGCCGACGTACTCAAGGTCGAAGTGTTCCGTCAGACTGTCGGCGACAACGTGCTCGTAGGCTCCTACTCGGCCATCTCGAACCAGGGCGCACTCACCCACCCCAGAACCTCCCTGCAGGACCAGGACGAACTCTCCTCTTTGCTGCAAGTCCCTCTGGTTGCCGGAACCGTCAACCGCGGTTCCGATCTCATCGGTGCTGGGTTGGTGGTCAACGACTTTGCCGCTTTCTGCGGTACAGACGCCACCGCGACAGAGATCAGCGTCATCGAGAGCGTCTTCAGGTTGACCGGCGCCGGCAACGGCGGCGACACGGTCAACGAGCTCAGAGATGCATTGGTCGATACCTACGCTTGATCCGCAAACTTTGTACATCATTCTTGAGAAGTCAATGTCACATTCGCATCAGAAGAGCGCACTTTTTTTCTCTCGTTCGCATATCTTCGGCGTGCATAATCTTTGTCATTTGAGCAACCACACCGTCGGACCGTCGTTCAAACACGATGCCTCACACTTGTCTGTTCTCTCGCAGATCGGCTTCTCACTCTGTCGACGATCAGCGCTGGAAAGCTCTTCCTGCCAGACGTGTGTTGATGATCTGCAATTTCGTTTTGGTTGACTCTTAGATCCTCGCATTCCAAGGCTGTGTGTGCCTTCTCCACTTCACAGCTCATCCTTGGCCTGGTGGGCAGCCGGCTCCGCCTGCTGCTGCTGCGTCTGTAGCGGGAAACACACCGCCGGGCTCTCCACCTGTATCGAGTAGATACACTTTTCCGCCTCAAACACATCCACCACTTTATTCTCAACCCCACACTTGAGATCCACCAGTGCACTCCTCTCTGGACCGTTCCAACACTTCTGACCTCTGGTGTAGATCTGTTTCAACCAGAACTCGTCCTGCTCCTGGCTGTAGCTACCGGTGGGGTTGAAGTTCGAGAAGGTTCCGAGCGAGATCTGCGCACCTCCGTTGTTGGGGATCTGAGTGACTCGACCGAAGAAGCAGTACTCGTACGTGTATTCGCCCATGTCTTTCGAAAAGCACTTGTTTTCCAGCGGTTTGAATTCCGAAGATCGACCGTAGCGCGTGGAGAACTCGTCGAGACGACGTTTGCGGTTCGAGAGGTCATTCGAGACGCGCGAGAGGTGCGAGGCTGCGTCGGTGTGGGCGCGACGTGCCGAGGCGACGTTTTCCGGTTCGGTTTCGGTGGACGAGGAGGATTTGGGTCGCATGCGCTTGACGTCGGTGATGACGTTGGACTTGATGAGCACATCGAGCAAGGTGTCGACCATGGCTTCGAAGTAAGGGACAATACCGTCCGGAAGGTATTCGTGAATGCGGAAGAGCAGTCCACCGTCGGACTCGGTGGCGAACACCCGCTTGTCGTGGGTGGCACCCTGCAGGCCGCGATCCATGATGTCGAGCGGGTCGTCATTGAGCAGCGTGGAGAGCTTGTCGGATGGCCAGTCGCCTTCGTCCAAGAGCTGGTTGAGCTTGGTGTTTTCGGCGGCGAGCTGATCGATGTTGCTGTCCTCAGCGGCGGCCTCTTGCTTGACTCCATCATCGACGGTAGAAGTAGCGATGCCGCGCCACTCCTTGTAGGCTACGACGGCACCCTTGACAGCCATATCTTGGTAGTTGGGGTTGTACCCTTTAGCCAGATCGTCGAGCAAAAGCGTAAGAGTCTGCAGCTCGGACTTGAGAGCGGCGTTCTTATCCTGCAAGGCCTTGATTGCGTTCTGGTTGTCGACCAATTTGGCGTAGAGCGGCGTCTTGACCTTTGCATCGATGACGGCCTTATCGGAGGTCTCTGCACGCGTCAGCTCGGATTTGAGCCTTGCTTCGTTCTCGGTGGCGACGTGCACTTCGACCTCGAGCTTTGCGATCTCTGCTTCGAGGGATTCCTTCTCTTTGCGAGCATCTGCGATGTACTTGTCGCGAATCTTGCCACCTGCGCGTCGTAGGTTTTCGAGCTCGGTCATCTTTTTGCGATACTGCTTGCCGACCTTTTCGCAGGTGTTGGGGCAGTGGATCTTGCCATCTGATTCGTCGGAACCGTCGCAGCATTCAGGGTCGCAGATGCCGTCGTCTACGCGGCTGGAACGGATGTAGGATGGGATGTGACCCGTATTTTGGCAGTAAAAGGTGGAGTTGGGGCAGGCGGAGGTGCCTGGCTCATCGGAACCATCTGGACAGTCGCAGTAGTCGTCATTGACGGCTGTCCAAGAAAGCTCCTTGGATCCGTCGAGACACTTCCATCGCAACTGTCCTTGTGGATTCTTTGAGGGTTGATATTTTGCCGCATCTGGTGATACGAGCGAGGGAGAGACAGAAGTGCATTAGCGGTCAGGGGGACAAGTGACGCGGAAGAGAGAGGGGATCGACTTACCTGCTGGAGCAACACCTCTCAATGGAGTGTTGGAGGAGGACGCTGAAGCGGAGATGGTGGTGGCTGCGAGTGCGGCCACCGCCAAGTTGAGTCGCACCATGTTTGGTCTAGGGAGGGGGAAGATGATGAGAAGAAGGAAAGGGTGTGTTGCGTGTGCGAGTTGCTTGTCGGAAATGAAATTGGCTCGTGCTTGTTCCTCGTCGATTTAACTTAACAGCGATGTAACTTCATTTGAGCCATCATTGATTGATTCGCAATTCCCACACAATGACGGCGGATCGGCGTAACGCATGCGCGGTTCGCGTGGAGAACAACACAAAAGTCGCAAAAGATCAACACTTTGTAGATCACCCTCCTCATCACCATCATCGGCAGCCATGGCATCCTCATCCGCATCCGTTCTCAGTGGCGCAGCCTCTCCCATCGCACCACCATCATCCTTGAATCCGCCACGCACAAGGTGAGTCGCTCTGCAAGTAGTGCCTCCTCGACGGCTGAGGAGAAAGGCTGACATCGAAACAAAGCGCTTGATCTTGAAACAGATTTGACGCAGCTCAGCTACAACCCTATCTCTCGAGCACACTGATGACACGGCTTCGGAATGCATCGTGGGACAAGTCGGACAAGGACAAGAACCGCACGCTGAGCAGGTCGATAGCCGAGGTGGTCAAGGCAAAGATGTTGGGTGGGTCATCATGACGAGAGAGCGCAAGGACCGTAGAGCGATGTGATGCTGACCTTTGGTGTTTTTTGCTTCCTTGATCGCTGCAGAAATCGAGCCGAAAGGTGCGCAAAGTCGTCCTCAACCAAACAAGCATTCGGTACAGTGTAGCTCACACGTCTCAACCCGCTCAAACATATGCAGGCTTCAAGTACATTGTCCAAGTTCAACTCGTCGAGAATATCGGTCAGGGTGGAAGGTGCGTTTTTCACACAGGTCAGACTGGAGATGATGGGTTCGATTGCTGATACGTTCTTGAGTTCCTGCTGCATTCGACGACGCGCGTGGACATGACTACGTGTGCAGAGGTAAGGATCGACTGCTTTCGGATGGATCCGACATTTACGCGACACTGACACGCTTTGTTCCGATCCTGCCAACAGCCGACCTCGCATGTCACTGGGAAGACACAGACAGCGTGGTGCAAGACATGTATTCCAACGTGAGTTTTCTTGCCCTCTTCGCATCGACCGTTGTTGGACTCGCCATCTGACCCTGACCTTGTATTCACCACCCTCGTTTTGCCGCTTCTCCCCTGGTGTAGGACACGCTCATCTGCACCGTATTGTGCTTTGCGATTCGGACATGAACGTCATCACTCCAGATTGTCCCTTCGGGAGAGCGAGGTTGTGCTTGAGGTCCTCGTTCGTGAGTGAGTGCGATGTAGAAGGGCGAAGTCGAGAGACGGTTTCTTGGCTGAGATTGCTTTCGCGGATGCATCTGCCACGTCCATCATCTGCTGTATGTCAAGCATCTTCGAGGTTTCTATCCAAGAAATCCCTCAACTTGCCCAACAGATGCTCCTTTACATGTGGTGGCAACGTATCTGACCCCGAAAAAAGAACCTCATCAGCGATACTTTCTTCATCTCTTCTCTTAATCCAGCCGCGAAACATACCTTTAGCATGCGGAGTAAGCACGTCGATCAACGCAGGCACGCTCAACACCGGCTGCGTCTTTGCTTTGGCCGTTGCAAAGTTGTCGAACTCGGTCTCCCAACCGGACTCGTCGAGCATGCGTCGAAGCAGGATGAGCAGACGCTGCCACTCCCCCGACGCGACGAGTCGTTGGTGGAGCGCGTTGTAGAGTGGATCGTGTTGCGATGAAGAGAGTTCGCCTTCTTCCATTGTTGGTGGTGGAAATGCGGAGGAGGAGGGAAGGTGATAGAGGGAGAGAGCGAGTGACGCAAGGTGGATTGGGAATTGATGTGTGTGCGATGGTGTTGTTCGGGAATCGGACTTGTGGAGTTGCAGAGCATAAAAAGAATAAAACGACCTTTTTTTGTTTTTCTCTTTTCTCGTTTGACACTTTCTTCTTTGCAACCTCAAACACCATCTCTTGACTACACCCCAACGATGAGTCGACCGCAGTACGTGATCGAGCATATGGAGGAGGACGATCCGTCCGCGCCCTCCGTCTTCCCGCACTGGGCGCTGCTCGAATACCGTCACATGCTCCACCACGTTGGACCTGGATCCACCGTCCACTTCACCTCGCTCTCCCATGCATCGCTCGAATCGCTCCGCACATCCCTCTCCTCAACCTCCTCCGAACCTCGGGCGGAATTTCAACTTCATACGGCGAGCATCACCACCTTGATGGCGGAGCGAAACGTCCCGCACGCGAAAGTGTGTCTGCTCGATCCGAAATCGCCTTTCGCCGTATCGATTACCGATGCGGGGTTGGTTTCCAGCAGCACCAAGTCGGTCGAGGCGGGTGGGCCGTTCGAGTACTTCCTCTTCGGCGGGATCCTGGGCGACGACCCTCCCCGCGATCGCACTTCCTCGCTGCGCCAACTCGGCTTCCCCAGCCGTCACCTAGGCTCCATCCAGATGACCACAGACACCGCCCTCGGCGTCACCAAACGCTGCGTCGAAGATCTGCTTCTACTCGACCTGAGCGATACCCAGCAGCAGGAGAAACAGTGGGGTGATGCAGATGCAGCAAAAGGGAAAATGCATTGGGTCGACCATCCAGAGTTGAAGTTCGGGAGGGGCGAGAGTGTCGAGATGCCGTTCAGGTATTTAGTCGACGAGAGGAGGGGCCAGGGGGAACCACTGATGCCCGAGGGTATGAGGGAGTTGATCAGGGACGATTTGGGGAGGAGTTTCGAGTTTTGAGCAATGCCCCACAGCCCTGGTTGATGTGACATTCGTTGAAGGGTTGGACAAGGTTGCGATCCATCTTTGCAGCCGTCGACTGAAATGTTCCTCACACACATCAACATCCCTACACTTTCGTTTGAGAGCAATTCAGCTTTTCACCACATTCTCCGCACAAAACTTTGCCCGAATCTCTGCGAGAACCTTTTTTCGAATTGCATACCTTGATAACACTGCGAAGCTTGCCATTTAAAACTATGGAATGGGAGAATGGGGGGATCCGGGTGGAGCCGGGGTATAAACTGATCTTGCGGAACGGGGGGGTGGGGGAATGGAAAGTACACTGTTGAAAGAGAAAAAAAATGCTGTTTGCGTTGTGGGAGGGGGATCTGCGGTTAACGTTTGTTGATCAAGCTCAAAAACTCCTCCCTCGTCTTTTGTCGATCCCTGAACACGCCCAGCATGCAGCTGGTCACCGTCGTCGCCCCTGGTTTCTGGACCCCCCTCATGGCCATGCACAGATGCTCGCACTCGACAACCACCGCTACGCCTTGCGGTCTCAACGCCTCGTCCAGTGCCAACGCCACCTGCTTGGTCAACCTCTCCTGCACCTGCAACCTGCGCGCAAAGGTCTCTGCTATCCTCGCCAGTTTAGACAACCCAATCACAAGACGGTTGGGAATGTAGCCGATGTGGATTTTCCCCGTGAAGGGAACCATGTGGTGTTCGCAGAGCGAAAAGATCTCGATGTCCTTGACGATGACCATCTCGTCGTGTTCCTCGTCAAAGATGGCGTTGGCGATGACATCCGAGAGGCGGACTTCGTAGCCACGGGTCATCCAGAGGAGCGCTTTGGCGTAGCGTTCCGGTGTCTTGGCGAGACCAGACCGCGAAGGATCCTCACCAATGCACTCCAGGACCGTGGAGATGGCGTCGGCTAGGCGGGCTTGGTTGGCTTCCGCCTGGGCGGGGGTGTGGTTGAGTCGATCGAGTGTGGCTTTTGCAGGCCAACCGAGACCGTTGGGATCCATGACGGGTGTTTGAGTTCCGGAAGCGGACCAGGAGGAGCCGATGTACGTCCTCTCCCCCGTAGGGGTGCCGAGCCCACCGCCACGGGTGGTGGCGAGCACGTCGAGATCCGGTGCGATTCGGGAGGAGGGTGTTCCGTGGTTGGCCAATTGCGCGGAACTGGATCGCGAGAGCAGGGCGGTGGCAGCTGCGCGAGCGTTCGAGTGATGATGCGGGGCGGATGTGGGGGAAGAACTGGCTTGGACGTAGGACGTGGTCGAGTTGGAGGGCTGACCTGGACTCGCAGAGCCTAGGTTAAGCGAAGAAACGCCGTTTGCGAGCGCAGATTGCTGTCGCGCGGTGGCGGCAGAGTTGCCGATGGATGCAGTCTTTTGCTGGACGACCGACTCTATGGGGTCAGCAGGTACGTCGCCAGGATCACGACCGCAATCCAGACCGTTTCCTTTCGGTGCGTAGACGTCGTTGCTGCTGGAAGTGGGAACGGGGTGCGCAGCCGAACCGACTTGGTCAGGGAGACCATGGAGTTGACCGGAAGACATGTTGGCACGCTGCAACGCAGAGGCAAAGAACGAATCGAAAAAGGCGGATCCTGAGGCGTGCTGCTGTGGTTGACCAGACTGTGCTGATCCGGTATGGTCGTCCGCCATGGTTGCAAAAGATGGTGTACGAGTTGGGGAGGAAGGTCAGGAAGGACAGCGTAGAGTCACTTTGTCTGTGCGGAAAGTCTAAATTTCATTTTCAACAAAAGAGCGTTTATTCATTTTGCAGGTCAGATCGGCGATCTCACTTCTCCACCTGTCAAACTCTGACAGACCATTCGGATTTGTCACCCATCCCATCCCAACCTAACGACGACGACCACCTTAAATGCAAGATACGACACCATGTTCCGCAGCATCACATCCACAGCACTTCGAACTGCAACAGCGAGGCGCACACCCCTCGCTCTCCGTCCGCTCTCCACATCTCGCTCGGTCAACAACGCCGAAGCATCACCACCCTCGGCATCGCAGCAGGAGGAGATCACAGCGGGCGAACAAAAGATCCGCTCGATCCTCACGTCCAAGTTCAACCCTTCTATCCTCAAAGTCCAAGATGTTAGCGGTGAGTTTGCGTCGAACTCTTCATGTGGATGCAGTGTGGAAACTGACATTCGTGTTGGGGGTTTCGATAGGCGGATGCGGAAGCTTCTACGCAATCCAACTGAGTTCGAAAGAGTTCAAGGGTTTGTCTACAGTCAAAGCGCATCGAATGGTCAACGAGCAGTTGAAGGATGTTATCAAGGATATCCACGGTTTGCAGGTACGTCCGCCGTCTCAAGTAGAAACGAGCAAAAAGAGCGAGTATCAGACTGACACCAAATCGAACCTCTTACGGGCTTGCCGATCTTGATTCAGTTGAGAACCATGGCCGAAGACTAGCCATGCCGAACAGTACTCGAGCAAATAGAAAAGCAAGAGATGCGGCACATCCGATCAGCGTGCGAGCGTGCATGTGTGAGAGAAAGAAGCGACCGCTGCTGAAAGGCGTGGTTCACGTTTTGAATGAGTGGCAGCACAGGGTCTGATCGGCCCATTGCCGACAACCGCAAACCTGAGCTTCCTCAACACATCGAACACATCTCCACTCGTCTCCACTCTCCTCTGTCCTCAACCCTCGTCTCATAGCACACGACATTTGCCCGTCACGCAATCACTCTCAAGTCAAAAGTTGCGGATGAAATGCCGGTTTTAGAATTTTGGGTTGTGGTTGCAGGGCACGCCAGTCGATCTCTCGACTGAGCGGTCCTACTATGTGCGCGGTCTGCGCAATGTGCATATGTGTGTGTGTGTGGGAAGGAAAAAGAATACAATGCTGCAAAGCTGCAACTCTTTACTCGGCGGAAGCACGAGTGTAGACCAGCTGACCGTTGTGGTGGATGATGCGCTTGATCTGACCCTCACGCTCCAGGTGGCGGATGGCAACACGTGCGAGCGAGCCGTTGATCTTCATACGGTCGATCAGCGTCGACTGCGAGATCATCTTGAAGGTGGGCACCTCCTTGAGGATTCGGTCGTACGTGGGACGGTCGAGAACAACCATGTTCTGGGCCTGTTGCGGAGAATTACGGAGGAAAAGACGAGAATTATGTCAGTCGATCTCGTAAAAAGAATGGCGATGGGGAGGGATGGATGGAACGTACCTTGTCCTTAACCTTGCCCTTGGACCATTTCTTCTTCTTAGCGGACTTTGACGCAGCAGCGGCGATGGCGGCTTTCTTGGGCGGCATCTGAATCGTCATAGTATGGGGGTATCAAGAGAGATGGTGAGTGAGCGGTCCGAGATTGGGTGATCAACAGAGACGCAAGCAAGGCAGCGACGCAATGGCCGACACGACACGCGGCAGGTGCGACAGCATGAGCAGCAGCATGAAGTAGAAGCATCGAGTCAGGATGATCGGCGAGCGGTACGGTTGTGAGAGTGTCCATCGAGGAAGAATCGTCGATGCGAAGCTGCAACTCTGGCCGGCAGGTGGTGCTTCGAGGGCTGCTGATCGAGACATACGGGTTGCAATGAGGAGCGACGATGAAGGTTGTTGGAATCAAGCCATCATCGGACAAGCCAAAATAATTTGTCGAGGCCAATGTCGAACGACAAGATCCTCTACATGGGCTGCTGCGAATGGTACCAAGGGTCGACGATGCATGTGCTGATGAGGAGCGAGACGAGAAAATATGGCGAAAGCACGTCCATGACTGGCCGTCTGACGCAAGCTGCAAAACAACTTGCCGTCAACCACAGCATCCCTTCGTCCGACTTGCAAGACCCGACTCGACCGGTCATGTCAAAGCTAGCGTTGGTCCTCTTCCGTATCCACAGCCGTCGATTCTGAAGGCCGTCCATGCCAATCAGAAGTGCTTTGTTGGCCTGGCTCGCAAAGTTTGACCGCTGAACCGTCCACCTTGCATTGTTGCAACTTCTCATCAAATCGATGAAAGCACCGGGCCAAATCCAATGTCGCTCTCATCCATTCTGTACCACTGTGCCGCCAGAATGCTTCCGCAATGCCTTTGCATTTCAAGATAGAGATACCTCCTTTTCCGCCTGTCGAAGGTTGCTGCGCCGTGTTGTGCTGATCATGCTGTGCTGTACTGTGCTGCGTATCGTATCGTCTGCTGGTGCGTATGCGCTTGCGAATGCGTTTGAGAGGTGTAGGAGAAACTTACCTTGACGTATGTGGTGGATGACGGTAGAGAAGAGCGAGTGTGAAGCGCCAATTCGATGGGTCAACTCTGGACGCACTCACCGTTGCTCTCTCTCTGTCACTTCCGAGCAGCTGTGGTCAGACTTGATCAAATGCGGGCCGTGAGAAAGCGATGTGCTGCCTGTTCTTTTCCCTCACGCACAGTCTGTCCAGCCTGCGAGCGAGCCTCTGGACTGCCGTGTTGCAACCGCGCATTTGTTGGCCAGTCAGTAGCCCTGCTTCGTCCTTGAGATCAGTCTTGAGCGCGCCCCATTTCTGCGAAATTGAAATCAGGCTCAAGACAGAATCCAGCGGGAACACGACGTTCGGCTCTGGACCAGTGTTCGAATTTGCACGTGACTCGAGCAAAACAACGGCCGAAGTAAGGTCAATACAAGTCGGTCCAATACAGATTTTCGACACGAGTTCGGTCAGAAGAGCTTCGGTCTGCCGCACGACAGATTGCGCTCCCGACGTCCTCGACTCGATCTGCTGGACGGCGTTACTTGACACACTCGTTTCCGCAAGGGTCCGATCCGAACAGCGAGACCCCCGGACACAGATTTCTACAGGTTGCAAGGGTCTGCTCGACGTGCTCTGATGGAATGATCGACGTGGGTCTGTTTGCCTTGACGAAGTACAGCATCGCACTTCTGCTGTTCATTTGTCGACCGGAAGCGACGTCTATTTGGGATCGCATCCTTTGCGCTCTGTTGTGAAGCATGCACATCATGTGTTCAGAACCTCGGTCTCAAGTGCAGCATTAGGGCGTCTCGATTAGGATGCGATTTGCATACTCTGTCACTGAAAAAGACGCAGCTTTGGGGGTTGAGCCCAATCGAAGTCAAGGTCGAACATCTCCTTGAACAGAGTCAATACAGAGACGTTCGACGTTTGCGACAAGACCTTCCCTGCAGAAACGTGCCTCGCCGTGTCTTGTCTAGCTGGAGGTCGATCATGTTGCGCGGATCATGGATGCCACGAGTCTCCCAGCTCTTGTCGGGAAATGCGTCTCTCTCAGCAGCTCGACAACAGGTTGCCGGTGATGCTTCGCTGTCCACCCTGTCTCACATGGCCAGTTTGACACGTTTGAACGACGAACACGTCATGCGTCCGCCTCCTGCTTCGTGAACACGGTACTGCTAGACAACAATTCTGCCCCGCACAGCGTCGAGGCTTTCTTTGTCTCCGTATCGACTGACTCGATCTGAAGACGTTCACCGTGCCAAATCCAGTCTGTCGTGGAACGTCCTGTCCTCGACGACAACAGCCTCAGGGCATCCAATTGTCCGAGCACCCTCGCTTACAACACAGACCGGCAATCGTCTTGCCGCTCCAATTCGATTTTTCAAATATGATTGCGAATGAACATCTTCTGTACAAGATCGACGCGAGCTCCTGAACGCGACGATGCTTGCGGGTTCTACCCTTAGATAGCGGAAAGGTCTGTTCAATGTCGAAAAGCAAAAGGCAAAGGATGGTTGTCAGCAAAGCGAATCCCACATCAACTGTCAACACCGCAACAGCTTTCGCTGAAAATACTCACTTCCGAACTTCTCGTCGTAACCTGGCGTGGTCCACTTGCCCTTCTTGACCATCTCGTCGACGGTGCGGCCAATCTCGGGACGAGCGGCGACGACGTCATCGACGGTAAGCTGGTCAAAGGGACGAGCGTCCTCGATGTTCTTCAGAGTAGCCTTGAGGTCCTTGAGCTCGGCCTCGATCTTGGACGAGGTGGCCTGAGCTTGCTCGACCTGTGCGTGTGCGATTGGAGCAAAAGAGGCGAGTGAGGGAATGTCAGTATTTTGAAAGCAGGAACATGAGTGCATCGTCCCAATACACCTGGCGCTACTGTTGGCGGCGGTCAGTCGAGTACATTGTAGGGTCGGGCCGCATCGCATTGCACCGTGTGGCGTCGCATCGCATTCTCTCGCTGTTGAAGATAGTCGGTCGTAACAGAGGTGTGCATGCGCAGTCACTCGAATGCCTCGAATGGTCAGGAAGCTACCGCCACGGATGCGCTGGCGTGTCGCTACTGTATGGTCTTGGTCGGAACTGCTGATATGAACGAGTGACGAGTCGGATCAGTTCCGATCGCGGACCAACAGGAAGCGTGACGCTTTGACCATGAAGTAGCAGAGCGGCGGTGGCTCATACGGCGGCTATGCTGGCGAGGTGGCAGATGCGGCACGTCGTACGTCTGAACGACAGCACATACATGCATTGATCATTCACCGCAAAGCATGCCAAGTCGCGTACGGGTTGTCGGATTGGAACACGTTGTGCATCAAAGCCAGCAGGTCTAGCTCAAGCATGATGGTCGGAAGGGCCGTGCGCAGATTCGGGCGGACTGCTTCTCGAGCACAGATGGATGTCGTGGAGTCCATAATCGGATGGCGGCGTGAGCAGATCGATCATGTCGTGAGGGTCGTCGAGTTCTACCGGTGCCGAAACAGAAGAGGCTGCGATGAGATTGGTGGGAAAGGAGCCATGATGCGTTGCGGTGCGATGCGATGCGATGGTAGGCGATTCGGTGATTTGCAGGAGTCGAAATGATCAAGATACAGCGCCAATGACCAGGCGTATGGAACAGTGCTATGCTGTCGAAGAAAAAGGGCGGATACTAACAGCTTTGGACTCGAAGGCATCGATAGCCTTGAGCTGAGCCTGAACGTCGTAGGTGACAGGCTTGAACTCGGAGAGGATCTTCTGCGCCTGGCTGACAACATCCTTGTTACGGAGCACCTTGTTGTAGTGGGCAAAGTCGACGTCGGTGTTCTGCTGCTTGAGCTGTGCGAGTTGACGCTTTGCGTCGTCGGCGCGCTTGCGGAAAGCCGAGATCTGAGCGAGAGTGTTCTTGCCAAGACCCAAGTTGGAGATCTTGGCGAGATCCACTGCAGCAGCACGAGCAGCCATTGTGATGTGTTGGTGAGGAGGAAGCGAGAGCGAACGAGATGAGGGAGGTAAGGTGGTGGTGAGTAGTATTGTTGTGTGGAGATGGCGACGACGACGACGACGACGACGACGAAACAAACAATTCCAATCTGAGAAAGAAGGATTGGCGACGAGACCCGTCTAGTGCCGCCATTTGCGAAACGCTCACACACCGCCGTTTCCCTATCGCTTCCGAAGACGATCACCTTTTCTGAAACGCACCAGAATGTTAGACTACATTCCTGTTTGAAATTTCGCACGAAAAAAGATAGACGCGCCGAGGACGAGAATTGTCTGTGCGCAAAGGGAGCGGAATGGCGGTTCCAGCCAACAAGACCAAATGCGGATGAGCCGACAGGAGAAAGAGAGAGTCCTTCAGGGTCGTCGTCGTCGTCGCTTGTCGGGCTCGCCGGCGTTGCAATCTCTAGAGGCCATTCATTGTCCATGTCTGTTTGCCAACTTGCCGCTCCTCATCTGGCATTCATCCTGTCTCTTCCAGTCGATGCCGTCAATGTGATGTCGGTAGCTTGCCGATCGATGAAACTTGAAGAAAGCACAAAGCTCATCACGAGGATCACGCACTCTTGCTCGGCGTGAGACTGTCCATAAGACTGCCAGAGCGGACCAAGAGTGACAGCCTGGCTGGTCAGTCAACCACGCAAACGCCGTTGTTCCAGATTTTGACTGCTCGCTTCAAGCCATGTTTTTTCGAAAAAGCCACGCTGCATCCGTCGACCTGTTTTCCACCTGGAATTCCCCCTTGACGGCGACTGACAGCGCTTTTCCAGTTCTGACAAGGGTTTAGAGTGAACAATTGGCAGGTGCACGCGCCAACGCTCCATTTTTGGCAGCAGATTCCGTCCGTCTGTGCTGGCCTGCTGCTGTAGCTGCTGTCACTCCATTGTCGTGGTTAGAGCTTTCCTTTTCCTTCCCGTCCATTCCTCTGCACTACCTCCTCTTTCTTCTCTTCTCACCATCATCTCGCACTCTTGCACAGACACTAGCATACAAACGTCTTTCCACTGCCGCACAGTCACTTCAGGTCTTTGCTGCACACGCAAGCATTCTCCTTGACCACATACGATCGGTGACATCGTGTATCGTAACATCTCCGTTCACACCACAGCGGTACAGACCTGTCTCATCTTGAAAGTCCGGTTGCAACCATGTCGCTCCCGGCCAATTACACCGCGCTGCTCAACGATCTCAATCGTGATGTCGCAAGAGCACGTCCAAGCGACCCCCTCCAGTTTTGCGCAAACTGGTTCAATGCAAAGCTCGAGGAGCAGCGTCGAGCTTACCTCGCCTCGACACCTTTCTCCACCACCTCGTTTTCCTCCACCTCTCTGGGTCCTGGAGATGTCGTAGCGCCCGTTGTTCCAGGACTCGCTTCGCCTACACAGCGTGCTTCAATCTTCAACTCGGACCCGTTTGCCCCTGGTGCTGGTGGCGGTGCAGCTCTGCCTGCTGCTTCCCTCCCTGTGCCCATGGATGCTCAGTCGCCCGACGCCGCGCCCGCGTCAGCGACACCGTTCTCCAGCTTTCCTCCCTCGGGATCTACCACCATCTCGAACGCGCCCCTCATCCCTCCCACCTTCAATCTCGGCAGACGCACTTCGGTCTCGGCAGAGAGCATGGCTCCTTCGGCAGTCAACGCCGAGTCGGACGGATCGCCCCTGCCCAAGACCGTCATTCCGAAATCGGAAGAGCAGATGCAGAGGATCCGCGGCTCGATCGGCAACAACCTGCTGTTCCGCAACCTCGAGCAGGACCAGTACCGCGACGTCTTGCTCGCCATGAAGGAGGTCAAGGTCGAAGCCGACGTCACCGTCATCGAACAGGGCGCTCAGGGAGACTACTTCTACGTGGTCGAATCCGGAACGCTGGACGTCTACGTCCGTGCTTCACCGCGCAACGGCACTCCCGAGCCAGCCTCGTCCACATCCACAGCCGGCTCCGCCCTCGGCGACAAGAAGGTCTCGTACGGCCCTGGCTCGTCGTTTGGTGAGCTGGCGCTGCTGTACGCCCAGCCTCGCGCTGCCACTGTGCTTTCGACCTCGGCGTGTACGCTGTGGGCTCTGGACCGAATCACCTTCCGTTCGATTCTCATGGAGACCAACTCGAGGCGAAGGGCGCTGTACGAAAAGTTCCTCATGGACGTTCCGCTGTTCGAGCGCCTCTCGGCTGCCGAGCGTGCCAAGATCTCGGACAGTCTCGAGCTGCGAGAGTATGCGCCCGGCGAGGCGGTGATTTCTCAGGGCGAGCGTGGATCCGAGTTCTTCATCATTGTCGAGGGCGATGCAGAGGTACGCAAGACCAAGGAAGGTGGCAACGAGGAGGTGGTGGGCAAGCTCTCGAGGGGAGACTACTTTGGCGAGCTTGCGTTGCTCAACAATGCACCGCGCGCGGCTACGGTGGCTGCTTCGGGTGCAGCGGCGGCCAAGTTGAGGGTGGTGACGATGAGCGAGAGGGCGTTTACGAGGTTGTTGGGTCCGCTGGCGGGGATCTTGGAGAGGCATGCAAAGGAGAGGTATGGCGACGAGTATTCGGTGGGTCAGGCGGGTGAGGGTGCGCCGAGTGTCAATGTTGGCCTGGCGGGTCAAGGTGGAGCGGGGGACAACTTCCCGCATCCGATGGATTCGACTGCCAAGCCGGGCGAGGGGGCGTGGAGCGCACCCAATCCGTTTGCTGCTGCGTAGAGGTGGTTGTCTAATTCAATTTGGTGCTCTGGGTTCTTGAAATCGATATCATTGTTATACTTTATACTGTGATGGCGAGATGTGTGGTGAGGGGGTGGTTGACGAGCGGAAAAGAGCCGGTGGTGAGAGAGAGGATCTGGGACGAGGCAGGTGCGATTGCCATCGGACGTGATCCGAAGCTGAACTCGTCCAGGTCGTGTGGCCGCGACATCAGGGCTGCGGCAATGTACAGTGCATGGCTGGCGTCTGTATAGGTAGTCGTTGGGCTGATGTTGAGCGAATCAGAAGAGCAGAAAAGTCTTTTCACAGAGGGGGAGAGAATGGTATTTGAAGATCTTTTGTTCGGACAGTTCCGACCCAGATGATGCGCTTTGCTTCTTGCTGCGAGCGGAAAGTGTTTCTCAGTGAGGTGCGACAGTGCACAGCGCCCATTCGACCACACGATATTCATTGATCTCGGTCACGGTAGGTAGGTGGCAGCAACACATGATGAACAGATCTCAAACACTTTTGACAGTATGTATTCGATGATGAGCGGGTGCCATTGCCCAGTGTCTGCCCCTCAACCTCAGCTGGCACCACTAAATGCTGATCAGAGGACTGGCCGGAGAGAGAGAGGGATGAAGATGCTTGGTGACGCCAAGCAAGGGCGCCGAGTCGGGAGACGCAAGCAAGGAGGACCCTGTGTGAGACCCTTGTCTGGGGACGCCCTGGCTTGCAACTGTCAAGGTCTGGACTGGGCTGTAATAGACCGTTTTCAATGATACGTTCTATGTTACATTGGAAATTCAAACATTGTGTCGGAATGAACGCGTGGTGCGAATCGTGTCGCGCCATGCAGTCGTCGCTCTACCTCTGCTCCGCCAGAAATTGCGTCATTGTGTACGTCATCCCGTAGAGCGCTTTCCAATGCGACGCTCGATGATCACATTTTGCGCCCAAAACGCTGCTTAAATTATTCGGTTGCACTGTTACCACCGCCGTCGCGATCCTGAACCACATGCCTTGTTGCTATCATGCACTTTCCTCTGCTTTCCGTGGACAGTCCGGTGCCGGATTCTTGGGATTGAGATGGCGCACAACACACCGCAAGCGAGAGGCTTTCGGCGGTGGTGGACAGCTTTGCCCCGGGGTCAAAACCTAGGGTCCTCGCCATTGTTGGCAGGCTCGACGATCGCGAGCAAGCAGCCACGAAACCAAACGCCGTGGAGCACAGCTCCCTTTTCGCGTGAGACTTTGTCGTGCCGCGTGTCTCCTTTGTCCGCAACTCGTGTTGGAGGATGTCGGATCGTGTGGATTCTCACGAAGCGGGTCCGAAGCGATAGCGTGCTTGCAACATCGGTACGGCGACTCGCAAAATCGAAAGCTTGTGTGACCTTTCAAGTTGCCGCGAGTGCAAGGTCGCTCTGCTCGTTCATCTCGGTTATGCAGCCATGCTCAGCCAGCCAACGGCTCTACGCCAAGGTAAATGGCAACAGCCACGGCCACCACAGCCGACTTAGCATCCTGAGCAACCGGCGCTGCAGCCGCACAAGCTCGGCTGGCTTGCAAGACGCCGAAGGAAAGCAGCCATACCGGAATTAGCACCACCCAAATCAATTCCGCTTGCTCAATACAATTTACAAATGTATTGACTCTAGCGAATCCATGCATGCCGACTTGATTTGGGGTACAGCAGTACAGTGTGCATTTTCAGCTTTGAACCGTCTCGTGGCACAGTCTACCGTAGAAACGCAGCTGCAGAAAGTCCGGTGCAGAATTACACCACACCGCACCAGTTCCACTGTCCTGGACCAGCGTTGAATCGCAATCAAAAGAAGTTACAACCTCTTGACTGTATGTACGCTTTCGGACTGGTTCCGCTATCGTCGCTGCCCTTCTCACTGCCACTACAGCGTCGGAACGAACTCCGAGCTCGTCATTAGAGTGATCAACGCAAGGTTCGCGAAAGAGATGTGAAGGCGGAACCCGACTCTCGAAAATATAGTCCTCGATGTGGCTTCCGGTCTTGAGCTTGAATTCATATTTTATCCTTCCAATTAATGAACAAAAAGAGACAGAATTTTTGCCGCGCATCGAGCCGATCAGGCTGGAAAAGGCCCAAGGCGAGTCGAAAGGTCGGCTGAGTGAATTTCTGCCTGAGCATGCGAGTTTCCATCACCATCGCCGCTTTGTTTCTGAGTCGCTCTCTCTTTTCGCTCTCTTCCACGTCAATCAATCCCATCTCGTCCCATCCGATCCCAGAGTCTATCTATCTATGCCTCCATCCCTCCGTCCGTCCATTGAAGATACAAACACATCCACCAAACCCTGAGTCGGACCCCGTTTCCGCTCCTACACACCGGCAAGCCACCTGTCTGGCGATTTGACAATCCGATTCCGTTGCCGACAAGTGTGATCTGGCCGGCTGCTGCGCATTTTTTGCTTCCGGCGTGCTTCCACCGACATCGAGTCGATTGCCGTCGCACTCGTCCATCGCCCTCGACCTCTTCAACTGTTGTGGCCCTCGACATCCACACAAACACAATCCGGTCTTTCTTCTCTCGCCAGCCGCGTCATTCTTCCGTCCGGATTGCATCCCGCCATTTCGGAACACGCGCTTGTCGTCCATCTACCACATTCATCCTCCTCTTCGTCGCTATCGTCGTCATACCGTCGTCATCGCTTTCCACCTTACCACCATTGTCACGTTCCCCATCCGCCTTTGTCCGCTTCAGTTCCTCTTGCCGAGCTTCTGAAGTCGATTGAACCCTTGCTTGCTCCCTGGCTTCTGTCTCTCTGACACCGCCCGAGCCACATCAGCTGCACACCTCGTCGTCGACGCCATCGCCGGCTCAACAGCATCCCCCGACCCCACAATCTGGACGCCTCGGCTGGACCCTCCTTCTACAATGTCTGAAACAGGTACGTACTCGAACCAGCACCCGGACACATACACCGCTCTCTCGGAGAAGGAAACGACGCCGAGCAAAGCGAAACGCAGCCCATCTCGATCCGACGGGAGAGCCGATGGTTGTTCGGCATCCACGCTAGTCGCAGCTCGCGATCGCACGATCTTCCCGTCCTTCCGGATCACGGAACTCCCGCGTGCACCGATAAGCATGAGCCATTCCCGCTAACCTCGACCCCGCTTTCCTTCTACTCTCCATCCTTTTGCCTTTCTCTTCCACCACCACCACCACCACCATCTCGACATTCTTCACCCGCCGCGACATGATCGCCGTGCAATCGCCTCGTCCAGCCACAGCCACAAGGCCACCGGCAAAGCCTCTGCGCAGAAGCTCGCCTGCCCGCGCAGCAAAGCACCACCTCGAACCCAACCCGTTCGAAAAGTCGTTCAGCTCCGGACCCAACTCGTCCGAGTCCGTCGAACGTCGCTCCGACCTCAAAACTGACGCCAAATCCACCAACGTCAGCACGCCACCTCTCTCCACGCGTCCAGGCGCCGCTTATCGCGATCGCACCTTTTCCAACAACAAGAACCAGACCTCGCCTCAGGAGACCACCGGCTCGACTCCCAAACCGCTCTTGCCACCCGTAGCCTCCATCACTTCGCCAGCCGGCGAGAACAACCCGTATCCTTGGTCCGCCGGTCTCACCAGCTCGTTGCGATCCGGTCCTCTCTCGCCCGCCATGCTCGCTGGTCCTCAGAGCTCTCATTTTGATCCCAACTCGTTCCGCACCGGCTTCACTCCGGACCTTTCCAACTTCAAGACGGGTCTCACGCCGCTCGGCGGTGGCATGTCGTTCCCGCCACCTTCGCCCAACACCGCCGCCTTCCTCGCCGTCATGGTCAGCAGCACCTCGGGCGCTTCCACGTCGGCAGCCACCATCACGCCCAACACGCTCTCGGCCCTGACCAATGCTGCAGCAGCTGCCACCAACGGCGGCTCCATGGATCCTTCCGCAGCGGGCGGTTCGGCGCTCTCGACGCAGCCGCAGAACTTTGCCGGCAAACCCACCGACGCGCAGAACGCGTTCGACCTCGCCTTCAGCCGTTCGTTCCCCAACGAGCGTGCCGATGCCAAGCTCGCCGGATCCAAGCTCAAAGCCGAGGTCAAGGCGGGCGATTCGGACAGGAGCGTGTCGCAGAGCATCAGTCCGCAGATGATGCAGAAGCCCTTGGAGGGTGGTGCCAACGGCGACCAGCAGAACGCCGCCTCGGGTCTGTTCTTGTTGAGTAGAGCGCATCAGGAGATGGCCAAGCGCGATGGCGCCGGCGCCGGCGCCTCGTCGACGTCGCTGTACGAATCGAAATCGCAGCCCAAGAAGGGCGCCAACGCCAAGAACGCCAAAGACGAAAAACCGGGCGCCAACAAGCGCAAGAAATCCAGCTCGACCGACGACAGCATTTCCACTGCTGCCGCTTCTGGTTCGATGAACGCTCCTCCACCTGCCAAAGCTGCCAAGACGGCGAAAGGCGGCAAGAAGGCGGCTGCTGCTGCTGCTGCTGCTGCGACGGCGGATGCGGCGACTGGGCCAAGCAAAGGAGCACCTGCGGCGTCCAAAAACGGCGGCGGATCGCTCAAGTCGGACAACGGCGACGACGACGACCAACAGTGGGACAGCGACGACGAGGACGGAAAGGGAGGCAACATGGACGAGAAGCGCAAGAACTTTTTGGAGAGGAATCGACAGGCGGCGCTCAAGTGTCGACAACGCAAGAAGGCCTGGTTGGCTTCGTTGCAGGCCAAGGTGGAGTATCTGCAGAACGACAATGAGAACCTGCAGAACACGGTGGGCGCGTTGAGGAACGAGAACATGTTTTTGAAGAGCCAGTTGGTGCAGGCTACGGGCGGAGCGGTGGTGCCGGGCGTGGGTATGCCGATGGGGCCGGGCCCGATGGGGTTGCCCATGGCGGGCGTGGAGGGGCATCATGGCATGGGACCGGGCGGGATGGGGATGCCGCATCCTGCGTACATGCATCCGGGTCCCGGCGGTGGATATGCGAGGGGTGGAGGAGCACCAGGGTTTGATCCGAGGCAGCAGCAGGGAGGACCGGGGGGAAGACCGCGTTCCGAGGGGGATGTTCTAGCGGGTGCGGGCGAGCAGGGGATGAACGGAGTCAAGCACGAACGCGAGTGGAGCAGCGCCAGTGCTGATGCTGGCAAGGGTGCGGGCGCAGCTGGTGGTGCCATCAAGGTGTGATGCACGTGGACCCGATGGTTGAATATACCTGAACTCTCGTCGTCGTTGTGGTTCTATTTTTCGAGATTGTACAAGAATATGATGGTTCTGTATTGTTACTTTGTAGGATGTGCGGGATGTGAGATGGGAGCCTCGAGTGGACAAGGGAGTCGGCCCGCGGGGAGGAGCAAGAGCGGATGTGTGTGTGTGTGTGATTGCGGGTATGCATCGCGCAAATCGCAATGACGAGCAAAAGTGGAGGGCGAATTTCGGAGGGAAAGATGAATCACACTGAGAATATGCACCGATTGCGTGCTCGGGCGAAAAGCCGAATTACGAAGTTATCCGCGCAGGTTCCAAAAGGCGAGAAGATGAAGTTGATGTGCTGTTGTTGACCCTTTTCGTCAACTACCAACATCGTCTCTTCGACACTCACACGAGCCAAAAAGCCTCGGATCACAAATCAGCGAGGCCAACACTTTTGCGACCCGAACGGCCATGTCAACAGCAGCGATATCTGCCGCACCGGGTGGAGCGCACGAGTCGGGGTCGACGTCGACGAAACGGCGGTCTTTGTTCAAACCGAATACCTGGAAGAAGAGCGCTCGGTCGCAGGCGCACGATGCAGTGAAACCTGCTGGAGTGGATTCTCCTGACGGAGAAGCGGTGACGGGTGTGCGGAATGTTGATGGAGTCGAGACGGGTGCTCCCTTGACGAGCTTGGTTGCTTCCTCTCCCGAGGTGAAGAGGGAAGGGAAGGGTGTGGAACGAGAAGCCGGTCTCGGTACAGCGTTCGCCAACCCTGCACCGCTGACACCTGCACCCAAACCATCATCTACACCACCTAAGTCATCGGAATTGGCATTCACGACCGACGCACTGGGTCGAATCCCCTTCTTCCGTCAGGATCACCCCAACTTCCCCCTCTCCAACTCCTCCCCCTCCTATCCGGTCGTCTACAACTCCGTCCGTTATACAACCGCTGAACACCTCTTCCAATCGCTCAAATTCCCGTCGAATCCCGAGATCGCTTCGAAAGTTCGTCGTGCAAAGACTCCGCTGGATGCGATGCGCATCGCTCGATCCCACACCTCCCTCTACCCAGCAGGGTGGTTTTCCGAGGGACTCAATGTCAAGGTCATGCACGATGTGGTGCTCGCCAAGTTCTCCCAGTGGCCCAGGTTGAGGGACGCGCTGTTGGAAACGGCCGATGCAGAGATCTCCAACGTCAGCCCTACGGACGTCTTCTGGGGCACGGGTGAGGGAGAGAGGGGAAGGAACGTGCTGGGAAAAGTGCTGATGGATGTTAGGGAGGTGCTGAGGAGGAATGCGGGTGTGGGGTACGGGAGTGGGGCAAAGACGATGTAGAGCGCGGCGCTCCCCCGCACTTCCGATGAAACCATCAACGACGAGGAGGAAATCCGCTTTGCTCTCGTTCTTCCGGTAAACCCCTCGCATCAGCCCTCTCCAGAATATGGCCATCTCGATAGATCACCTACCTTTGTAATCCCGGTCTCAGCCCATTGCGCATACATCTTCTTTTTTGGCATACATACAAACTCCCCTCGCTGTTCTGTCAGAAGCTCTCTCGCTTTCGTGGTCCACAAGCGTATCGATGAAGGCATTGGCGTAAGAGGGCTTGCTGGTTGGTGCATGCTGATGCGCTCTGCTCTGCGGCTACGTTGAGAGCATCTCTTTGACGACGCACGACGGTGGGCACAAACCCACACACACACACACACAGAGGGAGCACACGCGCAAACACCACACACCCTTCACACTCTCTACCAACAAAATGCATGTGACAGAGCGCTTTCTATTTGCTTGCATCCGCATCTCTACGCAGCCACCGGGGTAGCCTGTACACTCTGCACGGCGGCCACTTTTGCGATCGCCGCATCGATCAACGCCTTGGCCTGCAACTCTGCCTTGACAAACACCTCGACTGCATCGCCGATCCTTCGCTCCGTCTCCGGGTCTTGCTTGATCGCCTTACCGAGCTCCTCCGCACCGTTCTTGAGGTAGTCTACGTCCAGCGCGAATTTCTGCGGCAGACCATCGGCGCGCAAAGGGTCGATCTTGAGCAGCGGCAGCGTAGCCTCAGGAAGAGGGAGGGAGTAGGTTTTGCTGGGGCGGTAGAGTTTGCCTTCTTGGGCGAGGGTAGGAGTAGAGATCATCTCGGTGAGGGTGGGAGCGAGGATGGTGGTCTGTTGAGCACCGAGCGCGGGCATAGCTAGGACCTCGTTGAGCGCGATAAACGAAGCAGCCTTGATGACGGGTGCGGGCTTGCCGGTGGAGGAGAGATCGCGGTAGGCCTGGTAGATGTGAGCCATACGGGGTGACATGGGGTGTTGGGTAACGGGGTCCGAGTAGACGAGACGTTCTTCGGGAGGGGTGAAATGCGCCAGGATCTCGTTGTAGTACGGCGAGATATACAGACAACCTGCCTGCGCAGCGGCAAGCGCCTGAGGTACCGAGAAAAGTCCCGTTCCGAGCGTTCGGATCCCGTGCTGCGACTCGAGCGTCTTCGCAGCGATCATCCCCGCGGGCGTGGTGAGGATCTTGATGCAGTACCTGTCCTTTCCGATCCCCTGCGCGGCAAACTCGGCATCGTACTTGAGCGCGTGCTTCACGATCCCCTCCGCATCGTGTGCGCAGCTCGGGCTCGCCTGGAGCAGTGCACGACCGGCAATGTTCGGCAGATTCAAGGCGCAGAGTTTGACGGAAATACGGTCGAGGATCGTCAACCAATCCGCACCGGGAGACGCACGGATGACGTCCTCGAGCAACACCTGGTTGGCAGGCACAGCCAGCGCATCCGCCACGATGAACTGGTTCGACGTCATGTCGTTGGGCTGCACACCGAGCGACGCCAGCTGCTGCGTGAGGGGGACGTCGAGCGTGTCGACGTCGATCTCGAGTTGAGACGCCGCGTTGACGATGATGGGTACGGTGGAGGCGGTCATTTTTGGCTACAGCGCGAAAGATGGAGTTCAGCGATGGAAGATCTTTGGAGGGTGGAAGATATTTATCTGGAGGGCAGCGCGTGGGGGGGGGGAGAAAGCACGCTCGGCTTGCCAGCAAGGGTCTCTCCCGAGGTAGATTACACGGCTGCCGGTCAGAGAGAGAGAGAGAGTCGCACGGAGGAAGAAAGGTCGTTTGACCAGCAAGCGCGCTGTACGACTTCGGTCAAATTCGCGGCCGACCGGTTACAAAATGCGGAGACGACGGGTCGGTGTTTTTGGACGCCGACGCGAATTCCGCGTTGACCGGTGTGCGACACTTTTTTTACTCCAGGCTTCCCCATAGGTCTTGGACCCAAACGATGGCAGCGGCTTGCTCGCTCCCGGCGAGCATGACGCCGAGCATGGAGTTAACCAAGCAGCACCTCTCTAACGGTCGTGTTGGTATTTGAACATTTCCAGCAACGTTCTCTTGTCGTCCGACCATCATCATTTCCCGCTCAACCATCATGCCAGGAGAATCCAACTCGATCGCGGCGGCCTCGGCGCCGTCCAAGCTGCGCGGACCCATCGTGCTACCGTCGCACCAACTGCCCGAACGATTCTACCTCGGTGGACCACGGATCTCGTCCTTCCGCGGTGAGGCGTCTGGCTCGCAACGCGAACCGGAAGACTGGGTAGCCTCGACCACCTGCTGTGCTGGCCACGACTCGCTCGGACTCACCCGTCTGCCGCAGACCGACACGTTGCTGGTGGACGAGATCTCTGCCGACCCGATCTCCTGGCTCGGCGCCACGCACTACCGCAAGTACGGCAAGGACACCAAGCTGCTGATCAAGCTGCTCGATGCAGGACAACGATTGCCCATCCACGCTCATCCGCACGTCGATTGGGCGAGGATCCACGTCAACCGCAACCACGGAAAAGCCGAAGCCTGGCACATCCTCAACTCGGGCGAAGTGTACCTCGGACTGAAGCAAGGTGTCTCGGAAGCCGAGATGTTGAAACTCGTGGATGCGCAGGAGATCGAAACCATGTTGGCCATGATGCATCGAGTCGAGGTGGAGGAAGGCGATACGGTGTACGTTCCACCGGGGATGCTGCACGCTATCGGGGAGGGGATCCTGCTGGTCGAGGTGCAGGAACCCGAGGACATGAGCATCTTGCTCGAGTGGCGCGATTTCCAGCTAGATGGTCGCAAAGACGGTCACCTCGGACTAGGCTTCGAAAAGGCCATGACCGCGGTGGACGTTTCGACGTTGACAGAGGGCGAGCTGCACAAGCTCGTGGTGAGGAGCAAAGGTAGGAAGAGCAGCAACTTGCTGGCCGACTCTGCCCTAGAATACTTCCGAATGGACAAGTTTGAGGAGGATGTCGAGGTCGATGCTGGTTTCCAGGTCGTGGTGGTGCTGAAAGGCGAGGTCGAGGTCAAGGTGGGTTCAGCAGAGAGCAAGACGACGTTGAAGACGGGAAGCACGACTCTGCTGCGTCACGCCGATGGGAAGGTCGAGTTCGACATTGGTGCAGAAGGTGCGTTTGTCGTCGTTCGTCCGCCTTTGTAACATGGAATCGCAGTTGGTCTCGAGTCCTTTGTCGTGATGGTGTGTGCTGACCGACGCTGAATCATAGAATGACTGTACAAGATCGTGTCGATGGCATTTTTGTGTCGCCATTTTTCACGTTGAATTTCCTCGTCGATGAATTTTTCGTTTGCGAAAATCTTCGACTCGGTTACTCGGCAACTCGATTCCGGTGGGTTAATCACTTGCACCATCACCCTTGACTTCCTCTACCACCCACCGAATCCACCTTGCCTCTACACCATCACCGCCTGCATCACCCCCTCGCAATGACAGATCAGCAACAAGTCGAACTCCACATACCCTCCATCCAACCAGGCGTCGATCTCGTCGGCATCCTGCATCGAAGACCCTCGGCATCACCAGGTAAACGCCGCATCGCGCTCATCCTGCACGGCTTGCTCGCACACAAGAACCAATGCTACCACCGAGCACTGGCAGAGTCGCTCCCCATCGACTCGTACCGATTCGACTTCCGCGGCAATGGTGATTCCAAGGGGGACTGGGCCATGGGTACCATGGACAACGACGTCGAGGATCTCGCCAGCGTGGTCCGATACCTCTACCAGCAAAAAGGGTATGCGGTGGATCTGATCGTAGCGCATTCTCGAGGTACGATGGTGTCGTGGATGTACCTGAGTCGAGGTGAGCAGGCGCTGCTGCGAGACGGCGGGTTTGCACACCTGCCCAATTTGGTAGTAGTTTCGGGTCGATGGGCGATGGAGGGTATGTTGAAGACCTACGCTCGCTTCCAGCAGGGGTTCGACAAAGAAGGTTTCTACAGGTGGCACGTCACCGTTGCGGGAAAGAAGCGCGAATACATCGTATGGCCCAAAGACCTCGAGATGATGTCGGGCGTCAAGACTCCGCAGCCATATGTGGAGAAGCTGAGCACCAACACCGACGTACTGGTCGTGCACGGTACTGCCGATCGAACCGTACCCCCGCAGGACGCACAGGAATTCATTCGAGTACTCGAGGCGAATCAGAGTCGAAGGAAAGGGTCGCATCGACTGGAGATGGTGGACGGTGCGGATCACATGTACAGAGGCAAGACGGAAGCAGTGGTCGGGCTGGTTTGCAAGTGGTATGCTGACAAGAGTGGAGGGTTGGGAAACGGCGGCGGAGATGCGACCAAGGCGACGTCGACTTCGAGGTTATGAGTTGCGGGTTTATCTGCAGATGGTGTGGGGTGGGTGCCACGGTGAGATTGATCGACCGTCGACTGGCGCACACCTTTCATCCCCGCTCACTGCCTCAGCCTCGGCGTGACGAATGTGGCTATGGCTCGGGAGTGAACCATTGTAGAAAGCATCTTTCCACAGCTAGCATTGTATGATCTTCTCAACCTGTGACATCTCCCTCGTCTTTGCCAGCATAATCACTATACCCTCACACATTCCGCCTCCAAGCTTGTTGCACCTTTTGAAATCGTTTTCCCGTCTAACATGCCTCAAGAGACCCCCGCCTCGTGCCTGCTGTTCGTGCGCATCTGCCAACTCGCCATCCGCGGCAAAGACGTCGCCGACCTCATCCACCGACTCCAAAGTCTGTCTCTCGAATACCAGCAAGCTACTGGCGGACGTGCCATCGAAGACGATGCGCTGAAAGCTATCCTCATCAACCAGGTGTTTGGCATCGCAGAGTACCACATTGTCATCCGAGCTATGGGAGAGAGGGGTGAGTTGACCGACTACTACAGTGTTGCGGCGGCGTTGCAGAGCAAGTGGGAAGCGATTCGTTAGAGTGAATGGGGTCAAGGTCGAGATCGGGGTGTATCGAAGTCGATTTCGAGATTGACAGGACGAAGACCCTGTTTTTGCCAAGAACTTCAAGTCTAAGCGAGCTAAAGCCGCTCCCACACATCCGCCATACGACACACTGCGCCGTCTTGAATCTGCAGTCGAGTGAAGCCGCCCGCCATTGCGAAGTTCGTATCAGCCTAGCGGCGGGCATTGTTCTGGATCGCCTGGGTCGGAAGGCTTGCCTCCGACCGGATCGGCTAGCTGTCAAAAGTTCCGGTTGTCGTTGTATGCACTGCCTTGCACTCCTCGCCCATACCCGAAATCACACAACCTTTCCTCGCAGATGTCAAGGAGAACTGTAGTGATTCACTACCACTTTCTGCTTTCTTTGCGTCGTGTGAAGCAGTGCAAGCACTCTAAGTGTGACCAGTAGACAGTCGCATCCACCGACATCATCAAAGATACAGCAAGAAACGTCGTCGTCGTTCTTGAATGCACTCATATCGAAAATCCCAGCAAATCAGCATGAGACGCGGATCAAGTTCGGCTAAGGCTCGACGTGCAGCGCCAAGAACTCCGCTATCCTACTCACCAAGCTACCCCTTCCCTCGGACCGCTGTCTTTCTGACTATTTGTTCCGCTCGCAGCGATGTCGTGTGTGTGTGCGGGTGCAAGCGTCCGCTCCCCTCCCCCGCCTCACGTCGCTTAGCGCTATGCATGGGTTGCCCATGGAAGATGCCTTTCCGTATTTCTTCAAGTCTTGGCATCTTGCAACGACACCAGACCCAATTGATGTTGTGGATCTTATCTCGCAGCAACAGCAGCAGCCTCTCTGGCGTACATGCATGAACGGAGACCGGCTTGTTTGCAACCCCCGCGGATGTGAGACTTCCGTAGAGTCAAACTTGCCTGTTTAGGGTTCGAGCTCCCACGAGTCGGTTGTAGCGGTTGGCTGGATGTGGCGATGGAGAGGCTAGCGTGGGGGGAAGGGAGAAGGGGCCGATGCGGGTTAAGCGAGAGCTCGAGATAGGTGTGCATCGGTCGACCTTGTTCCGTTGCTACATGGCGTTCAGGATGGATACCCATGACTTCACGTCTAGGCAACGGAGCTGACCGAGAAGGCGTGTGAAGCGCTCACAGGAAACGATCGAGCTAGTGTCAACCGTCAATCGAGGAAGATATAAGAAAGGGGGGAACGAGTTGCAATGAGCGTCTCTCCTCATCCATCCTCGACCCTGAGAAGCTCTTCCTTTTCCTCTCTAGATCACGATGTTCAAGCTGACGCTGGTTCAGCTGACGACGCTGGCACTTGTGCTACTCGCTACAGGTCACCAAGCCGTGGCTCGTCCCGGAAAGCTTCGACCTGTCGAATCGGTACGTCTCATCCCACGCACACATCCCACTGCTTTGCACTCCAAACTAACACCTCCTTGCTGCTCTTGACGGCTGCCAACAGAAACGACTTCGAAACGACATCAAGCGCAAAGACCTCCTCTCCGGAGCACGCAAGCTCCAGTCGCTCGCCTACGCCACCTCGGAACGAAACCGCGTCTTTGGCTCGCCCGGTCACAAAGCCACCGTCGCCTACATCCAAGAAGAACTGCGTCGTGGCGGCGGAGCAGACTACTTTGACGTCTTCCTCCAACCCTTCACCGCCACCTACGCCGAGCACTCTTCCGAACTCGCCATCGACGATCAACCCACCAAGTCGGTCACCTTCACCTACTCGCCCAATGGAGAGTTTGACGGGGTGGAGCTGGTGAATGTCGCCAATGTTGGTTGTGAGCAGGCTGATTTCCCCGCGGGTGTAGAGGGGAAGATCGCGTTGGTCAAGAGGGGTACGTGTCCCTTTGCGACCAAGGTGGGCAGGGCAGGTACAGCTAAGGCTGCCGCTGTGATCATCTACAACAACGCGGCGGGTGATGTGGCGGGTACCCTGGGTAGCAAAGGACCTGTGGAGGAGGGACCCTTCGTTCCCGTGGCAGGTGTGACACAGGACGTAGGAAACGCGCTCGTCGCCCGTCTCGCGGCTGGCGAGAAGGTGCTGATCGACATGAAGCTCGACGGAGTGGTCGAGGATCGAGAGACGCACAACGTCATCGCCGAGACCAAAGCTGGCAACAAGGACCAAGTCATCATGGTCGGAGCCCACTCTGACAGCGTCGTAGCCGGTCCTGGTATCAACGACAACGGCTCTGGCTCCATCGCTCTGCTCACCATCGCCAAGCAGCTCACCAAGTACTCTGTCAACAACGCTGTGCGCTTCGCCTGGTGGTCTGCTGAAGAGTACGGCCTCCTCGGTGCAGAACACTACGTCGAGCAGCTCAGCCAAGCTCAAAAGGACCAGATTCGTATCTACTTGAACTTTGATATGATCGCCAGTCCCAACTACGTCCTCTCAGTGCACGATGGGGATGGTAGCACCTTCAACGAGCCTGGTCCTGCGGGGTCTGCTCAAGCAGAAGCGATGTTCTTCGACTACTTCAAGAACGAAGCCAAGAAGCCCTTGATCGAAGGACCGTTCGATGGAAGGAGCGACTACGGTCCATTCCTGGACGCTGGTATCGCCGCAGGTGGTCTCGACACGGGTGCGGAAGGGCTGAAGACCGAGGAGGAGGCCAAGCTGTTTGGTGGAACGGCGGGTGTGGCGTACGACCCCAACTACCACCAGGCAGGAGACACGGTGGATAACCTGGCAATGGAGGCCTTCGAGGTCAACGCAAAGGCCATCGCTCATGCTGTGGCAACCTACTCGACTAGCTTTGACAGCCTCGGCCCCAGATCGACCAATGCCAAGAGGAACGTCGCTGCAGCAGCTAAGAAGGTCGACCACAGCACGCATCGTTGCGGTGGAGATCTGGCTCTCATCTAAACGAGTAGACGCACGCGTACACTCTAGAATTCAGGATATCGAGACAGCTATGTATTGCTCAAGAGTAAAGTGTGTGCGCGAGAGAAAAGTGTATGACTGTATGAACACAGACACGCATCGCGCAAGAGTCAAGGTTGTGCGAGCGAACCATGTATGATGAGGAGCCTCTCCTTGGCGGAATCGGTAGATCGAAGACAAGAAATCGGGCCGATACGCGCGCTCATCAAAAGCTGCAGTGCTGATCGGGAGCCAATCAAGCTCGATCCAGATCACCGGATGAGCAAAGACCACAGACAACAGCGTCAAAGCGCTCGTGATCTTGGTCGCCGCCTTCATGATGAAAGGAGGTGCTCATGATAAGCTATCATAGACAACCTGACACGCATTCGAGAGCAACAGATTGACGGATAGCGATCTCGATACCCGCCGATAAGATACGAAGCACGTCGATGGCGTGAAAGAAGCATTTGCTGCAAGCTCCTCATCTCATATGACGGTCATGGCCTGAAGGACGCGTGAACTCGCATTGACCGCAGCACGGATCGTGTCCTGAAGCGAGCTAAAAGATCATCTCGCTTCCCATGGATGGTCATCGCTGTCTCCGAGATCCGGAATCGCGAGCAAACGCGAAGCGCTAGCCGACACCAAGCGTATAAGCGTACCAATTTGCGATAGATGGGTCAATGAGCAAGTGAGGGTTGCAGGGTAGGGCCGTTCGCCGCACTTCATGGCACCGGCGGCACGGCTCGGCGAATTGCCTTCTCCCATAAGAAAGAAATGTTCCGACCAGGGCAAGTGTGAGTCAGCGTTTGCCGTCTGCCGCTCTACAGCGTGCTGCTGCCAGCTGTTGACTCGCGTATGTGTATAATCATCCTCGCTTGGGAACTTGCTCGGCTGTATTCTAAGCTCGCCATGTTCTGGATTGCTCCTCTTCTCCTTCGGAATTGCGGAAGAACAATGACAATCATTTCCGCTCACCTTTGCATGACATCGGCAGGCTACCTGGTGCCTTGATGCATGGATGCACTCGAGCGGTAACCAGCATGCTCGGTCACTCTTTGAAGCCAGCACCGCATGATTACCACTTGCCAGAACGCTGACCATTCTCGCGACATCCTTTCAACGCAATGCTTTGACACTGGTGAAGAAGTCAAGTGACCTCATCAGACAACAAAGGACACAGGATGGAGTACGGATCTCGGACCGGTCGTGCTTTGGTCGCCATGGGGCCTCCGAAGAGAGACCTTGGGGGGTGAGGGAGGAAACGGAGTTCCGAGTGGAATGGCGTGGCACCAGCCCACCACGTTTTGCCCACGATACAGCAAGTGGCTCAGGAACAGCATGCCACGCAGAGAGGCACAAGTGAACGAGGAACGCGCTTGCTAGGCGCATAGCATTTCGATCTACGGTGAAGTCACATCTCACCACCCCACCAATTGACTCTCTTTGAGCGCAGACAGTGGCGGCGGTGGGGGCAACGGTGTCTCGGACCCTTTTTCCTCGCTTCCACATGCAGGCTGATGCACCCACACCAAGATTTAGACTCGCATTCCCGGCTTGGACTACTCTCTTCGATCTAGAATCGGACACTCGCCTTGCGATGTACGGTACACCATATGCTGTCTTCAGGCTTGTTTGCAGACAATGTGATATCGGCACAGCTCTGCGCTCATTGCGATATTGGAGGCGAGACAGTGGTGAGGGACCGATTCTGATCCGTGCACGGCCAGGCTTGCCGTGGGCCGCATCGGCGAATGCCAAGGGCGCTTACTGGTGAGGTTGCTGCACAAGTCGGCAGTCTGAGTTTGAATTGCCTGGATTCATTCCGCGGGCGACTTGCTTCTCGAAGCAGGGAACACCATTGACGCTGCAGCCTTCCATGCTCACCTGTACTTGGCGAGCTTTGTCTGCTGTGCGCCCGGACGACAGGCGGCCGAACTTTTCACACCGATCAAACGTGGACAGACAGGGTTAGCGCGAACCACGCCGAGGGTACCCACGCATCCAAACAAAAGGGTGGCAATCCTGTTCCAGCAGATGGCAGCAAGCGAGGTCGGAACTCGGTCGTTGTCAGACAGCGCTAAAGGTGCAGCTTCGGCTGTTCACTAAGCTAGGTACATCCACCGCCCCCGCTTTGACACCATCTTCGGTCTCTGTCCGGTTGATCGTCGTCACACTAAAGGCCAAAAAGCAATGTCAATGTCAATGCCGCCAAATCGCAAGGAGCAAGTCGCCGAAGCGAGCTGAGTCTGAATTTTAGCATGTGTACCTCGCAACTTAGTCGCTTCTATCGGAGGATTATCTTCCGTCAGAAGCCGTCTCCGACCAAGGAAGCGCAAGACGCCTGCATGGTGCTCGCAGCCGGCCAATTACTAAGCTTGCCCTGCAATGCAAGGGCATGCACTTCTACACCGCGCGGCGGCTCACTCTGCCTTCTGCCGCTGTCAAACTGCCACGTTCCCTCCACAATGTGTTCTGTGCCGTAGCGTATGCCGATGTCACTTTCGGCGCCATACACCATTGTTGCTGCCGGATCAAGCTCTTGATGCCACATCCCACAGCCCACTGCCTGTACGAATCCGCTGTATGAACCCGCCTTAAAGCAGACTCACACTGCTTCCGAGGTTCTCTGTTTTTGTGGGGCGTTGTCACCTGAAGTGTTCTAGCGTGCTGCTGCTTGGACCTCCGGTGATGATGGTGGCGCAACTCTCCGATGAGGTGCGATCTCACGTCAAGGTAATCATGTGGGATCGAGCATAGACCCCGTCTAGGGCCTCGTTCTGTTTCACGAGAGAGAATCAGGTATCTCATCGGCTCTTTTGCGTATCAATCTCCTTCGAGTTAGAACGTGGTCCGGAAGAGCTCGGCTCGAACAAGGTTTGCCATGGTCAGAGCTGAGCCATGATTGCTCGCTTGTTATTCTTAGTGTTCTCGGAAATCGTATCTCTTGGTCCGGCATCGTCCTGGGTATTCCGCGAGCAATCCCTGTGACCTCTTCTGCACGCCACCCCAGCTTGCCAAACGGCATCGTTCTGCGAGTCTCAAACCTTGTTGATCTGCATTCTGGAACAGGTCGGCCAGGTAGCCATGCCTGATACTGATAGATGCACAGACCCTTGCTGTTCGGCACCTTTGTCGGCGCTTCGGAAAGCCGCATCCATCTGGGCTTCCGAACGGATATCTGGTCCCAGCGTCAAGCCTCTCTTCGGCGTTCATGCTCCTGACCCATCGGCTTGTGCCATGCCGGCACTGCGTCTCGCCGTGCATCTGTAGGGACCCTGAGCGCACTCTTTGACGCATGGCATCTGCTCAGATCAAGGGCAGTGAAGCGACTCAGATGATCTGCAGCTCTCAATCAGCCTTTTCGAGCAAAGCACCTCTCCCGCTTCTCATACTGGACTCTGCACCTACGCAGTCGTAGCGGCCACGACCCGGCGGTTCTGGCCGCAGAGGGTCGACACTGCGGAGCTCCCTCGCCGCTCTATCCTTCGTCCCCGGGGAGCTTAAGAGCTCAGTGTCAGTCACGTTTAGTGTGTCATGTGGCTACAGAAGAACGTGGCTCTGCTTAGAACTTGAACTAGCCCGAGTGCATGGCTTCTCGCCCTTTGCTATTTCAAGAGCCATGCTCATGCCCTTTCCGTCGGCATCCCCCTCAATCTGCGTCTCAAGCAACACCACTAGCCATCTCCTGCAAAGAATGACAACGATGGCCGATATCTCCCATCTACCCCTTGTCCCTGCCGCGGATCAAGATTCGAAGCCACCTCACGTCGTCCCTACGCCAACCTACGCCTCACTGAGCGCCTACAATATTGGTCAGAAGATCGAGTCGACGCCAGCTTTACCGATGCTGGACGGATTGGAAGGCACGAGCAAGTCAGACCTTTTGATCGACCAACTGCTCACGGGTCCACCGTCACCTACAACCAATTTGTTTGACGACGTTTGGTCGCATTCGATGACTCAATTCGACTCGAGCAATGCTCTGACACCTTCGACTGCTTTGCTCGACGGTGTCGGTGACAGTGACACAACGTTGAGCGAGTCGGAGTCGGTTTGGTCAGATTTCCTGATGCCGCTCCTGGCAACGGTCGGGATTGACTACCCGGTCGGATCCGCGTCGGTCTCTGAATCAGCTGCTTCGTCGTCATCGGCTTGTTTCTCGACCTGCTCGACTGTCACTAACGCAACGCCTCAACGACAGACATCGAATGGAATCTTTGACGTCGCCTCGATTTTGCCCGTCAGCTCATCTTCGCATGAGGATACTGCCCCAACGCACAATGACAACTTGACATATCAAGATTGCACCTCCTCCTCGGTGAAGCAGGAGAACCTCACGACTGTCGCACCGATTGTCGACCATCAAAACCAATCCGGTCCATCGCTGTACGACAACAATTGGACTCAAGTTACTAGTCTCGCTCCCTGGCTTCATCAAGATGTCAGCTGCACCTCTAATCAGCATCACGAGCAACACCACCATGCTCATCAGCAACTGCAAGACACTCGGCCGAAGCAATCTCGTACCAACGGCGGCAGTTCGAGTCGTCAAGCAACTCGACCAAGCTCTCCAAAGCAGCAGTCGCGCCCGCGTCCACAGCTTCGATCCCGAAGCTCAACCAGCAGTCAACATGCTTGGAACCCCTTGATGGATCCTCAGGTGTTGCTGTGGGCTGCCGTCATGATGAACGGCCTCAGCCAGGCCCAGGCCGGTGCCGGGGATCCTGTGACGTCACCTTTCTCTGACTACTCAGCATCCATGTACGACGTAGGTCAGGAGTGGACGCAGGACGATGAGGTCGCTTTCGACGACGACAATGGCGATGAAGCGATGGACGAGTCTGAGGACGTGTGCGAGGACCAAAAGAGGATGCAGTCGGACGAAGGTGGTTCGTTGTCAAGTCAGTTCCACGAGTCTCCTGAACCATCTTCTGCCACTCTGGAGCCCATGGCTGCCCTTGCTCGAGCAGCCGAGAGTATTTCAAGGTCATCTTCATGGCCAATGCTCTTCCCTCCCGACATGCTCGATTTGCAGCAGAGTCTCTTGCGTGCTCATCCCATGTTTGGTCGTCCCGCTAGCCGTCGTCATCACCATTCCCAACAACAGCAGCAGCAATCCGCTCGACGCAGGACTCGAACGTCAATCTCGTCCATGAGCACTGGCCTTTCAGGTACTCGCAAGCCCAAGCAAGATGCGGTTCGCACTTCAGCCATACGGAGTAAGAGGCAGTCTTGTGTGGACGCTCATCACTCTCCACGCAGTCGCAGCAGCTCTTCGGCTTCCGAGTCCAGAGGCGAGACCGAAAAGAAGGACGTAAAAGCGCAGTCGCAGTGTGCAAGCCGACCACAAGCTGGACCAAGACTGCCACCTTCCCGCACCTCTTCCTACTCTCGACCATCGGATTCCGGATCCGGAATCGACGCTTTGTCGATCAGCGCTTGGAACGGAACCACCAACGCTTCTGACATGACGGCGACGAGCAGCGCCGGAAGCACGAGTACTTCTCTCGGCTTTACGATCACCGACAAAATCGTGCTCAGACCACGTCCTGGCTCTGGCGATGAGGAACTCGCCTACCCTTTCGCTACAGACTCGCTCCTTGATACGCAATACAATCGCGGTCCCACCATCGACGCCCAGCATCAAGCTGAAGAAGCGGTCGAAAAAGTTGCAAATCTGTTCCCCAGCGATCTCTACGCACCCCGCTTCACCCGTCGAGGCAAGTGCGGTCGAGAGGGCTGGTGCTCCCTCTGCCCACAAGGCGATTGGTACTCGATGAAGCGAAGCCAGTATCTCTACCACATGCAATTCGACCACGGGATCAGCAACCTCACTCGACGCTTCTTCCACCCACCCCAAACACTGAGGGTGTGGAACGATGCGGTCAGCAAGACCGACGGTCTCTGTCACCACTGCAACAAGTGGATTCCGATCTGCTTCGGTCCACAGAGGAAGAGGGATTTCAAGGCTTGGTTCAAGCACGCAAGGAAGTGTCACCGCGATGACACCGGTTGCCCGATCTAGCTGTGGCTGTTTGTAGTTGTACCGCAGTTGTTGTTCGCTTGTCGTTTTGTTTAGCACTCAGTACATACATTGCCCAATATACAGAGATTCCGATGGTTTTCTTTTGACCTCCGCGACGGTATCGTGCAACATAGCTGGTCACTGTTCGTAGTACCATTGTAAAGGTAGATCGCTCGTCGTCTCGTTTCGCATTCAGAAAATACTTTGGCCCAAATGCAAAAACTCTTCGCATCCTGGTCTTTCAAGCTCCGGAAAGACATCGTTCTCCCAAGCTTTTCACTGTTTGAGCAAGCATTGCAGATGTTGATCGATGGGCGTCACGTTTCGCATCCAGATCGTTCGTTGATCCAGATTCGAAGGAGTTCGATCCTTCGTCTCGTCAAGTGTGACAGACAGCATGGCGTAGTTTTTCGAAACGTGCCTACTTGTGTACGATTGCGAGTCTTATCTACGACTCAGGATTGATGGAGGACTTGGCGTCCTTCTTTTCTGCCAACACGATAACGCACGGCGTGTCCGCCTCTTACCGGCCACTACTTTCTCTTTCCAATTTCTTGCCGACTCGAGTACGAGGCGTCGAATCTTCGTTCCTGAAGTCAGCGTGTGTGTGTGAAAAACCATGGCATGAACGACACTAATTTGGGCCGAGTCGTGGCTTCGTTTTCCCAGACTAGCGGCGGATGGGCTTGGCAGAGAGAATCAAACCTTGTTCCTGCGTGCAACCTCGGTTGATTCTCGGCTGTCAATTTGTGCGGATACGCGAGACCGTCTGCCTCCAACGGAAGCTCAACGTAATCCACGATCGATATGAGAGTCCGGTTCAGGGTTGTTCACGACTTTTTCTAGAAATTGATTCAAGTGAGTACTTCCGCGGCTTGTGAGGTGCAACAAGCTCAACGTCTTGGTTTGTGGTGGTTCTGTGTCGATATCATCGCTGCAAGGACCGACTTGAAACACTGCTGCGCTTTGCATTAGTCACAAGTGTAGCGGACAGCTCAGCTTGAACGGAGAATTCTCGAAAGTGCCCTCCCACACTGATCCTTTTGACAGGTCTGGTGCATGTCGAGAAGTGGTCTGGTAGCAGGAGCGATATCAAAAGAGTTCATTGGAATACGTGCACGAACGACGCCGAGATGGTATCTCAGTATCGTGCGGATTTTCTGCTCACATTCATGCATCACATCCTCGCATTCGACCTTCGAGACCACACATATGCGATTGCATCCCCCGCCACGTTCGATCCTCTATCCCGCCATCCTCGGAGTAACCTTGATCCTATACTCGGGTTTCTTCAGCTGGAACGTGACAAACTGTCTGAATTCCACCTCCTCCTCCATCTTTTCCACCGTGTACCTTGCCAACAAGGTGTGCAGAACCATCCTCATCTCGTGCCATGCGAACTTGCTTCCGATGCAGTTGCGCGGACCGCAACCGAACGGCATGAATGCGTCCATATCCGCGGCTGGAGCTGGATCGTCCTGCAACAACTCGGATTCGCGGGGCAGGAAGCGTTCCGGCCAGTAGCGGTGAGGGGAAGGCCAGTAGGAAGGGGAGTAGTGCAGATAACGCAGCGAAGCGGAAATAGCGGTGCGTGGGGGGATGACGTGGCCGAGAACGACGGTGGACTCCTTGCCGGTTCGACGACCAAGTTCGGAGGTGACAGGGTTCATGCGCATCCCTTCCTGAATGCAGGCGTCGAGGTAAGGCGTGTCCGGAAGCGCGGTGAATCCTGGTACGGGCAGATCCAGCGGTTCGGCAGGGATGGTGGAGTAGAGCTTGGCGAGCTTCGAGGGGTTGTCGAGGAGGGACTTGATGATGTACGTGATGGTGTTCGAGGTGGTCTCGCCACCTGCGATGAGGAGTTCGACGCACTGGTCGCGGACGTGCGTGCGGGTGAGCAGCGATTTCTGTCCCTTCTGCATCGACAGGCTTGCATCGACGAGGAACTGCAGAATGTCTTTTCGGGACTCGCCCAGTTCCAACGACTCGGATCCGTCAGCAGCAGCGAGAGCACGTCTAGCTTCCGTCTCGGCGAAACGCGCATCTACCAGCGGGTTGGTGAGGTTGTAGACGTTCAGATCGCGCTTCATGTACTTGTCGAACGGACGGCAGAAGAATCGAATCCCTCCATCGTGCAGGTACTTTGCCAGAAGCTTGTTGATCTCGACGAACTTGCGATCGGCGTCGGGGTCGTCTCGGCAAGCGACGAGGTTAAAGCTGACACCGAAGGCCGTTTCTCCCAAGATATCCATAGCGAGACATGCAAGGTCCTCGTACAGATTGAAAGTCAAACCTTTGCTCGCATCGACCGCCTTCTCAACCCGCTGGTGGTAGCCTTCGAACAGCTTGGTGGTGGCATCGACGAGGAACGGTTCGAGCTGTCGCGTAAACTCGACCGCGAAAGCGGGGCTCATCAGACGTCGACGAGATCGATGGTACTCCTTGTTGGTGGTGGTGAACATGCCAGCTGTCTTGGGATCGCGAGAGAGGGAGGCGTACCAGTTGACCTTGGGCAAATTCTCCTTGGCGAGCAGCTGTCGGATGGCGTGCTTGTCAGAGACGTAGATCTGACGCGAACCGAGACGGAAGAGGGGCCCGTATTGCTCGTGCATCTTGTCGACGTACTGCCATTGGGTGCCGCGGACGTAGTGGACGAGAGCGGGGATCATAGTCCAGTGCAGAAGCCATGGTCCGGGAATCCGACTCGTCTTGTGCAAGAAGCATGACTTGAATCCCTGTTGAAGCGTGAACGAGCCGCGCAAAGAGTTCGGATTGTAATGTCAGTGTCACCGAGTCGATGAGTCGACTATTGCCAATGGAGTGCTGTGTACTTACGAGGAAGGCAGAGTATAGAAGGAAGGCATAGATGAGATTAACCCAGAAAGGGCGTCCGAAAAGGCCAAACTCGCGCACGTCTGTTACGTGGCGACTGATATTCGTGTCGTTGACCATCGTAGGAGGAGTTGCTAGGGGCTCAATGAGGAGATGGGTCTCGATTTCGCCAGCTGATCGAGAGATGCCTTTATTAAAGGCAAGCTCGACTGCTCAAGACGAACAAATCACAGTGTTGGAAGGACCTCCCAACCTTGCCATGCCATCATTACGCCACACTCACGAGATCGCGCTGCCATGGACAGACTCTTCTGCATGTCGAGATGCGCGCGAGTCGGACCTGCACTCCCGCGAGGAAGACGGAATGCAAAGTCGATGCTTGCATGTTGCTGTCGCTTTCGCACGCGAGGCGTCGCTGGCGATTGACTGGGCTACAATCGCGAAGCAAACCACAGTGTATGCGCATATCGTCTTTCATCCAGTGCCACGTGCCGCAGCAACAAATCTCACAGCCGTCGCACCGTTCAGCTCGGCTCGCGTCGGCCCTACCCAACTGCGCTGTTGATGACACTGGTGTGACAAAGGAACAAAGGACAGACATACGATTTTTTGTTGGTCTCACCGGTACTATTTCATAGATCAAGCACGTGGATTGTCTTCCATAACGATGCAAACGCCTTATCGCAAAAAAGTTCCATTTACAGGCCAGTCACAAAGTCGGTAGCAGAACACATGAACAAGAAACAGAAAGAAACATACGAGACGATGAGACGGGATGAGGAGAAGACGTCGGGTCTAGGCGCACGTCGAGGGCACAACACGGTAAGATCCATCGCGGGTTTGTTTGGCGCGTGCTTCAATGTCGAGGATCACTTCCACTTCATGTTCAGCAGCATACGGTGCGTCGTCCTTGATGCGCACCAGATCACCTTGTGTGAAAAGCGAGTGCATGCGGCGGTAGGTGATCTCTTGTCTCTTGTCGCGCTTGGCTCGGTAGTCCTCGAGAGTTTCGCGATCCAGCTTGCCCAGCACGTGGGAAGCGTGGAGGATCATCGCGACACCGCCTACCTGACCAAAACCAAACGAAGTGACCAGGCCAGTGTTTAGGCGTTGGCGGTCGTATCGGATGGAACGGCAAGGATAGAAGAGGCGGTTGTAATCGCGAAGCTCGCCGGCGATGTCGTCCGCATTGCGGTTGCCAGCGACAATGCCGTCGTTGATGCTCTGCATGAGTCCGTTGATCGCCCAAGCAGCAGCGCCGCCCTTTCCGTGGCCGCAGAGCCACTTCTGCGCCATCGCAGGCACTGCACAGCCCTCGGCGCGGCCGAGTTTTCCGAGCATGGTGTGATAGACGTTGGACTCGTTCTTGTCGTTGGCCTTGGTCGAGGTGCCGTGCATCGATATGACACCAACATCGTTGCCATCCAAGCCCCAGCTGGACATGGCGCGCTTTAGAGGCACTGTAGCTGAGAGAACACCTTTGCCGGGCGCTGGGATCGAGCGACCCTGTCGATCCGTCGCGGTCTGAGTGAACGCAACGATACCGTTGATGGGTGCTCCGATCTTGAGAGCGGTAGCAGCGCTCATCACGATCTGCACGCCGCAGCCTTGCGCCTCAACAAAGCCGCTGCGTCCGCTCGTCATTGGCTTGGACAGTTCCTCCGGTGCAAGACCTGCTGCGAAGGCTGCATCCGACGAAGCAGTTGCCTTCATGTTGGCAAACTCGATCATGCTCTCCTCCGAAATGCTCTCGTATCCTCCTGCAATCATGATCCTGGCCTTGCCGCAGCGGATCGTTTCGGCAGCCACATCGAGGGATTGCAGAGCTGTAGCGCAAGCACCGACGGTTGGCTTGATGGGACCGCATGAAGAGAGTAGCAGAAGGTTGGTCCAGCCGGCAACCGTGTTGATGAACGTCTCTTGCAGGATGTCGTTCTGCACCTCGACATCATCTCGTCGATCCTTGAACATCTTGGCGAGCGAGTGTAATCCGCCCATGGCGGAGCCAAGCGAAGTGCCCACTTCGGAGACATGGACGTGCTTGTAGAGCTCGTAGGGGTCGTCAATGCCCGACTGGACCAGCGCCTCGGCGATGCAGACCAGAGCATAGACCGCCGTCTCGTCGGTCTGTGCTACAATGTCGCTCGGGATGCCATATCGAGCCGGATCCCAACCGGTGGGCAGCTGGCCGGCCACATGCCTGTCAAAACGCCTCGCCTTGGGGATAAAGACGTTGGCGCCTTTCTTGAGCTTGAGTTGCCACGAGTCGGTGGCCTTCTCTTGCCAGACGACCGCGTTGTCTCCATGAGCGAGTCGGAAACGCTCGGCCTCTGCGGCCGATACCTCGAGCGGGCCAAGGTCGTGGGTAAGCTCGACTTCTTGCTGCAAAACCTTACGCTCGGGATCGAAGCCGTGCATGAGCTCTGGCTCGACCAGTCGGATTCCTGCGTGCTGCTCTAGCTGTCGTGCATACCGAGAACGCATCTGAGAATCGGCGACAGGCTCGCCAGTCTGGGCGTCGCTCCAGCCGACATAGCTACGCCCGTCCGCCAGTCGACCGTTGAAGTGCTTGATGTGGCCGGTGAGCCATGCCATCTCGACAAGTCCTTCCAAGCTCCATTTGTCGTCCAACTCCCTCTCCCAGCGCGTCCTCGATGAACCCCAAGGACCAACTTCGGCAAACCCAGAGATGACGATGACTTGATCAAGGTCAATCGGACCGCTGCTCTTTGCGATCTGATCGCAGATCTGCTGCGAGTCGAGCTTGGGATAGGCGAAGTGATGCAAGCTTCGAGGCTCGATCTCAGCGCGTCGATAGTAGTCCTCCGCAACGCGGCTAGTCGACATCGCCTTGAAGTCCAGACGTCCTTCCGAAAGGAGCGCTTTCTTGATGTCAGACTTGCGCTGCCAATACTGGTGAGCGTCTCGCATGGCCTTACCGGGCTCGGACATCAAGGAAGCTCGACCAGTCAAGTCGAGGAGGATGGGCTGAGTCTGGTTGATCGAGACAAAACCCGGCTCGACGAGACCCAGCAAGTTGAACGCCATCTCGCCAGTGCTGAAGGTACGGCAGCCCGACTGCGTTTCGAGCGACTCGGCGACAATGTCGGAGGATCCCATCAAATCAGTGCCACGGCACATTCCGATGCGAGCGCCTGCCATACAGAAGAAGCTCGACCAGTCCTCGCTCTCGAATGTGTTGAGCAGCGTCTCGAGACCGATCTTGCTAGGTCCATATAGCCCGTCACCGCCGAGCACACCGTGGTTGAAGGAAAGGGGGAGAAGCACCTGAGTTGGACGATGCACAACCCCTCGCTGATCCTTGGCGTTCTTGACGCAGCCCATGAGACGGATCACGTTGGTGAGCATGATACGGTGAGCGAGCTCGCTCTTGTCGTCGATGCCGTTGATATTGCGGCCATTCTCCGAAATGGCGGCGAATGGCACCAGCACATCGATGTCAATGCCCATGGTACTGTAGACGTGGTCGACCAAGGCTTGGACGTCTTTGAAACTGCCCTGATTGAAAGGCAGCACCGTCAGCTGAGCACCGCGAGCACCATCACGACGGTACGTCTCTTGATATATCTTGATCTTGCCTGGCGAGAAGGTCGAGGTGGTGACGATGACGCGAGCACCACCTTGTAGGAAGCGACGCATCACCTCAAAGGCGATCGAGCCTTGACCAACACCTGTGAGAAGCACATCGAGCCCAGCATAGCTGCTGCCGGTCGTAGCCAGCTTTGCCAAGCCACGGAAGTAGATCTCGGTGAGGTGGTCATCGCTCGACCATGCTCCGTTGACCTTGCTACCTGCCCATAGCGCGGGATGAGAGTCAATTGGGATGTCTTGAACCTGTGCGTCGTCCGGGCGCGAGTCGTTCTGAACCAAACTCTCGAGCTTGTCGATCAAGCTTGTCGAGATGACCTTTTGCGAATGCGCTTGCGACTCTTGGCTGGAAGCCATGCTTATGACGTAGTCGAGGACAGTATCAGCGCCGTCGCGTGGAAGCTGCTCGTAGACGATGTTCCCTCGGTCGTCAAGCCGAGTGTGCGGACGAAGTGGACGAGAAAGATCGACGAAGCGAGGCGCAGCCTTGAGAGCACCGCTCTCAGCGTGGCGAAGCAGCGGCTCGAACAGCGCCGTGACCTTATCGTAGCCAGAAATACCGGATCGCTGTAGCTGGCTGAGCTGTTGCTGCAAGACCTTGACGTCGTCAAGCTGATTCCAGACTCGAAGAGCGCGAGAAAGAAGAGCACGATCGTCGCCAACGCGGTCTTGAAGGATATCAGCGAACAGCTCCTCGAGATTCTGACGCGACCAATTCCAGTAGCTCTTGAACGTTCGCGCTTTAGCGGCGGCAAAGATGCCTTGAACCCCTTTGATGTAAGTGTCGCCGTGCTCAGCAGACACGCTATCGAGAGCGTTGCGCAGCGATGCCACCTCGGATGAGTGTGTGGCCAGCTGAGTGATGCTAGCATCGGCGTCGACGCCAAGATGCTCGGTGAGTACCTGGACCTGCTTCTCGGAGAGCGCCTTCATCTTAGCCTGAAGCGCCACGAGCTCTTTGCTGCTGACCACAGCTGTCGCACCAGAAGCTGCGCCACCTGCATTTGCTCCACCTCCAGCGCCGGGAAGCGTGATCGAGACGTCTTTGGCATAGACTGAAGCGACGGCCTCGATCCAGGCGATAGCCTCTGCGTCTCCGGAAAGACGTTTGGCTGGCTCCTCGGTCATGGTGTACAGCAGGACAGCGTTGGTGCGGCCGCTCTGGAAGCCATACCTGGCGACCAGGTGAGCCTTGAGCGCTGTGAGGCCAAAGCTGCCCGGCAATTTGGAGGCTGCCAGTCGTGCGATAAGGCCGTTGGTGTACTTGCCGAGCTCGCCGCGATAGCCAGGGCGGAGTGCAGCCGCCAACTCCTCCAAAGTGAGCTCCTCGGCGCGCTCGGGCAAGTCGACAAACTCGGCACCCAAATCGCCGATCAGCTCATTCTGTAGCGTCGAACGGCCTCCTGTCAGCTGCTTGATCGACTTAGCTGGCGAGATGTCAGCGATCTTGGCCTTTTGCTTCTGAGCTACGATGGCGCGTACCGTAAGAAGAGCATCGAGTCGTTCATCGTCCAGGGCAGGCGCCGCAACCTGGGGTGCAGCTGCCGGAGCTGCTACCAGAACTGGATCAGCTGCCGGTGCAGCTGCGGCCACGGAAGCGGAATCCTCAGAGCTTGGTGTCTCCTGTCCGCCTTGGTCGGGCTTGGCCTCTTCGACGACGTCGATGTTGTACATGATGTCTGCATCGTTCTTGCCAACACAAAGGAGGCTCCTCTTGAACCCGAGCATACGATCCCTGTCGGCGTAATCGGCGGCCAACGTCTTGCTCGCCATACCAACCAAAGTGGGCGTAGGGCCAAACTCGACGAGACGCTCGAAGCTTGCGTCTTGGAACAGAAGGGTCTGCGTCTCACTCCAGCGAACGGGAGAGGCAAACTGATACGCAAGAAGCTCGATGACAAGTGTCCTCGCGAGACGACGGCGATCCAGACAAGCCTGGTCCCAGCTGTCGAGAATCTGAAGAAGCACTTGGGATTGTGTGACCTCGGCCACGTGCTCGATATAGCCTCGCTCCAGGGTGAAGATCTTGGCAACCAAGTTGGGAATGTAGCGATCAATGAGCGCTTCGGGCTTGACTGTCTCGATGTCAAGTCGGGAATCCAAGAAGCGACGGAAGGGGTCGATGCCGTTGCTGAGGAACTTAGAGTGGAAGGGCACATCGATGCCTGCCAGAGGGATCGTGGCGATACCGCGTTTAAGCTCGATGCCGGACGTCTTGGCCGTGGTCTGAGCCTGTTCGACGGCTGCCTTGACGACAGCATCGACGTCGGCCTTGTTGGTGATTGACAAAGCCTTGCTGCCGCATTTGTCGAGTACGAAAGATAAGGCAGCGAGGGCAATTTCGTGACCGGCTACAACGCTCTGCTGCTTTCGCACATTGTAATTGACAACCTGGAGCAGCAGTCCACTCTGTCGAGAAATGCGGTCGACGACCTGAGACAACGCTGCATCGACGTCGTCGATCTTGGGGAAGGCCTTGATTGGGGCTACGGCGACCATGCCGTAGTCGGAGTGTCCATTGATCCTTGGCACCGCGCTCTGCATGGTCAAGCCACGGTAGAACACGACGTCAACAAGGTCACAAAGTCGCATCATTCCAGCGACCGAAGCCAGCGCGGCATATTCTCCGAGCGAGTGACCAGCAAAAACAGCGTCTTCGACGATGATGCCTTTGTGCTGCAAGTGGCGGAAGTAGGCGAGCTCAAACAGGACCAAAGCAATCTGAGTGAACTGAGTCGCAAAGAGAAGACCCTTGGGCGATTCGAACGTATACGAGCGAGAGTTGGCGTGGATGGATGGGAAGATGGGCACGCAGATCGAGCGACCGTGCTCGTCGACCGTCTCGTGCTGGAGAGACATGTAGTTCTTACGAATCTGCTGGCCTTGAGCGCCGCCAAAGTAGACCGTCTTTGTCTTTGGATTGTCGCGTACGATCTCGAGAATGCTGAGTCCGAGACGCTGAGCGAGGTGCTGCTCTGCCTCATCCCAAATCGCCTTTGCCGTCGCGCTCTGCTGGTACAGCTCCATTCCCATGCCTTTAGACTGGGAACCTTGGCCGGTGAAGACGTAGACGCTGCGAGGCTGTCGGTAGCGCGCAATGCCTTGCAGCACGAGCTCACCTCGTTGGTTGCTTGCGTCGACCTGAACCACCATCTGGCCATCGCTCATGGCTTTGTGACGGAGCTGCATTGAGAGCTGATCGCCCGGAACCACCATCGCGGTAAAGTCGGCCTTGAAAGCAGTGCAGCGAGGCACCGCGACCTTACCGTGTGCTTCCGTTGATCTGAGGGCGCCGTCCATCCACTTCTGGCACTCGGCAAAGGTGGACATGCCGTGGCCGATGGTGGCAGGCAATCCAGCCAGGTCGGCAAAGTAAGGATTGACGTGGATCGGGTTGAAGTCGGCCGAGGCTTGCGAGTACGGCTCGTTGGTCGGAGGAGTGGCAAGAACGCCCTCGCCGAGCTTGTAAGGGTTTGCAACTGGCACCGTCGTGTACTCGTCGGCGTTCTCGAGCCTAGTACCGCTCCTCTCGAGGTAGGCGACGACGGGATCGACTGAGAGCGGCGTATCCGCTTCGTATTCGATGAGCCCAATCTCGACCTCTTCAGCACCGTTGCGAAAGGACACATTGCCGTGTACTTGCAGATCGAGCATCTCACGAGTGTTTCTGTAGCGAGGTACCACCGTCTTGCCCCTGAAAATGAGCGTGGCGCCGACTTCCAGCTCGAGCGAAGGCTGCTTGAGCTCGAGCCACGGTTTTGATTTGGATACTTGGACGGCGGCTTGATCCTGGAGGACGACCGAATAGGCAAAGTCGGTCTCGGAGAAGCAGCGGTGATGATCTGTGTACCTTCCCTTGTAGAAGAAGCGCGAGGTAACAATCGCAACGGGAATCGCCTCAACATCGTCTGCCTCGACGCGAGAGATGGTGGCTTTGACGGTCAAGATCTTGCCTGTCTCGGAGTTGGTGATGGAGGAAGCGCGTGCTGCGACCGAACAGACATCGCCCAATGCGACAGGTCGAGCGTCAGCAAGGGTCTGGAACTCGTGACCAAGGTGCACGAGCGACAAGAGGTCGGCGTCGCAGCTGCTGACCACCGTCTTCATGATCGCTTCCCATCCCGCGGCGATTGTTGTGTCCACTGCGATGGCGCCTCCATCTTGCGGTTGAGCCGAAGAGACTGGACGAGGCTCGGTGACAAAGCTGTGTGCGCCGTCGAGTTCCTTGTCGGCAGGCATATCCTCGTCGAACCACACCTTCCAGTAAAATCGTCGGATGCGGTCGTTGCGACCGTGCTCCACCTCGCGAATCAGGAATTGACTGGTGCCCGGCTTGTATTGGAACTGCAGCATCAGGGGAATGGCATGCCCGCTGCGCTCTTCGTAGATGGAGACATCGATGTCAGCCTGCGATTCATGTTCGAGAACGCTGCGACGGACGATGTCAAGCGCTAGGAACTCGTTCGAAGGCTTGCCGTAGCTGCGCTGGCCACCGTACACCTGGAGGCGCTTGACACTGCGTCCATCTTCGCAGAAGTGCACCTGGAAGAGCTGGCCCTCGCGAGGAGAAAGCAATCGCTGCAAGGGGTTGACGCGAAGCTGCCCGGCCAAGTGGACGCGGGAGCTGCGAACAAGCGCGCGAATCCAGCTTGGCTGCTCACCAACCACTGCGTCCAGGAAGGCGGTCGGATTCTCCACAGAGGCGGAGCTGACGCTGTAAACAGCCACGCTCTCGTCTGATTCGAGTTTGATGGTCGAGGGAACGGCTTGCAATACCGTTCGCATCTCGCCTACAGTGGCGGGGCTGCCACCGACCGTGGTGTCGAGGTACTCGGCAACGGGCACGTTGTTGGTATCGCCGCCGTAGAAGCGTTTCAGAACGTGCTCGATGAGACCCTGCTCGACGCCTCCCAGCATCTCGGCGATGGGCTGGTCAACCGGAGCCGAGTTGGATGCTGCGACTGGACCATGCAGAATGCAAACGCGCTGAGGATCGGCATCTACGACGGCGTCGAGGTCCTCGGATTGCCAGAGCGAGTCCTTCTTGAATTGGTGGGCAAAGTCGTCGCCGAGCCGCGTGATGAATGGCGGCGGCTTCTGACCTCGTCGCCAGCAGATGGAGTGGAAGTACTCGACGTCCTCGCTGGTGAGCAAGGTGTCCTTGCAGCCAGCGTAGCGGTCGGTGAGAGCTTGCAGCTCGACTTGCGGCGAACGATCCAGCTGAGCGTACGACTGCAGATGATACGTCTTGCCGGACCCCGAGAAGCGCTCTTCGATGCGACGGCACCAGTCGCCCAACAGGTTGCGGTAAGAGACGTCGATCCACCGAGACTGTGAGGTGACGTACATGAGAGAAAGCATCCGGCTAGCGACCTGAGCGTACGTCATGTGCTGGACGTCATAGAGCACCTGACCATTCCCACCGCGTGCGAACCAAACGCGTTGGAAGTCGTCGTTGAGACGCTGCACCAGTCGCTCCTTGTTCGTGGCCAGATACGCAAGCTGCTTTTCTTTGGAAAGCTTGAAACAGTCGCGATCGAGCTCCGACCACAAGAGGGTAGCTCGATTTGCGACCTGGTGGACCAGCTCGCCCATCTCGCTAAGGACGGTGGTGATGCCACCGATGGGTGCATCGTACGTCTTCTGCCAGTCCTTGTCGCTGCAGCCTTGCGTCGAGGCGATGAGCTGCTTGACAGGCAGCGACGTGGATGCCTCTTTTGCGGTCATGGCCCAGCTGCCGAACAGTACACCATCGAAGGGCATCGGAGGCAAGCCGCGCTCGACCGACCACTGACCAGAGAGGTAGGGCCAGAACGACTCGGCAGAGGTGAAGCCGGAGCCAGCGACGAGAACGAGGTTGGGGCATGCACGAATGAGGTCGTACGATTGGACGATCGGATCGTGAAAGTCCTCGGCGCTGTGGTGCCCTCCCGCACGGCCACCGGTCCACTGGAGCAGGATTGGGAAGTTGGGGTTCTGCTGGGCGATCTTGCAGACCTGCTTGATCGCGTCGAGGCTACCGGGTTTGAACGAGACGTGGCGAAGACCCGCTTGCTTGAGCGAAGTCAGCAGCTCTTGGGCCTTGTCCGGCGACGGGATACCGGCAGCCACGCAAAGACCGTCGACAGGAGCGCCTTCGCGACTAAGCTGTAGCCATGCGGGGAGCTGGAAGCCCCATTGGCGCGGGTTGATGTAGAGCGAGTTGAGAGTGAACCCAGAGGCTGCGGGAGCCTGAGACAGAATCTCTTGAACCCGAGCTCGCAGCTTGGCTTCGTCGTGCAAGCCTCCGCCAGCGAGCTCTATGTGGTAGCCGGCTTGCATGGTAGCAGAGTTAAGCGAAGCCTGAACGGTGGTTGGCGTCATACCAGCTACCATGATAGGAGGCTTGCCGAGCAGCCTTGACATGGGCGTATCGAGCATGAGTCTACCCTGAGGGGTGCGTACCAGACGTGGCTGATACGTGCACTCCCAATCTTGGGCGCGAGCGGGAGGATCGAGGCGATAGAAGTCTGCGCTCTGCTTGTGGGTGCCGGAAGTGGTGAGCACGCTGAGACCTCGCCCACGAAGGTTGCGGGCAGTGATGTTGCCGATGCCGAAAGCGCCTCCAGTACCAAAGTCGATCAGATGGGTGGTCGTGGACAGCGGTCGAACCGACTGGATCCAATCGACGGGTGCGGTGCACATCTGCACGAGAAGACTCTCGAGGATCGACGACGAGGAGAGCTGCTGCATGTTGGCGCCGTCGGTGGTGCTGTGAACAGGGATGGCCAGCGGATGTGCCTGCCACTTGCGCATATCGATGGGGGCGGCCACTTGGGTAAACTCGACGCCGGCGAGAAGGGGCGAGTGGTAGGGCAAGTTGATGGGCAGGAATTTGAGACGAATGCTTGGCTTGCGCTTGGAGAAGGGAACACGTGCTTGATCGAGCTTGGCGGGTGCCGCCATTGCAGAGGTGCTGCGAGCGAAGCTGACGAGGTCGGATGCATGGCCTGCGAGCACGGCGGTGGTGGGCGCATTGACAAGGGCGATGTATATGCGGCGATGGTCAGGTACGACACTGTTGAATTTCGACACCGTCTGTTCGATGAAAGCTCGGTCAGGCGCACTGATGACAAGCATGGGCGATGGCGGGCCGAAGCCAGCCTGGATGGACTCGTGCGCTGTCTCATCGTCAACAATCTTGTCGCCGTAGCAAAGCTGGCTGGTGATGCCGATTTGGAAGAGGAACTCGGAAGCCAAGACTGTGCACTCGATGTAGTGCTCGTCGTCGACGGCCATGGCCATGGCTGTTGCCGAGACGATACCTTGACTGTGGCCGCTGACGGCTTGAAAGTGAGAGCGGAATTGGGGCACGTTCATTCCGCTGCACTTTGCAGTGACGTAGAACTGGATCATCTGTGTGAGGCTGAGGAGTGGAGCGCTGATGGGCACGCTAGCGAGGTACGCCTCGGTAGGACGCTCGGTGCGATGCTGGAGCCACGAGAGGAGGTCGAGGCCTTGACTGTGAGCGGCGTAGGGACCGGTGCGAGCGGCTTGAATGCGAGAAAGAAGTTGACTGAAGCGAGCTGTCACGGCAGCTACGATGGGCTCGACGAAGGGACGGTAGGTATCGAAAAGAGCCTGAAGCTCTGAAAAGTAACCGTGGTTGTTGCCCTGACCGCCAAAGAGCGCATAAAGGCCAGCTTGTTGTGATTGTGCGCTTTCGAGCAGCGAGGGTGTGCGGAGGGCAATCGGTATGCCGGAAGTGTGCAGAGCCGCGTAGGCCTCAAAATAAGCTCGAAGGATGAGCGAAGCCGTCTCTGCAGAGAGGGATCGAGCGTAGCTGTGGACGTCGATGGAGCCGAGGGTGTCGGAGTTGAGTTTGGACCATGCTGCCTCAAGGAAGCAGAGGCGTGCGTGTCGCTCGAGGTGGTCGGATGACGAGAGATTCTGTGTCAGATAGAGCATAAGCTGCGCAAGCAGCACAGCGACATCGTTGGCGGACTCGTTTGACGAGGATGACTGGTCGAGAGTGGCAAGGTGTTGGACGAATGCATCGCGGACCTGAACGATGTAGTGTCGCTCGAGGAAGTCACGAAAGGGAAGGTGCAGCCGGATAGAGATTGCTGGGTGGATCGGCGAGGTGACGGTGAGCTCGCCGCTCTGTTGAGGCTGCGAAACGGTCGCACCGAGGTCGAAAGGCTTGTCGATCAACCCGGGAGAAGCGCTTGAGGGAGGCGAGCCGTTGGATGAGGCAGCGGCCGAAGCTGGCTCAAAGGGCGAGCACAGTGCAGTGGACGAGATGCTGCTGCTTCGAGAGAATAGATCGCTGTCCATTTTGATTACGGATCAGAGAGCGGCGTGGTGTGGAATGCAAGTTGATACAATTGAGGCTTTGCAGACCAGGCAATGTACTGCGACGAGGAAATGGGGGGCAGCGTCGTACTGTTGAAAGGCAACGCTACTTATCAGCCATGCGTGGGGGAAGCGACGAGGAATCGCGTAGAGTCCAAGACATGAGGGCCTGGTCTGCATTAGTCTCGTGTGCCTGGCAAGTGTTGACCGCAGCGCCCAAGTCGTGGTCGGGGGTCAGCACGTGGAATCGGCATAGAGGCGACCATTGCGGGCCAGCGTCCGGTTGGATCGAGCTATGGTATGCGAAAGGGTCATTGCGGAACAATCGTCTGTGAGAAGACGGTGTATAACGGCATGCGAAGGTCGCGGTCACCGGAGCCTGACTTGATGGGAACGAGCAGGTCCTGTGGCCAACCTGATCCGAATGTCGAACCGACAGTACGGTGTTGATCTCGCAGACAGCCGCATCATGGGCCCCGCCGCTGCATTACAGCTTCCAAGTGCCGCAGTTGGTCTTGTTGGCGGCGACGAAGATGAAAGTGTCCGTCGCAATGTGCCATCGACTCAGCCAGATGTGACAGTAGAAAGGCGAACCATGAAAGATGCTATGCGCATTCCTCTCCGACACTCACAAACTGCCCGCGTCACCGTGACTGCACGAAATTTGAATGTGACGTGCGAGTTTGTATTGCCAACATGCGCATTCTGCATAGGAAACGAATACAAATCAAGCGTTTGTAATTGAAGTTGCGTCGAAATTGTATTCGGTGGTTCAGCTGTCCAATACGGCAAACCAAGCTCAGCCAAATCAGCGCAGTCTCGCTCTCTCCTCCTCCGTCCTCCCCTTCCCTTTCTCATCGTCCGCATCCCCAATCCCCATCCTCAGCTAAGCTCCATCATGCTCTAGTGCATAGCGTCGTCCTCATGCGACCTTCTATCGGCAATTTCATTTCCGGAAGTCCGTCGTGGTCGACTAGCGGCTGTGCCTTGCCGGTCACTCTCGAGATGCACATGCTCCACGTGGACAGCACGGTAGAGCCCGCGGCACTTGGCATTTCTCTTTTAAACTCGACGTTCAGCCGGTGGCTTGCGCTCGGTACTTGTCTCCCAGTCACTAGCCCAATAGCGCTAGTTTCGTCGCTTCAGCAAGATGCGCTTCCGTTCAGATCGCCGAGATCCTCTTCAGCGCCCCAGCAAGCAAGCTTCGACAGATCCTGATGCCATTCAAGCACTCAAGTATCAGGATCGAGCCAGCATCACCAGCAATGATCACGAAAAAACCAAGGACGACTCTGGTACCACTAGCGCGTCCGTATCGTCAACGCCACCCGATTCTCTCAACAGCGTCAAGATCCAAGTTGGTTCACACTCTTCAAACAGCAAGCAAACTGTTCCCAAGATCTCATTCTTTGATATCTTCCGCTATGCGTCTCGTAGACAGCTTCTTCTCAACATCTTTGGAGCATCCATGGCGATAGCAGCCGGTGCATCACAGCCTCTGATGAACATCTTCATCGGAAAGATTGCCACCGTCTTCCTCCATTTCACCGCCGCCATTCAGTCAGGCGATGTGGACGCCATTCTACGCGCCCAGGCAGATGTATATCGAACCATCAACTCGGATGCGCTCATCCTCCTCTACCTCGGCATCGGTATGTTCTTCGCCAGCATGCTCTACATGGCTGTCTTTTCCTACACCAGCGAACGCATCGCCTCCAACATCAAGTACGCCTACCTCTCCGCCCTCTTCAACAAGTCCATCCACTTTTTCGAACAGTACGGTCAAGGCACCGTCGCCGCAAAGATCGGCTCCGACGTTCACCTCATCCAGATCGGCATCGGCGAGAAGCTACCTATGGCCATCATGTACTTTTCCACCTTTCTCTCGGCTGGTGCCGTCGCCTTTTCCTTTTCCTGGAAGCTTACGCTTGTCCTTTTCCCCATCGCTCCCATGATTTTACTCGTCGGCGGCGTCATGGGTGCACTCACCAAGAAGTGCAAGATCGTCGAGCTCGATTGCATCGCAAGGGCTGCTTCCCGCGCAGAGGAGGCTTTCAACGCCATCAAGATCCTCAAGGCCTTTTCCAAAGAAAGAGCGATCGGCCAAGAGTACGATACGCTCACCGTCGACACCACCGCAGCAGGCGCCAAAGCCGGTCGCGTGCAGGGTCTCGGCGTCGGTGCGCTTCTGTTCATCATCTACTCTGGCTATGCGCTCGCCTTCTTCTACGGCGCTCAGCTCATTGCGCGCGGCGAGCTACTGCCCGGTCGCATCGTGAGTGTAGTCTTTGCCGTCTTCGCTGGCGCCTTTGCCATCGCCAACCTCTTTTCCATGATCGAGAACTTCACCATGGCCACTGCCGCCGCCTCGTCGGTGCTCGGCACCATCAAACAAGATTCGCTCGCACCTCAGCCTGCCACCATCACCTCTCCTGACGGCGACGAAAAGTCACAGTCGCCATCGCAGCTCAGGACCGGATATCATGCTGAACTCAGACTCGACAATCTCAGCTTTTCATACCCTTCCAAAGCCGACAGGATCGTGCTCAACAATTTGTCCCTCACCTTCCGTAGTGGTGTCGCGACAGCCATTGTTGGTCTCTCTGGCTCCGGAAAAAGCACCATCTTTGCTCTGCTGCAACGGTTCTACGAGCCCACCGCAGGAGCCATACGTATCGATGGTGTCGACGTCTCCAAGCTGGACGTCGACTGGCTGCGCGGTCAGATCGGCGTTGTGGAGCAACAGCCTACGCTCTTTGCCATGTCGATTCACGACAACATCGAGCTCGGCCTTCCCGATCGACACAGTCGCTCCGCCGACGAGCTGCAATTGCTGGTGGTGCAAGCAGCCAAAAAGGCAAACGCGCACGACTTTATCACGGCTCTCACGCACGGCTACCAGACCCAAGTCGGTTCTCAGGGCTTCCTCCTCTCTGGCGGTCAAAAGCAGAGAATCGCCATTGCACGTGCTCTCATTCGCGATCCAAAGATCCTCTTGCTCGACGAAGCAACCAGTGCCCTCGACTCTAACAGCGAGGCGGTTGTGCAAGCTGCACTTGAGGAAGCTGCCAAGGACCGCACAACCATCATCATCTCTCATCGACTCAGCACCGTCCGCAACGCAGAGCACATTATCGTCCTTGGTCAAGACGGCGTTATCGAGCAAGGCAGTCACAATGACCTCAGCCAACGACCTCACGGCGCTTTTGCCTCCATGCTGCGTCACCAAGATGTCGACAAGAGCTCCGAGGTGACGGCTTCAGGGCATGCTAACCTAGGCTCAAGTGCCTTCCTCCGCCCTCCTGAGGCACAAGCGAGCGACATTTCTCACTCTCTCGAGCTGGCTCGAAGTATCTCTACCCGCGCTGGTAGCATGATTCGAGGAGCGTCGCCCCCAACTCCATCGGAAGATGCGAAAGCGAAGGCCACCGACCAGTCGAACGCGGGAGGGCTCAGAGCACTGTTGCATCTTCTCGTCAAAGACGCAGAGACCGGCAGACTCGCCGCCATTTACGTCGTCGGCTCCATATGTGCAGCCGTCATTGGAGCGGTTTATCCAATCTACGCCATTCTCTTCGGCACTGCGATTCAAGACTACGCGCCGTGCAACGATACCGATGGAGGCCAGTGTCCTGAACCAGCGCGCGGAGTCATGCTGCACAACAACCGGATCAGCTCTGGCTCCTTCTTTATCGTCGCTGTAGGCTGTGCGGTCGTGAGCTTCTACCACGTACGCTCGCTCTATATTGCTGGATCGCGCGTGACGCATCGACTGCGCGTCTTGGTATTCCAGAGTCTTCTGTGCCTCGATGCCAGCTTCTTCGACGACCCGACCAACACGAGCAATGACCTGGCAAGCAGCCTCAGTGTCCTTTCGCAAGGCATCTACGGCGGTGTCGGTCCTACGTTGGGCTCTATTATTCAAAGCCTCGCCACCGTCGTTGTGGGTTACTCTGTGGCCATCGGCTACGGCTGGCGTCTGGCTTTGGTCGTGATCGCGTCTACGCCTCTGACCATCACTGCCGGTCTGCTGCGACTACGCGTGCTCGCACTCAAAGAACGCAAGACGAAGCAGGCGCACAACTACACGACACAGCAGGCCTGCGAATCGATCGGGGCCATCCGTACCGTCTCTGCGTTCAACCTCCAGCCTCAGACGCTCGATACGTATCAGACGAATCTGGCGTATGCCTCGCGATCTCTGCTTCCTACCATGTGCTACAGCAGCGTCCTCTTCGGCTTCTCGCAATGCGTTCAGCTGCTCGTCACTGCGCTCGCATTCTGGTACGGCGGTCGTGAGCTCGCTGAGGGCCGCACCACTTCCAAGGGCTTCTTCACCATCCTCATCTCGGTCGTATATGGCAGTATTCAGGCCGGGAACATTTTCAACTACAGCGCCGACTTTTCCAGCGCACACTCTGCCGCTTGCAAGTCGTTGTCAATCATCAGACAGGCGCAGGCGGTGACAGCTCAGGAGCTCAAGTACAGCCACGCAGCTGCATTCAGCAACGATGTACCATCCGGGCGGGTGGCTCTGGACAAGGTCACCTTCCGCTATCCGCAGCGTCCGGATTGCACCGTCCTTGATGGACTTTCACTGACCATCGAGGCGGGCACCTTCTGCGCCATTGTGGGGAGCAGTGGATCAGGCAAGTCGACAGTATTGCAGCTCATCGAACGGTTCTACGAGGCTGAGAAAGGACGTGTGCTTCTAGACGGTCGCTCGATCGCAGAAGGTGACTCTAGCAGGCATCGCAAACACATGTCGTATGTACCGCAGGAGCCGACCCTCTTCCAAGGTACGATCGGCTGGAACATCGCTCTAGGTGCGACGGACACAGATCCCAAGGACGTGCCTCTCGCCAAGATTCAACAGGCAGCTGAGCTTGCGCAGCTCGGCGATCTTCTGGCGAGTCTGCCCGAGGGACTCGACACGCAGCTCAGTGCTCGAGGTGTACAAATGTCGGGAGGTCAAAAGCAAAGAATCGCCATCGCTCGGGCCATCATCCGGGATCCAAAGGTGTTGTTGCTGGACGAGGCTACCTCGGCGCTCGACCCTGCTAGCGAGAGGGCGGTGCAGAGCGCACTCGACAGTGTCAGTCAAGGTCGCACTACCATCGCTGTGGCGCACAGACTGTCGACGATCGCCAAGGCGGACAAGGTGATTGTGATGCAGGCAGGAAAGGTGGTGGAACAAGGATCGCCGAGGGAGCTGTTCGAGAGGGATGGCCATTTTGCGCACATGTCGAGGTTGCAAGGTGTTTCGTTTTGATGATTTGCTATTGCACAGTATGAATTCATTGGTTCGGCAGACAGTAGAGTGAAATCAGCTCGTGGGGTACGCTGAAAGGATCTCAAAGGCTTAAGTTTCGACTGTGATCACGATCCGATCGAAGCTGATCAAGCGTCTAGGCTCCGTCTTGATATTGACTTGGTCAGACTCGAAGTTTGTCGACGCAGACCAGAAGTAAGCACCGGGAATGTGAGAATCTTCATTACGAGCAACTTCGATTGAGAGTGGATTCTACAGGACGATGGCGAACTCTCGCAGCAGCTCATTCTGGAGGAGCTTTTGCATCTCCTGGCAACGCATTCCAACGAAAGCCAGCATTCCACTGGATCCCTCCTCCTCCTCACCTTCTTTCGGCTGGTAGTGCAACACTTCTTCCTTCGAAGTCCATGCAGCAGGAGCCTTGACGATGAAGCACGTTCCATCAGCCGAGTCCAACGTCAAACCATTCAACGTCACAGGAACCATTCCGATCACAGTCTGCATGTACGGTCTACCGAGCTTTGAGCCGAAATCGAGTCGTTCAACGGTCGGGAGTCGAGCAATGTTGCTGATGGTGACGTCGTTGCCGAACATGCTGGTGCATTTGGGCAGGAGACCCGGGCCGAATTGCGGGGAGGTGGTGTAGTTGTGGTGGCGGATGACGGAGGACATTTGACCAGGGGTGATGGAGAGGTAGCGCGTGCGGATGAGGTAGGCGAGGTGGAAGAGGGAAGAACGAGGACTTGTGGTTACGAGGTCGGTGCTGAGCGGAAAGACATGAGCGGGGTGGACGTTGCCGATGTATTTGCCACGGGTAGAGGTGGTGGGGAGAAGTCGTCGACCGTCGAGAGGGGTGTGGAGTGAAGTGGTCGCGAGAGGGTCGAGGCTGCGGGCGTCGGTGATGGCTGACCAGAGTAGTGCGTGGAGCGCGTCGTTGGTGCCAATCCAGGTTTCTTTGGAGGGAAGAATGCGATCGGTGGAAGCGTCCGAGGTGCTTTCCAGGGCCCATTCTGCACAAGAGCGCTTGAGTCTATCGAGCGAAGAGGGGGTGAAGAGCAGAGAAGCGTACTGACAGCTCGACGGCGTTCGTGTCATCTGAGGAGGAGTGCCACGCTCAGCAAACCAAGTCTCGCTGGGAATAGGCTCGGGCTCGACCTGATTGGCGTACGACAGCAGATCTCTGGACCAATCGAACGAGGTCGCGCCTGCTCCAATGTCAACTCGAGCATTCGGATCTTGAATAAAGACCGCTACACAGCTCGAAAGCTGCTCCATCAGATCGATGTATCCGACAAAGTCGACCAGCCAATGATGCGTGCTCGTGCTCAGCGCGAGGGAGCCGCAGGAGAAGCGTGTCACCTTGACCGAAAAGACGGTGGCGTCGTCGTCGACGATCATGACAGGCCGAGGTGCAAACGCTGGGTCGTACTTGCCATCGAGACCCTTCCAATCGTTTCCGAGCGGTCTTTCGAGCTGGACCACCTCGAGATCCGCGCCTTGATCGTTGTATTCCAAGCACCATCTTGTGGTCTCTTTGTCGTGGCGTGTTCTCGCTGCGGCAGCTGGAAACCGTGCGAGGAATAGCTGCATGCCAGAGGTGAAAGCTGCATCGAGCTCTTGCAGCGTCACTTGCTTCAGAGACTGCTGCAGAGACGACAAGAAGAACCATGTGCAGTGCATTGCCATTCTTGGCATGGCGAGATCTTGTCCATCGAATGGTACCTCCTTGGGCACCACCATCCCAGAGGGACGCGGCAGAGGCAGAACTCGCTTGACAGTCATACTTTTCGACGAATGTGAAGATGGGTCCGGAGGTGAGTCAGAGAAGAAGCCCGAACGTTGATGAAGACGAAATGTCTTATAGATTGTAAGGAAACAATCCGACTCTCAAGAATCTTCCTAGAAGGCACGTATGAGGCCGCACAGACCCGCTGTTCGCCCTTCGCAACCGGATGAGACGCTGCACGGTGTCCGGCAAAGAGTACATCCGATCTCTATGTGCATTCTCAGGGGCACTTCAATGCACTATGTGGCAGTCGCCGTTTCGAGGCGAGCCACACCATGCGCCTACTTTGACATGCGCATGTGCAGCTCCGACCAGATCTAACACGTTGAAGATTTAAGTTCGAGTTCAGCGACATCAGAACGTTTGCTTTCCTGCAAGCTCTGACCATTCGCTGTCAGTCGAGCTCGCCATTCAATACGGTGATGCAGACATTTGAGACTTGTCATCGCTTTCTTAGGTGGATCCGCGGAAGATGACACCTTCGCACAAGAGCGACAGCCTGTAAATTGATTATTGAATTCACTAGAAAAAGCAAGCACGAAATGCAACAAGAAATTGTGGACAAAAAAACTGCATTGAAAGGGCAACAACATCTAGACGGTCCATCCTCGCAACTCTAGTTTGAGCCAGCCTTGCGATCACGAAGGGTGGCCTTGACCATCAAAGGCCGCTTCATGGGATGAGTCAAAGAGTTTAGGTAGTCGGGAACCTTGTCGAAACCGGCCGACTTCTTGGGTCCAAGATCGACTAGCTCCAAATCGAATTTGGCGAAAATGTGATGGATGAGTTGCACCACCTCGTAGCTCGCCAATTTCTGTCCAAGACACAGTCTCGGACCGCCGTTGAAGAAGTGTGCCTGGAACTGAGAGTATTTGACGGTGGATCCAGTCTCTTCATCGATCCAGCGACTCGGTTTGAACTCGCATGCGTCTGGACCCCAAATGTCAGGGTTGCGGGCCATGGCCCAGTCAGAGTAGAGCATCAGGTCGCCCTTTCGTACTCGAGGTCCACCGTTGGGCAACACGTCATCTTTCAGAGCTCGACGGATGTTTTTCGGAATGGATGGGTGTAGTCGGAGCGTCTCTTGGAAAGTGGTCAGCTTGGCCGTGTGTTGCTCGAAAACGTCGTAGTCGATTTCCAGGCCAGCTTGCTCTCCATCCTCATCGAGCGAACTATCGATCTCGCGGCGGATGCGAGAGTAGACTTCGGGCTTGGTGAGAATATGCCAGGACATCCAGGAAAGTGCCTCTGCGGTGGTATCGCGTCCAGCAATCATGAGGTTCAAGATGGTATCCTTGAGCTGCTGATTGCTCAACCTCTGACCGTCAGACGAGCGATAGCCCATGAAAAGATCCAGCAGATCCTTGCGTCCACTTTCCGGTTTCGCCTTTTCTCCCATCGCGTCGCTCTCCTTTCGTCTTGCCTCAACGATGTTGTTGGTGAATTCTTCCACGATCTTTCTCGCTGCTCGCATCTTTCTACCCGTCTCGTTGAATCGTTCGGCGATCTTCCACCAAGGCTGCACAAATCGCATGTCGAGGACCTTCTGAGCGTAGTTGAACGCATCGCCGAATGTGTCTGGGCGATCAGGCTCGGAGAGCGACATGATGTCTTGACTGAAGGCGATCTTGACAAACGAGCTCAGCGTGAACTTGAAGTAAAGCTCTTGCAGGTTGAAGACGGTGCCCTCTTTGGCGTACGTCTCGATCAGCTTCTCGACCAGAGCGCAATCTTCTCGAATCGTCTGAGTGATGATCGCCTTGAAAGAGCTGACGGTGAAGATGCGCGAAGCCACCTTGCGCTGCATCTTCCATCGTTCGCCGTCAGAAGTGAAGATTCCATCGCCAAGAACGTCGCGCATCTGATCGTGGAACTGTTCGCCCTTGACGTAGTTGCTGAAGTTGGTTTTTTGCACGTGTTCGATCCAGTCTGGTCTGGAGATGTCAATCAGACGACCTAGACCGGGTAGTGTATGCGTGTTTCCGTATCCATACTTTTGCTGCGCGTAGACCTGGTAGCTTAGCGGATCGCGGTTCTTGAGCGCCCACATGAGATTTCCGATGAGAGGAAGACCCTTGGGCCCTTTGAGATCCGATCGCCTCTCACAGCCAATGGCACAATCCCAATATCGGTGAAGCAGGAGGATGGCGCCCAGCGTGACCAGACAGAGGCACAGAAGGATCGGATGATGACGAGCTCGTGACGCGAGACTTAGAAGAGGCTGGGTCTGTTTGACGGACTCGCTTGCTGCATCGAAAACTTGACCTGCATCAACTCTGTTGATCGAGCCGCTTTTATTGAAGACTGAAGGTACGGCCTGCCAGCTCTTATTCAATGGAGCCATCAAGTCGAATGCATCTCCTGAGTAGCCTTGGGGCCGCAGGTGTTGCAAAGTGTGGAAAGGCTTGACGTTCATGTTGCTAGGGGCAAATGGTGACTGAGGGGGGAAGAAGAGATACTGACAACTAATCGCCTTTCTCCTCGTCGGACAGAAGGATACTTTTAAGCATCTACGGCCATAGCCTTCTCCTCAACTTGACAAGGCCAAGGCGAACACCGTGGAAGCCACGCCAGGGCCGTACCTCGCCAATGCAGCGCTTGGAAACGTGGCACTCAACTCTTCGATCAGTTTACAGCCTTTGACAGATGCTAAGTTGCACTGCGCATACGGTCCTTGTTTCTCTATCGATACTGCAGTCCGAGCGGTTCCGCGCCAGGTACCTGCGACTTGGCTCAGAGCCTGCAGCTGCGCATAATGTATAGTCCCACCTCGAACAGCGCACCACGAGAGGTGGGCCTGCACGGAGCCGACGGCGAGACTCGCCCCATTCAACCATACGGAGGCACAAAAGACACTGGACAAAAGCGACCTTCGACACAAAGTCCGTTGCATGGCAAGCGATATGCGTTTGGTGTGGCAGGCACATGCTGCATCGACTCACTCTGCGATTGGCCAACCCCCTCTTGTCTCCTTTTTGAGGGTCATAGTACCTTTGGAGCTTAGCCACAGTGCCACTGTCCGGCAACAGTCTCTCTCACGATCAGTCTCCATCTGCTTGTGGCACAGAGTGTAACATCTGTTTGTATTTGCAGGGAAGAGATGCGATCTCTGAAAGGCGGAGCTTTCGCGGAGACCAGGAAGCGATTGCGGTATGCTCATACAGACGTTCGCGCCGGAAAATTGTCATGCGGTCGGGTCTCTGCGGTCCGTTCAGCTGCGTTATGAAATCTATTGCTCATTGTGTGCTTGCCGCATACCGTTTCGAAGCTTTGAAACTCAGAGACCACTCAGGCGGAGACTTTTGATATTGCAGCGGAACTAGGTCGTCGAACAAGCAGCAGGTGAGGACTGAATCAACTAACAGTGTCAATTATCGCGCCGATCCATGTCGACCAGAATTCTTCAATGTCAGTGCTGCTGAATCTTGTAGGCGCCCATGAGAGTGTCACTGTGAGTTGGCCGTTGAGTGTCCAAGCATGGATTCCCGTGGAGGGAAGATTGTTCCTCGCTGCTACTTGGTACCTTTGCAAGCCATTGACCGTATCTAGACGGCCGAGACTGGAGAATGTCGGAACGCTCGACTCAGATCTGTGACCGCACGCACCAGAGAGCGATAGAAAGGCAAATCAGTACAGAGAAAATTTCTCGAGATTCGTCAAACGTCGGAAAGCAGGGCTTCTACTGACCTGATCGAAGTAAACAGTTTGAGAAGAATCTTGTTGTATTCGTCCTGCACATCCATGTTGAATCTGCGTGCAAAGGCGAAGGATTCTGTGACGGCGAGAGCGGTCTGCGCCCGGGTTGCACCTGGTTGAATCTGGATCGAGATGGGAGCAAAGATAGTGCTAGTCGCCCCGGATACCGGGATAGGTTGATTAAAAGGCATAGCAGCTACCGTGAACGTCTGTGCCTTCTCGCCGCGAGTCGGGTCATCCACAAGTACGCTGACCATCGCGTGAAGTATAGTCGCCTGCAGCCAAGCCGACACCGTTACCGACTTGGATTTGCAGGCCTGAACCAGGGCATCGGTCTGGATTGGAGTGAAAGTGTGAATCTTGCGCCACTCTTGCGGCTCACAGCTCATTGAACGAAGCGAGTCTTGGAGGAGGATGGGAAAACCGATCGTAGACTGCAGTGGTGCAAGTCGCCTGGTCAGTGGGAGTTACACTTCATACAGGCAGCACTGAGCCTTACTCACCCCTTTCTTTGCTACCTCGAACATATCTTTGAGACCGAGGTCTTGATATTGCTCCTGTGAGCTTGCTGAAGCGCTCGTCTTTTGTGGCGCTCCGATCGATTTCTGCACTAGCGTCTCCCGCGACATGATGCTCTCGATCAATGCCTTGCCGATTGCGAAGATACCCTTGGCGTCGCCGAGTGCGTGAGGATTTGTCAACGCCAGACACGTCACCTTTTGTGCTGTTGCTCGACCCATGTCAAAGACGGTCAGTGACAGGCTTTCGAACTGGCGATGGTGCAGACAGTAATCGATGATGGCTTGGTCGTCCTCCAAGCTTGGTCCCATGAAGACGTTCTCTTCCGCTTGCGCGACTTCCTCCTCGATCCTGATCCCAGCATCGTCATCACGCACGCGTTGAGAAAGCGTGGGAAACGCTCTCGACAAGCTCGACCAAGCTTTCAGCCAATCAGTCAGATCGAGCGTTCGATGTCCAGTATCTACGATGAAAAGCGAGACCATATCGAAGGCGCCTTGATGGTCTTGATGGCAAAAATGCCAGAGTCTTTCGGTTCCCCACAGCTCTCGATGCTTAGCGTTGCTAGCTTGTGATGAGAGGGTACGCGTCGGCATTTTGCTTGTATTTCGCAAAGGAAGAAGAGTGGAGAGGTGGGAAAGAGAGAAGAGCCGCAAGTGAATGAGTGTCGAGTTATGATAGTGGGCTTTTCTACATCAGGATAGCAACGAGAGTGTGGATAAAAGAGGCAAAGAGAAAGGTCGAGTGTATCGCAGACACTGCAGTTACAGCACTTCGCAGTCTCCAGACGTCGAGAAGGCATGTGCAGCGATTCTCGACCTCGGGACTTTGATGAGATGAAGGACTCCCACACTGTATACAAGCCCGAAGTGGATCGCTCGGCATGCGCATATTCTGTTCTGTGCACCGCGTAAAATAAATTTGACTGCGTCTGCTTGCTCAATAATTTGGAGTTAAAAAAATTTCTTCAACCCACCAAGGACCGAGTTTTCGAAAGAGAGACGATCTCAGAAGGGAATGTCTTCGCTGCCGGTATGCATTACGTACACACAAGTACATGTGGAAGGCTCTTCTGTGACGCAGAGCGCGCTGTTCCGTGGCGAAGGTGGGAGCTTCTCACGAGACCGGTACCAGTCCCGACAAAGCACATCATATATAGGCGGTCCGAAGCTCTGACTCGTTGACCGACTGCAACACATTCCCATAAACACCAAACACAAGATGCTGCAAGAGAAGACATCTAACGTCGACACCAAGAGTCCTCCTCAGTTTGAAGCTCAGCAAGAGACGCTGAGCTTCGACGAGGCAACTCGTGTCGAGCGCTTGCAAGCAGCACCCGACTCGCTTGCCGCAGTGGCTGCCACCAAGACCAAAGATACCACAGTGTGGTATCGAGCCGCGATTCGCTCCGAATGGTGCTCAACTCCACAGGTTCCCCATGGCGGATTCTTGGCTTCGCTTCTCCTTTCAGCTCTCCTCGAACGCCAATCATCGCAGCAGCATCCGGACCCTTACACCCTCACCTACGACTTTCTCAAAGTGCTATCGCCCGGTGAAGCCTTCGTCTCTGTCACAGCTCTTGGCAAGGTTTCGGGCAGCTTTACTTCGATTGTCGCGGAGCTCTACCAAGTCCGTAAGGATAAGGTGCTGCTTGGTGTCAATGTGCGCGGAAACTTCGCCGATCTGTCCAAGCAGCAAGGGAAGTCGACTCTGCCTTTGCACTATGGTGCCATTTCGAAGCTCGAGGATGTACCAGTTCCTCACCCTCGCTCGTGGTACCTTCCACCTTCTCAAGCCATGATCTCTCGTCAACTTGACCTCCTGGTCAAACTCGAGACACAACGCCGCCCTTTCGCCGACTATTTTGTGCGATTTCATCCCGATGATGTTGATACCCCGCAGCAGGAGGACTTTTCGGAGGAGCACGCTTCTGCCGACGAGCCTTCGAACCACCACTACTGCAAAGGAAGCAAGATTCTTCCTCTTCGATCACCTCATTCCAGGCGGATTGATGTCAAAAGTCTCCCGATGTTCGGAGATTTCCGCCGACCCGCCTACGAGAATGTGATCAAGAAAGATCCTGTGCACGCACACGACGTGCCCACGCGCAAGTACGCCTTTCCGACGCTGCAGTACACGATTCGCTTCTTGGGCAAGATTCCTGAGGAGACCGAGTGGCTGCATACCCAGTGGAGAGAGACTGTTGTGGATGGCCGCATCATCTCGGACGTTTACATCACTACCGAGCGAGAAGCTAAGCCCGTGGCTGTCTGTCAGCTCGACAGCCTCATGTTCGACATGCAGTGGGCGCTCTCCACCATGCCGTCTGCGGACAAAGCCAAAGAGGCTCCTAAGGCCTCACAGCTCTGATCTGATTCCGCCTTAGCGTCACTTGTTTTCCTTCTCAGTGCCTCAGTTGTTCATCTTGAATCGAAACTTGGTTCGCATGAACATATCGAGCTTGTGCTTTGCGGGTGAGCTTTGGTCAGCTGTCGAGTTGCGCCAAATTTCGGCGATGCGCATCTCGCTCTTCGCATGTCAGGGTCCACCTCGCTTCTTCCGCCACCGTCTCGCCCGGCTTTTAACGTGCTTTCCGGCATCAAGCGAACGTGTTGAACGGCTTCAAGCGAACATGCTTTCTGTCATCAAGTGTCTTCGAGCTGCAGTCATTCGAGCAGGACTGATTCGGCTGGATTCAATATAAATATCAACGTCGATGGCCGTAGCGATCACCTCGAAAACAACGCAAGTTCTCAACGCAACGAAAATGGCAATCGAGCTGCAGACAGCAACTGTCCTGGTCACTGGCGCCAATGGTAAGCCTTGGGATGAAGTCACTTCAAGGACATTACGCTGAATAAAAGAGACTGACGCAGGCTATGTTATTTCTTGCTCTACGTTTCCAGGCTTCGTCGGCTCTCACGTTGTATCACTGCTCTTGACGAAAGGCTACATTGTGCATGCCACGGTGAGGCGCCAGGAAGCCGCGAACGATTTGGTGGCCACGTTCGCCTCCGACAAACTTCGCGTCTTCGTCATCCCAGACTTAAGCGCAGAAGATGACTTGGATGAAGCGATCCGAGGATGTCAGTATGTGGTCCACGTTGCTGCGCCCGTTCCGGCCAAAGATGCTCCGGCTGCAATCAGCATCGACGCCGACGTTCGCAGACTCGAAAGTGTCATGAAGACCGCTTCCCGCCATGGATGCAAGAGAATGGTCCTAACCTCCAGCATGTCGACGCACTTGGACATCGGTGCACCGATTCTCAACGAATCGACATGGTTCACTCCAGACCTGGCTACGACCAAACCGTTCTTGCAGTACATGTCTTCCAAAACGATGACCGAACGCCGAGCGTGGGAACTCTCTTCGAGCTTCAACTTGCCACTGACGACAGTGGCACCGGTGTACATTGGCGGTCCCACCATCATCAAAGGACATGATCCGCGATTGCCCGCCACAAACCAAGATCTGTTGCGATGCATCCAGGACGAGTCCCGGTCCAAGGTGCCAGGCTGGATCGATGTGCGAACCGTAGCTCACCTCCATGTACTGGCCCTCGAGACTGACGGATTGGATGGACGCAGAACACTAGCATGCACCCACGATCGAGGTATCGTCAAGATGGACTGTTCGCAGATGAAAGCGCTCCTGGCTAAGGAGCCTTCAGCGCTTATCGAGTACGACCGTACCAAGCGCGATCTGCTCGAGCAGATCCACACGTTTGGCTCGGCACACACTTCAACTGTGACAGTGTAAGGTCCGATCTTGAGAATTGATACATGTCCGCTCCTTTGCGTTCACGCCCTCCCCAAAAGGATAAGCGCTTCTGTGACTTCGGCCATGAATCTATTTTTGTGCGAGAGCCGTCAAAGCTTTGTCCAACATAATGCTTGAATGACTCAGCCGTTGTTGTCGGAGAAGCAAGTGCTTTACACTTCTCTTTTCGTCGCGCGAAATGCTTGGATCTCTCAGGTTGCGAATTCATTCGCATGCATTGCTCACAGACAGCAGCACACCTTAATCTCTTCAGAATCACTGATGTTGAACATGGATCACGAAGTTCATAGGAGCAGTACCCGAAACAAGATATAAGCGGGAAGGATCAAAGCAAACGCACTTCAGCTTGAGCACGTTCGCCTTTCAAGCGAAGTTGAAGCTCTTTGGCATTCTTGATCATCTGCGAACCACGCTCGCTCTCTGGACGAGTGCACGCGATGCCTTCCCGGAAGCTCGCCACAAAGTCGGTGACGCTCATCTTGGCAGCGGTCTTGAAGCGGAATGCGACCTCGCTGGCTTCCAAGAAGTAGGCATTGAAGAGCTGGTCGCCGAAGAATGGCAGGATCAGCAAAGGTTTGCCGGCAAGCATCGACTCCTGGCAGCTGTTCCAGCCACCGTGGCTGAGGAACCAGCCAACAGCAGGATGTTGAAGGACGTAGTGCTGATCGACCCAGTTGACCAGCATGATCCTTCCTGTCTTGAGCAGCTGCGACTCGAGGGTCGCGATCTGAGGCGCAAAGGATGGTGGGCAAGATGAGGCCAGATCCTTGCTTCCTCCAAAGGTGAAGAGAACACGAAGCTGCGAGTTGAGACTCATCTCGTACTGGATAATCTCGAGCATCTTGACGAGGTGTGTCGGCTGGGGACGGAACATTGTTCCAAATGAGATGTATACAACCGAGCCGGCGACTGAACAAGAGAGATAGTCTTCGACTTCTCTGACCGCCTTGGTTCTATCGACCTGGCTGCTTTGTCGTTCGGTAGTACCAGGAGAACCAGGCGGAGTCTCTGGTGGAGTGAGGGGCCGCGACATACCTGGTTTGGCATGGATCTTCTCCTCGAGAAGTTTCGCCGAAAGCTTCTCTCCCTTCTCCACAAAACCGGAGAACATGACGGGCCCGAGGATACCAATCTTTTTGAAGGGATACACCATGCGCAGGTAATCGAGCTCGCGCTGTTCTACAGCCATGTGCGTATTGATGAGAATGGTGTGGCTGGCGTCTACCAGCTTCTGAATCTCGATCAGGGAAGGACTCAGCGGCACGGTGAGTAGCCAGTCCTTGGCGAGCGCGGCCATCTCTTGCTCCTCGATGGCACCCATGCGGCTGCCTGGGATATAGAACCTGCCGACCCACCGTCTTCCCAACAGCTTCTCTCTCAGAGCTGCATCGTTGCGATCCACTTCGGGGTTGCTATTGCAGTACTGAGTCCAGAGTCTCTCGATGGCGCCGAAGCCGCCGATCGATCGGGGACCCAGCATCCGCAAGACGAAAGTGCATGCGTTGTCAAAGAATGTGACCATCTTTAGGTCGGAGGCGTGCTTGCGAACGATATCGACCATGCCCGGCAGCATCCAGTTGACGACGACCGAGGTGGGTGGACCTGCTAGGCAGGCAGGCAGAAGCAAACTGCCGTCATGCTCATCGTACAGGTCCCTGTTGGCGACGATCGTGGGGAAGATCTCGGCGAACTGCTTCTGGATCAGCGTGGCAGCCTGCATGGTGAGGATCACCTCAGGCTCGGGACCATCCGCTGTGGCATTGGAAGAAGGCGCGGCAGTCTGCTTGGCATCCTCGCGTTGGTTGAACTCTTGAAGTACCTCTTGTGTTGAGCGCCCGGTCCCCAGCAGGCGAAGTCTAGAGCCGAAACGTTCGTTGACCAGATGCTCCGAGATGGCGAGCTTCTGCAGCAAGGCAATCTGCATCTTGCTGCAGATAAAGGTGATCGTTAGCGTCGGATTGTGTTTGAGCTGAGAGGCTGCATAGTCCAACATAGGACGAGCATGGCCTACTGCGGGCCAGCAGACCAGCAGCATATGATCGGTTTGAACCATCTTCTTGGCGTTAGAGTCTTTAGCTGGATGGAATGGTATTGCCAGAGGCTTCAGGGCGGGAAAGGTTGAGCGAGCGGCTCGACTTTGAAGTGTGGGGGTCACTAGTAGACTGCGGTCACGTCTTAGACTGAGGCTTTCGGGCTCATCTACACACCTTCGATATATACAACAAGAAGACGTTTGAGCGCAAGGGTCTCTTTCACTCTTTCGAAAGAGCAAGCAAGCTCCGACTTTGCGCTCCGTCCGACTCGATCAAAGCGACAAGAGGAGTGCTCGGTCAGGAGCATGTGCATAGCAAAAGCGAGTCTCATGGTGAAGTCGCCGGCTAGGTGCGTCAAAAGCACCGGATTTGAAGGTTGCATGCTGTACAAGTGCAACATACCTGAGGAAGAGGAGCGAGTGAGAGCGATAATGCGAGTGATGTGCGCACAACAAGTTGTGCTAAGGAGAACGACACAGGAACAGCGACATGCGCCGTTCATTTTTCAACCCCCTCGCGGCCTCTGCCCGACTAACAGTGTGCGCTTCGAGATGCCCAAAGCTCAGCTGGTGGCAGATCCGCATGCATTGGCGCTCTGTGCCACGACTGTCATCCATGGGCCCAAAGAAGGCACTCACAGAGTCCTTGTTGGCGAGAGTGTGGCGTCAATCCGATAACCTTGACCAAATAGGCGGTACGCGTGTCTGGAGGTTTGGTCCGCAATAAAAGCAATCAGAACGTGCCCTTTGCTGCTTCAGAGGATCGCTGACTCGGGGTCTGTCGCTCAGGCTCAGCCTGAAGACCTTCAGAGGTTGACGGATGCGCGCACAGATATGGCTCACCAAACAGTACTGTCTGTTGGCACGGTCATCCTAAGGGATCTTCGTTCGACTATGTACTTCGAATCGAAAACGTGCAATGGCTATCGCTACAGGAGAGACAACCTGCAAACAGTGTGTGTCATCAACACAGGCGCGAGATCAGAAAGCAAGATAAGGAAGCGGTCAATGGAGGAAGGGGGCGACAGTTGGCGGGGGAGAGACTTTCAACCGGCTCGTTCCTCCTCTTCAGCTTCGATCTGAGCAAGCTTCTCGAGTGCGGCTTGCCTCGCCTGAGCGCGATCGCCTTCAAATGCAGCGACGGTCTCGCTCGTCCAGGCTTTGAAGGTCTTATTGGTCTTAAAGATGGCGTCGAGCAAGCCCACCGGGCCGTAGTTCTCCGTGTTGAAATAGTGGTGCCAGTCATGGACCAAAGCGCACGTCAAGAATGGAACTGCAGCGGCAGGGAAAAACAGAGCTTTTGTCAGTCTCCTACTCGAGGCACATCTTGCATCGGGTGAAAAGGCATGGCAGGTTGACTCACTGTTGTAACCGCTGTGCTGAGCATGAGTTCCGATCATCAGTCCGCTGAAGAACAGGTACTGGACGCTGAGGTGAGCACGCGTGATGAGCAAGCCGACCAGGATCGGCAGCAGGTTGCTGAAGTAGTGCTCGAGCGGATGAGCGTATGTCGATGCTCCGGCGATGGGTGCACTGAACTCGTGATGCTTCTTGTGGATGTACTTGTAGATCTTGGGGTGGTGCAGCGCTCGGTGCACGGCGTAGAAGCCGATGTCCTCCATCAAGAGGCAGACGAGCCACTGACCCACCAGCTTCTTGCCGGAAGGCAGCGACTCGTATGTCGTCTCGATGCCTCGCCATTCGGCCAGAGGGTAGTAGATGAGGTTCGAGATGGTGTTGACGACCACCAAGTTGAACAGAACGACGGGCATGAGCTTCTTGTACTGAGCTACCGTGGGAGGCTTGTGTGGCTGCATGCGATACCTTGCCAGCCAGGACGGACGGCCGCTCAAGTCGGTAAGAGCAAAGAGGCCAACGAGCAGCAGCTGGCAGCTTGAAAGCAGGATCCACGTGTGCACAGTGTGGATGGTAAAGCGGTCGTACGTGTTGAGCCAATCGTAAGCTGGCTTGGCCAACGAGGACTTGTTGAAGAGGATGGCCATGGTGATTGTGACAAAGTGCGTGGTCAGGCCCATGACCTTGGAATTGTCGTAGGCGCTCTCCAGGAAGCCCCAGTTGCGCTTAGCACGAAGTCTCTCCTCGGTGGGGGTAAGCTTGAAGCCGAGACCTGGGAACGCTCGAAGCTGTTCGGCTGCAACATCAGCACCGGAGCCTGTGGCTGGTGTTGCTTGGGCTTGGCGAGGGCCGGCGACCGCAGCATTGCGCAGCTTCAGATCACCAAGATGAGTGTGCAGAGCTGCGCTAGTGGTCGTAGTCGTTTGAGTGGTCATATTGAAAGGGACACGCCGAAGGATTTCTGAGAGTGGGCTGTGGACCGTCGTTGAGCAGCCCACGAACGACCACCCTGGTCTTCTATATGAAGCCGTCGAGGCTCATGCTTCTACAGACCGTTGCATTCAGCTCGCGTCTTCTCCTGCCGAGCAACAGGCAACGGTAACATGGTGAATAGCGGAACAAGAGCTAGCGGTGGGGGCGGAAGCGACTGTTCTGTCTGAGCAATGCGCATATCCTCGACACAGATTCGAGCGGGTCTTGTCCAACTTCCTGTCGGGTCCCTTCGTTTCGGACGAAAGAGGGTTAGGGTTACATTCGAGCGGAATGGATTGGCTGGTCGCGAAAGACCAATCTGGCAAAGGTCGAGTGGCAGACTGTGCGAACGTCATCTCTCTCACCGGAGAGCATAGGTTCAGACAAGTGGCCACAACCCTGCGGCGGCGGAGCCTTCTGGGTCGCAGCGAAGGGCAAATACTGTATGCAAGATGCGTACAGTGCCTCGCGCTGGTCAGAACATCGGTCGCGAGTCCGACAGTTGGGCTGTGCTACCGTGCATGATATGCTAGGAGAACGAAGCGGCGGCGGCATGCACCATTTGGCTCGCGTAAGGAACAGGCTTCCACGTAAAAGAAAGCTTTCGGCAAAGACCCTTGAAACTGCACGTTGCGGCTAGGTTATGCGAGCTCAAGCTCGCTTATGTCGCACAATGCTGACATCGAAGTCCACGCTAAAGTTGCGAAAGGAGCTGAAACCCTCCGCCGCCGGGCAAGGTACCGAAAAACTCCCGAATCCGGCTGCTGGCTCGGCACCACCCCTGCCTATCCCTGTCCTTGTCGAACATGTCGTCGTTTTCGCGTCCTTTTGATAAGCTGGTCTAGAGACGGACGATGAAGCCTGGATGACCTCCTGGCGCTTCTCGAGGTTGAGACCCTGCCGAAGCGGCGGGAGACCCTTTCCGAATGATGACTGGTGCTCTCTCGCACACCTATTTGTCCGCAAACGTCATTGAGTTGTGTGTCTGTTCTCGGTCGACTATATCAGCACAGGAAGTCGTTTGATCCCCTCTCAGCCTGCATTCACTGATGCATATATGGGTCGCCGTCACCATCCAAAACAATCTTCATTCATTCCTGTCTGACAATCGCCGCAACACTCGAAAGCATCCATCACTTAAGCAACATGTCGCAACAAGCAGGCTACGCTCCACCGAGTCAAAATGGATTCGCTCATCCCCCCGGGCAGGCAGCGTTCTATGCGCAGCCATCTCAGTATCCGCCTGCACCTGGCTATCAGCAGGGCTATCCGCCGCAATCCGGTTGGCAACAGCAAGCACCGCAGCAACAGCATTTCCAAAACTACCAAGCGCCCATGAACTCGTACCCATCACAAGCTCAGCAACCATTTCAGCAACAGCAGAACTCGTTCCCGCCGCAAACTCAGCAACACTTTCCACAACAGCAGGATCCTTCAGGACGCCAGCAGCCAGGAGGACCGCAGTCTAACCAGGTAGACAAGAACCTCGATCCTCTGGGATGGGCGCTCGCCGAATACGGAAGCCCCTTTGCACACTCGAAGGACTGGCGTGCCACTCCATCCGATCTGGAGCTTACGGGTCTTCCGCAGCAGAAGTTCATGTCGCGGGTCAAGCAGCGCTTTGCACGATCACCCGGCGAAGTTTGGGACAAACCACCTCCCAGCTTTGGTCGCACACCACAGCAGGGATGGAGCTACGCACCCTTCGAGCCCTTTTCGCTCCCAGCAGCGGGTGAGCAGCTGGCAGATGGGTTCAAGCCGCTCTACTTTGGACGTGTTCTCGCCGACCACGATGTGTCGGCTGCTGATTGGGCGCGCTTTTTGGAGGACATCTCGGTGGCTGGCAGAATGACTGGTGGACAGCAGGTCATCTCGCAAATCGCTCCCGTCACCATGCACCTGGGAGCAACCGGCTACTTCGTGACCAAGGCGATTCAGAAACGTATGAAGCAGAGCAAGAATCCTGTCATCTCCGAGACAGTCGAGATGTGGGAGCAGAACTTCTTCCTCCGACGTGGTCTCGACGTCTACATCCGAGACACCGAGGGCAGGATGACGAGCTACGCTCCCGGAGAGCCTGTTCCCGGCTCAGCTGTGGCCAAGACCAACGATATGGATCATCACTCTCACGACGATTCGGATGATGACAGCAGCGACACAGATGGGCATCACGGAGAAAAGTCTCGCAAGGAGAAGAAGAAGGAACGCGAAGAGCGCAAGAAGAAGCGCAAAGAAGAGAAGAAGAGGAAGGAGAAGGAGCACAAGAAGGACAAAAAGAAGCCTCAGTTCTACCTCATCGTCGCGCCCAAACAGTCGATGTAGCTTCTTTCCTTTGTTGCTCAAGCAACACCGTCTGTCATGTCTCCGTTGTCGTTCCCTGCAATCACATCTTATCCGAGCATCCTTCCCGTAATCTCGCCGTCTCGTAAGGCAAGAGTGTTGTGATAAGTCTGAAGAGGACCGCAGTCATTCCGTCATCGTTGAGGCAACATCGCCACAGTTTAACAATCATCCCGCGAGTGGCATGAACGCAGCCGGCACTGTTATCGAATTTGGCATCCGACGGAAGCTGCTCTGCATTTGCTCATTTCACCGAACGTGCAGCAGCTGTGCGTCATTTCGGCATGTTTGGGCTCACTCTTGATAGTAGATATTGCGGACCGACGTAACTACCGAGATAGGTGCCGAATTATGGTCCGAGATAGGGACCGACAAGAGAGCCTCAATGACACCTTGCGACAGCGCCCAGCCCCTTTCGATGCGCATATCGTCGTGCCGAGACCAACCTCTCTCTGGCTCTGACTTCGCCAAAGTATCGATAACGGCTAGTTGTGCCACCTTCGGGGCTGTGACGAGAGACCGCCCGGAGCCCTCCTCGGTTCTTGGAACCGCAATTCAGACTCCGTCTCAGATACACAGGTTTTTGCCTTCTGGATCCGCTCAGTGCCAAGATGCGACATCTCTGCGACGTGCTTCCATGCTCGACATGTCATGGACACCCGGATGACAGAGACAATCACAGCACTCCCGACGCCTCCCACCATGTCGGCATGGCTAAAAGAAGCTAGTCGCCGCGCATAGTGTCTCTTCTCGCAGGAGGCTGTGGAAGCTATGAGGTGGACATGATGCATCCATCAGTCGCCCAGATTCGTCGAGCGAAACCGAGATGTATGTACTGAGGCAGTAAGCATGAGCAACGATCTTGCCATTAACCGGATCTCAGCGACACAGCTCTTGTCAGAAGCCTCTTTGCGACAGTATAAGCACAAGGTTGCAAGGCCTCTGCCGATCATTTATAGTCTGCTACTCTGCATACCTCCCGCCCCTCCTCTTCGCTCACGAACAACCAGCTAGATCACCATCGACGAGTACAGCCGCCTTGCCGACTCATCCGTATCTCCAGTCATGACAGTGCCAGACTCCGTGCTAGTCTATGAAGTCTTCATTGGCGTCTATGTCATTACCTTCATCCTGACTCTCCTTTGTGGATTCCGCAATGGTTTCTCAAGAGCGGCGGGTTTCTTCTCGTTAGTCTTGTTCTCCGGAAGTAAGTCGACTCATCAGCAACACCATCAGCAGATGACCTACCGTGGCACTAATTGCTGACCCCGCTGCCTCACACTTGTTTCAAAACATCGACGTTCAAAAGTTCGCCTTGCTTCGAACATCATGCTCACCCAGCAGTACTACAAGCACTATAACAGCATCTCAGAGGTCAAGTGGGGTTACATCCTCCACGGCATCGGCTACTCGTTCTTGGTAACAAGCGTGCTATCCTTCCTTGCCATTGTCCACGCCAACGCCAACGGACTCGGAGATGCCACGTCCAAAGGCTACAAGAGGCCATGGGTACTGCGCATCTTGCACCTCGTCAACGTCGGTGCTCTCGTTCTCCTGATCACCGGCTACTCGAAGAGCGGAGACGTGTTCGACGGCGCTCACCCCGACGCCAAGCTCGACAGCAAGGCTCACATCGGAGACATCATCTACTGCGGCATCACCGTCGTCCTCTTCGGCTACTGTTCCGTGCTCTTCCCCAAGACTACAGGCAAGGACAAGAAGATCCTGGCACGCGTCTTCCTCGGCCTGGTTTTCATGGCGATTCGTTGCGGTTATGCTACCTGGCACACATATCGGGTGCCCTTCTTGGGTGTCAACACTTGGGTCAAGCTTGGTCTCGACTACATTCCCGAGGTGCTGGCCGTGTTGGCTTTCGTCACCATCGCCTTCGTGGGCCGTGACCAGGACGCCTACACTTCGTCAAAGCACTACCAGTTTGCGCATCCCGGTCCCGGCTATGCTTGACCTTTGACATCGCCGCAACCGCCATCCGCGGAATAGGCCAGCCGAATCGACGACAACGAACCTGTACATGAACCTTTCCGAATGTATATACACGATTCTACTCTTCGCATACAATGCTACTACTTGACGATAAAGTTAACGTTGTTTTTTCGTGTGTGGCCGCCTCTGACAAGGTCCAAACGGTCTCTGGCGCATCTCTCACGGTGCGCCTTTGCTGCTTGTCAGATTTGCGTTTGATCCCATGCTGTCTGTTTGTGCAAAAAAACGCGTGTGCGACGGTGTTGCCGCGTGTTACGGCGCTGTACCCCGCGAAGCATTTGCCAAGGTGTCAGAGTCCAACAACGCCTCGCTGCCACCTCGAGCTCCAGTCCGCTTCTCGGTCGGGGTTTGACGTCCTTCAGCGCGGCTTGGGCCAGGACTCGCTGGGCCAGGACTCGCTCCGTGGCCTGCGAGGCAACCGCAATGTCAGTTACGAGCGCGTGGGCCAGTCAGTGAACTTCTTTATCACCGACACTTGAAGGGGTCAAGGTTTTCAGTCTTCGAATCTGGTGACATTCATGATGTGGTCGAGTCAGATCAATATTCGATATGATTGTCGGTTCTATCTTCACATGATCAATGAAAATATCTCTGCCACTTAATCAATTAATACTATCCTTTCGCTCAGTCGATGGTTACATGTCGCCAATTTCCATCTATGAACACGACACTGCGATGACTGGAGGAACCCTGACTGTTTACTGAAGGTACAGGGTCACGCCTGTGCCGCAGCCATTGATGCTGCCAATGGACAACTGGCCCCCGCACGATTGGAGCACCGTGTAGCCTTCGGAGGTTGTGCATGACAATTGGTTGGTGCCGCTCGCCAAAGAGCAGGTAATGATGTTCTGCGGCGAATAGGCGCCGTCTTGAGTCATGCGGAAGTAGTAGACGGATGAAGAACCGACGGTAGACGACTTGAAGGTGGTGTCGCTGGCGAGAAGCAGGCGACTCGCGGTGAGGTCCAACGTCACCCTCGAGGCGGAATCGGCACCCGACACAAGCGATAGTTTCCTCGAGGCCGAACCAAAGTCGGTTGACGTCGAGGCGTACTGGATAGTGCCATCGTCCAGGACAGCCTTAAGGACACCAGAGGTCACCGTGGGTGCTGGCGCCACTGTGGTCGTCGAGGTGACAGTATCGGTGGCTACCGTCGTCGTCACCGTCACGGTGGGTGCCTGCTCGACCGACGTGCTCGTCACGGTCAAGGTGGCCGTCGTCGTCGTGACAGTCTCGGTCGAGGTGTCGGTCTTGGTATCAGTCACAGCCTGGGTCGTCGTGGAGCTGGTCGTGAGCGGGGCTGGAGTGCTCGTGGCAGTGACGGTGGCAGTGACCTTTTGGGTTGGGTTCGACGTGCGCCCGTAGACGATGAGCAGGCAGGCTTCAGTGATTTCGCTCGAGACAAAGGAGCCGAAGATGCTGGCCGCCTGCGAGCTCGTCAGCGCGCCCCGCTTTTCCAGCGGCGACCCATCATGATAAGGTGGCACAGGGTTGAGAGCGGTGGGCAAGACAGAACGTCGTCTGCGCTGCGCATCGACATCGGTGACAGTCGTGGTCGTTGTTTCGGTAGCCGTCACACTGTCGGTACTCGTGGGCGTGGTGGTAATCGTCTCGGTCGTCGTGGTTGCCGTCGAGGTCGACAGCGTCGTCGTCGTGGTCTCGCTCACCGTCGTAGTCTCGGTAGAGGTCACTGTGGCGGGCACCGTCGTCGTGGCGGCTGCCAGCGTCGTTGTCTGCGTCGTGGTGAGCGTCGTTGAGGGCGTGGTAGGCTGGCGACCGTTGAGATAGGCGACGCAGAAAAGCCTGGCGGGGCGCAAGCCGAATCGGTTGAGCTTGTTGGAACAATCCGACACACGCCGCGAGTGGTCGCGACGGCTGGGCTGCGCATCGGCGGTGGCGGCCAAGAGGCCTGCCACAAGGACAAGCAACACCAAGAGGCGCCGGCAGAACATGTCGGAAAGAGAAGAAGGCGACGAAGACGAAGAAGGGAGGAGTCGATGACAGTCAATCATTGCTGCTTCACAGTCTGAACCCCTTTTATAAACCTTTCGGTCGTAGGACGATCTGTTTGGGCTACAGCTACTTGTGTCACATAGGATTCGAAGCCCCTCGGGGTGCGATGAAGGCCAATGCAGTAGATAGTTCGTCATGCAGACGCGGGAGGCTTGCATCTGGTAACTCGTCGGAAAATCAATGGAGACGACACTCTATGATGACCTACTGTTGCGACGAAAGCCAATGTAGCAGGTTGTTCCCCATGCAGGCGTGGGAGATTCATGCAGGCGCGGGAGGCTCATGCGGGCGCCTGAGTCTGGCGTCAGGTGAAATGTCGGATAATCGCATCTTCCTATGACGGCCAAGCGTACCTTTGCCATGGGTCAACTTGGTGGTGCCCGTCCGGAGCGCAAAAAGGAAAAAGATACACGCAGCAAGCAGTACAGTGGTACGGAGGGAAAACAAACGCGGCGGGGCCTAGACCTAGTTGAGTTTCTTTCTCGTTGATTTGGAAGAGATCTTGTCCTCTCTCGTGGACTTTAGTCCTCCATCTAAAAAATAAGACGAGACAAAACCCCGCTTATGACCGACTGAAATCAATTTCAACAAAGAATAGTGCGGGAGGCAAGCGTTTCCATACATAAATTGATCAAGTCATATTTCCCTTGGAACAAATTGATCCGCCGTCGAGGAGAGTTTCGTCGATTCCGTCGTCGGGAGTAGTGAGAGCCAGGCTGGAAAACTGCACAAGGAGCCAAGAGCACGGGCAAATCGACTCACTTGCTATCGACGCATCCCACCCGAACTCTGCACCCCTTGGATTGGTTCCTCGGGCCGATCCCCAAAAGAGTTGGCTCTGATACAGGGAATGGCGAAGGAGAGTGCGTCAGTTGTTGGTTCCGGAGATCATCTTGTCGATCAAGAAAATCAAGGCAAAAACTGTTGTCCCTGATCTAAGTACCCCGCGTTTCAGTTTGGTTTGAGAAATTTTGCCTTCGGGCCATCCCAATCCATTGCGCAAAGCCGCTACAACAGCAAATCCGCAGTAGCACAGAAGTCTCGCACAATACTGTATCTGGTCTTCCGTGTTCAAGTAGAAATCTCTGAGGCACACCGAAGAACCTCTGTTGCACTCGGATTTTCACCTTAGCCTCCAAACAGAGAAGCAGGTTGCTGTTTTTTGGAAGGCAGAAGACCGCACGCTGCTGATCTGCTAACCCTAGCCATAGCCCGATCTTAAACCCCTTACTCCGAACGGCAATCGAATTTGCTGGATGTGGTTGCGCCGAGATGTTTGGAATGGTGCCCAGCTTGATTGTGACGGGATATAGCGACAGTTGACCGAGCTGAAGACGTTTTGACAGTCACCCCGCTCAAACGGATCGGTAAAAATGGCGCTTCAGGTCCACTAGCTCTCCTCTCGCACTGGACGACGCGCACCCGTGAGCCAAATTGTTCGTGATGTACTAGACCGGGCTTAGCACGGGATCCCTCGGCGATGCTGATCGTTACATCAGATCTTTCCGGCTGCAGCACAACCAACTGCCGTTTGCTTTGCCCAGCCCTACGCGGCATTCGCAGAGAACTGTCAACTTTCGCAGTTTTACCGCTTGATACAAGTCTTTCCGTTCAACCCTAATCACCGCGGCGCAATATCAAACATCAACGATCGGATCTGGACGGACAGGCAGAAAATGACGGTGCTGAGACTACGAGATCTCATACTCCGCAAGGTGGAAGAGAGTCTGCGCCACGAGATGTGGTTGAGGCGCACGTGCTTATTGGGTCAGCAATCTTGGATGGGCGATTCAGAGGTTCGAACCGATGCAACTCATGTCCCGGTTGGCAATCCTCACATTCATGTACGCTGTCAGCAAAGTGAATCGTGAAGCTGCCGAAGTTCAGATCGACGGCGAACGAATATCATTGCTAGACCTTATCACGAGTAGTAACAGAAATTGGTCGACTCTGTCGACATCTATTTCGGAGCTTCTTTCACCTCGAAGACCAACAAGCTTTCGGGAAGAAGAGGGGGCAACTGAACCCCAACAGCGGCAAGCATATGGCCGGTCAGAGTGCAGGGCTCCTCAGCGTGCAGCCACCACAAATTTGGCTGTCCGTCCCACAAAGCTTGCCCGATCAGTTTCAGGCTCTCTGACGATCGAGATGGTGTAAGTGCGGTCACCGTCTAGACCGTTAAAGGTCACAGGAGCTGGTGGGTATGTTTGCGAGATCTGCATCTGCACGAAAGTGTACAACGCCTTTGTAGCGTCCTGCGAGACGATTCCACGTAGATCGGCACCTATCTCGAAAGGCAAGTCTGCAAAGAAAGGAGGACCCGTGTGAATGACAGATCTCCACGTCTTGTGCAGATCCATCCACTGTCTGACTTGATCAAGTTCCACGTTGTCGATCTGACTGACCTCCCGTTCCATGCCCATGTGTCCGAACAGGGCAACACCAGTGCGTAGGTGCAAGCCGTGAGTTCGGCCGGTGGTGTGACTTTATGCTGGTCCCACACGGGCGCCCATCAGCTCGTTGGGAACAAGAAAGTTGTTGTACTTTTGAATGGTGAGCCTCTCAAGAGGGACCGTACAGTTCCCGATCCAGATACGGTCGGTCCTGCCCAAGTTGTCCAAATCCACTCGGGCACTGCCAGATGCACAGATCTCGATCTCAAGTCCAGGATGACGCTCTTTAACAGTATTCATCAAGCGGTAGACGGCATTGGTGGTGGTGTGGACAGCAGCGCGGCCTTCGTTACCTCCAGCCTCGACGAGGTCATGATTGTGATCTCGTTTGAAGTAATCGACCACCGGGTCCTCGCACAGTCCCGGTTCGGCGAGTAACACTCTATGTTGGCACGGCGCCCTGTCGACATAGCAAGTCAGTGCAAGCATCGTACAATACACGCGAGGTGTGATGCTATATTACCACTGTCAACGTACAAGCATGCTTCTATCTAGTCTTTTTGACATGGTGCTTGGCAGCTTCAAGCTCGGCAGCCTCGTGCTTTGCCAAAAACGAGAGGACCTCTAGCCTGGCGGCGACTTCGTCACCGTCGCAGTTGTGCTTGGCTTCGGCCAGAGTCTTGCGGTATTTGACATTGGTGCCGTGAACGAAATCCATCAAACCCGTGGGACCAAAGTTCTCGGTAAAGGCAAAGTGGTGGAAATCGTGCTGAAGCGGGCTGCTGAGACCCGGAATGTAGTACCCGGAGTGCGCTTGGATGGTGCCGATCTCAAGCAAGCAGAAAGCAAAGACGTTCTGGCTCCAGTGATGAGGGACGACAAAGCTACCTAGCGTGTTGGGAAGCAGGTTCGAGAAGAGATGCTCCGTCATGGTGCAGTACGTGGCAGCGAGCGCTACAGGTGCTGTGAACTCGTGATGCTTCTTGTGAAAGCGGGCATACATCGCCGGCGAGTGGAAAAAGCGGTGAATGTAGAAGAAGCCAACCTCGGTGCACAGGACTGCGAACGAACAAGCAAAGTCAGAGAGGGAAATAAACAAAGAAGCAGCTGTTTTACTTGCAATAAGACTTACTGTCAAAAAGGACGGTGGCAACGGTCTGTAAAGGGCCGGGGACCTGATCGGAGGTGGTTGGAAATGGTTTAAGGTATGCTCCAGCGAGTAGCAGAGGTGTTGAGACGAACAAATGGTTTCTGAGAGCGCCAAGGGCGATCTTGAGATACTCGCTGCGATCGACGTGGACAAATGGCTGCACCTTGTACTTCCACAGCCACTGCGGCCTACGAGTGAGATCTGCGTAGGCGTAGATGCCGGAAATGCCAAAAAGGACACTTGTTGTGATGAGCCACGAACCAACGAAGCGCAACTGGAAGGAGCCATATCGCTCTGTGAGGCTGTCGTAGAGGTTGTGAGCGAAGGCGGTGGTATTGAAGAAGGTGAAGCTTGAGATCAGGACGAGGTTGACAATGTTTTTGGTGAGCAGCGTTCGAGGTTGCAAGAGGGTCGAGTCGTAGCCCCAGTGCTTGGAGCGAGGGATAGGCTTGCCTTGAAGGTCTTTCGGCAACCTCGAGGACTGGTTGGCACGAACGAAGTCGCTATCGCTGGTAGGAATGGCATTCTTGTCAGCGATCGCGGTGACCGGGGCCTCCTGCCTCGTCACGATGATCGTGGACATGGTGTGTGCGGCGAAAGTGGTGGGGATGGACGAAGCACGAACCTTGACAAGAGCTTCGATCAAGAGGTGCTTATATGGGCGAACAAGGAACGGTGTTGGAACCGTGACAGCTCTCTGGGAGTTTTGCGGGCTGGTGTGGCAACTCCACCGTACCGGTCGCTTGGGAGAGAAGCAATAGTTGTGGGACCGTGACGGCCTGCCAGGGTCCTTCGCGAGGCAGAGAGGCGACTTCGCTACTGGGACCGGACGTCTGGGGAAGAAGCAACGTCGTTGGGACAGTGTGCCAAGCCTTCTTCCCCCGGAGGTGCAGTGGGTCGGCAAATTCATTACCCCGGTTGTCGCTCGAAGCTGAGACGCCGAGATTGCCGAAGGGAGCGAGGTACAAATTGCCGTTTCACGCTGCGACACCATTCACATGCCCCTTTTTGCACAAACAGACAGATCAATTGACTGTGTGGAGTGTGGCAGGGTCCAGACGCGCACAAAATACGGAGTATTTCTTTAGAATTGTGAGATCGAAGATGCCTCGACGGTCAGAGCGCATGTTTGACATTTGTGTAATTAGGAAGTTTTCGGCCGCCGATGGTTGTCTGACGGGCACGCAAGCCGAGATGATGGAGACAACGATGGTGGTGAGATGCAGATGGCAGGTGCTGCTCAGGCAAGTATACTGACTTGGTACTCGCAGTCGTCGAGGCTGTCCTGCGCAGTGCGGTATTCCGCACAGACATAGGTCGAGTTATTGATCAGCATCTCTCTGATTTGAAACTAGGGTTAATTGGCACTGTGCGAGAACACCTGGGCTCCGTCGTCCTCTACAAGGGCAGGAGAGTCTTTTGCGCTTTTGCAATCTTTGCTTCGCCATGCAACCCCTTGCCCCTTTGCCCCATTCCCCTGGCGGCACACGTGCATGATCAGCCTGTCGCTTGTATTCCACTCCTTCTTCGCAACCTTTTCACCACAGCGTTGAGTTCTCCCATCTATCGTATTTCTTGCCTTCGCCGCTTTGGTACCTGTGACTTGGTCTTTGTTTTGTTACCTGTCTCAGTCAGGTGCCATCCGACGCTGTTTCCAGTTTCAGCAACAGTTCAGTTATTTTGCCCGGAGGCCTGCTTTTTGATTGTCGCCTTGCTGCGTACTAGAATCGACAATATCTTCACCACTTCCTTATCGGATCCAGTTTGCGTTTATAATTCCATAGCCTAGATTTGTGCAAGCATGGAAGAGTTTTGTATGCTATTCGCTGACCCAGTAAGAGGACCCGTAGCTGAGTAGATTGAAGGATGAGTCCGAGTGTTTCAGCTGCTCCGTCAGACTTTGAATGTCGAACGGCTCCACACCGTCATAGCCGTCCTTCCAGCATTCAACAAACAGGAGTGCCCTGACTTCCACATCCATCTCCAGATCTTCTTCCGGCCCGCAGTTCAAAAGACCGATAACGCACGGCGATAATCCAGCAGCAGCGTTGATCGCAACGAAAGAGTTGATCTTGCTTGCCGCTGCCTCGGCGTCCGCAAGCTCCTCGACTCGTATCTTGTGTGTGATGTTTGTCTCGCCTGTCCGCAGAGGGGTGGTCATGTCGCTCAACAAAGCCTGCTCGAGTATAGCAAGCGCTGAAAGGCTAGATGCAAACCGCTTATCGTAGCCGGGTGGCGAACCGTTTGTACCTGAGGTCGATTGTCATAGTCGCGAACCAAGACGCAAGATGCAGTGTGTAATTTAGCAAGGTGAGCCAACGGCAGCGGAACCTGAGAAACACACTGGTCTGGTGCCGGTGGCGATCCATTTTTGTTTTGGCAGGAGCGGCGCACAGGACCCTGGCAGATGCGTCCAATTCCTCCAATTTTGGCTGATGGCACAAAGACAGCTCACGTGCCTGGCGCTCAGCCTTGGTGCGCTGCGCTGACCATTGCTGAAGAGTACGCTGACCGCTGCTGCACTTTGATGGGGATCACCGGGCTTGGAACAGCGCAAGAGATGCACGCTCAGAATTACTTTGAAAATCAGGAAGACGTCCACTACAAATTTATGAGATGCGTTGTAGTCAGCTGAAATCACCTGGAAATGCTGCTTGTCAAAGTCAAGACTTCAAATCAGAAGACATGCACTTCAAAAGATCAAGACGTTCAAAATCAGCAACCCAGACGTTCATATTTGACCAGGAAGACGTTCATACTCAAGTTGGATAGGCAGCCACTACAAGAGAGTCAAGCCAAGCGTTGATGGTGAGATCATTCTGTTCTTGCCACACGCTCCCACCGTGAATATGTCTCTTGTTGTCTGCCCTGTTTGCCATCTGAGCTACTCTGTCTCCAACATCACTGCTCACATCCGCCGCTTCCATGCTGGTGTGCGTGTATCTCAGGAGGCAGCTGCCGCCAGCGGCCTGGCGGCATGCAACTGCGGTCAGGTAGTCTTCAATGCAGCGGCACTGAAGAAGCATCAGGGCAT